ACGGCGGACAAGGTTTTCAGCCACGGTCGCCAGCCGTGGATTGTCGAGGGGTATGCCGTTCTGGAAAATCGGTTCGAAGATGGGGTATTCAACTCTGACCACCGGGCAGTGGTGATCGATGTGCTCTTAGGCCAGTAAGATGACGGAGAAGATTTGATAATTGCAACAATTTCTGGATATAACCACCGACGAGTTAACATCTGCAAAACATGAAGACTGTCCATACGGTACGGTAACCTTTCGTATGCTTGGCCACCGATTCGGTACGGAGTCGAAAGACTAGATCCACCGTTGGAGACACTTCTGCGCTAACGGAGCACCGACTTACCATCTTTGGGAAAGTTCAGTGTCACATGATGAGCTTAACTGGTATAGCGCACGGGGGTGCGTCGGTTACCGTACGAAACGAGCGACGGTATTACAGCATCGATACAATGACAAGTCTAAGAGAGGTTGAGATCGGACCAGAAGATAAAGCAGCATGAAGATGAGTTTGAATAGCTTCAAAAAGGCCCTGAAGGATTTCCTGGAGCTCTTAAAGGCAGTCAAGCTCCTCTCCATGCGATTGGCCTCTTCCCTTTTGCTCCCTGAATGACATTTCCTTCCCCCCCCGGGAGCCCGGCCAGAGGGTAGAGACTTGTAACGGCGGTTTCCCTCTGGTTTTCCGCTCTATGCTCTTCGCCGCTGCTGTTCTTCTCTCTCTCTGCTCTCTCTCTCTTTCTCTTTCTCTTCCCTTTCTTTCTTCTCTTCCCGCATCGAAATCGCGTCTTTTATCACTCTGGTCTCTGATACACTCGGCCATTTGCGAACCACCCCCCTTCCCCCCCACAATTCTTATTCCTTGAACGATTGGTCTGCGACGAATAATCGTCATTCTATTTGAGAAATTAAATAGCTATCAACCGAAGGGTGAATAAAGCTTCGCTCCGCAGAACCGAAGCTCCCCGACCTGCCGACCACAGCGGGAGCGGCGTCAGCTGATTAGCCTCGCCCGTCCCCTCGTCCAGTGCCATTCTCCCTCATTCAAACAGACACAGACCGACCAGACAGACCCAGACCCGGCACCAGCAGACCAGACCAGACCCATCCACTCTTGCCTGTCTTTCCCACCTGCCTGCTCATTGGAACCAGCTTTCCCCCGACTCGTCTGCTGGTTTAGCTTGGTATCACCGTCTCCCCATTCAATTCCCATTCTCGAGCTGGTGGCTTTCTTGGTTAGTTGTATCTTTACCTTGATTCTCCCGCGTGCCTGCCATCCGTACTATCCTCCTACCTTCCCCCCCCCTCCCTCTCATCCTCTCTACCTCTCCTCTATTCCCTTGCCATTTTGCTGGCAGGTATGTCACTTCCTCGCAGCTTGTCCTTTCCCTTTCCCGCTTCGCTCCCTCAGCTTCGCGCAGATCTTCCTCCATAGGTTTTCGCGCGTTGCTTGAACGGCTCCGGATCATGGCAAAGGAGAGCGACTCACGGGTGGCGGTCTTGCGACATGCCCTTTCGAAGGGTTTTCACCCGCAATGTCTGGTGCGCCGTCGCGTCTCCAATGCGATGACTGCAGATTATCGAAGGCCGCTTAACTGACTTGGTTTGTTTCTCATCGCATAGTCCTCCCAAGGATGCTATCGTAATAGACTAGAGTCCTCGTCGCCTTTTCTCTTCGAAACAATCGTGTCGCTTGCAGATTTATCGAGCCCTCTGCGCGAGCGACAACGTGCCTCCATCTCGATCTCATAAAATCTTATCATCGATGATGCCATCTTCCAATACCTCTCACACCGGACAATTACCCTCTGATGCGCAAATTGACGACGGCTCTGGCATGTCTAACACAAGCGCGGATTACCATAATATGGCTGCCCCCGAACCCTCGTCAGGGCAAGGTGTAGACGGAGCTGATGCTATCGCGGAGGGTAAACAGAATGCGAAGGCCGTCCTTGCAGCTTCGGGCGTTCCTCCTCCATCCAAAGAATCGAGCCATGATGCTTTCAATGGCAATAATTCGCCTAATACCACCAATGGATCAGCAGCAAGCCGAAAACGATCGCGGGATGGTTCCGTCATACAAGCTCCACCCTCCACGGAAAGCCTACCAGTGCGCGTCCGCGAGACGCCAGCGGACAAGATTCTTCTCGAAGACTACGTCAATCGCGAGTTCCATCATTCCGCACTGACAGCTTGGCAGAATCCCAGCCACGAACTTCTGCAGCAGAAACGCGCGGAGCGGGATTACTTCTTGGCGGTCCGGCGCGAGACTCACCTGAACCCCGCGGCGTTGTACGGTGTGGGCTATGAAGGTTTCGGAAATGCTCGCACCGATTTGCGGAGTCAACATCCCCAGCTGCTATACCCAGCCAACCGTCGACGTCCCGGAAATCGACGGACGAGGGAGCTCCGGGTCTCTCGCAAAGATTTGAAAACACAAAACGAACAAGTGGAAGATCTGGTCCCTATTCGCCTGGATATCGATTGGGAGAAGATCAAAATCCGAGATACGTTTACGTGGAACCTTCATGATCGTGTGGTCTCGCCGGAGCTGTTCGCCGAGAAACTCGTCGAAGACCTGGGTCTACCTATGGAAACGTGTGCCCCGCTGGTGCGCATGATCTCGCAGAGCATTCAGGAACAGCTTTGCGATTACTACCCCCATATTTTCATGGAAGAAGATCCTCTTGACCCCCACCTTCCTTACAGTGCCTATAAGAACGATGAGATGCGCATTCTCGTCAAACTCAATATCACCATCGGCCAGCATACGTTGATCGACCAGTTCGAATGGGACATCAATGATCCTTCAAACTCCCCGGAAACCTTTGCAGCACGAATGACGGACGACCTGTCTCTCTCCGGCGAATTTACCACCGCCATTGCGCACTCGATTCGAGAACAATCACAGCTCTTTGTCAAGTCACTTTACATCCTTTCTCACCCATTCGATGGACGTCCGATTGACGATCCCGATCTCAAGACCGCGTTCCTCCCCTCTCCCCTCACTTCATCCTTTAGACCATTCCAGGCGGCCAAGGAATTCACGCCATATCTATACGAGCTTAATGAGGCTGAGCTCGAACGGACGGAAGTCTCAATTTCGCGAGACCAGCGCCGACAGAAACGGTCCGTCAACCGCCGTGGTGGGCCGGCCCTGCCTGATCTCAAGGATCGCCAACGTACTATCCGCACAATGATTGTTTCAACCGTCATTCCAAATTGTGCAGCTTCTATGGATGAAAGTAATGTTTTCAAGCGCTCTGGCTCAAGTCGCACCCGTCGTGCTGCTGTTGGCATGCGCGACGGAGCAGAGGAGTCGGAAGAGTCGGATAGTGACGAATCCTCGATTGCGGCATCTCCGGCGATTGGGCCTCACCTAGCTCAGGGCACGGCGCGCACGCGAGGTATGAGAGGAGCCGCCACCGCCGCACATGCCGCGCTCCGGGCAAGCCTGGGCCAATCCGCCACGCCCGAGCCTCATAACGAGGCGAGAGCCGCATCACGCAGGCGTGAATTTCGGGAAGAGAGTGTGGATGAGCCGGAAAAGTTGATTGTGAAGTTGAGAATCTCGAAAGAGAAATTCAAGCAGTATCTTGCGCACGGGATTCAATCAATAGCAAGCCTCGCGAGTTCCACCCCAGTTGCACAACCGCCATCCCAGCAAGGCACCCCTCAAGTCCAAACCCCCACCCCGACTCCCATGGCTCCTCCTGTACAGTCCCAGCCTGAAGTCCGCGTACCAAATGCTCCATCGTCGGCGACACGGCCAGTGCCGACTCCACAGGCCAGAGCGGGAGACACTCCCCATACCCCACAGATGGGAGCCACCGGGGTGAGTAAACAACGATTTACATAAGTCCTCTTCACACGCCTCCGGCCCCGGCCGCAAGATCTGGCAGTCAGTTGAGGATCAAAACCCTCAGACAACCACAGACTAACATAGTTTGACTTAGCCTCAGGCTCCCAACTGGCTTGTAGCGGAATTGACGCAGCTGAACCGGTCTTATCCCAATGACTCCTTCGAGGCCACGATGCGGTATACGGCCGTCGACACGGAAACCGGGCAGCCGGTAATCAATGCCAGCAATCAAGTCGGTAATTCCCGGCTGAAATACCAATACCTCCCACGCATCCGATGCCATGATTGTCCGGGCAAACTCTACAACCCCGGTCCTGGTATGACGGTCGAGAACTTTAAAGTGCACCTCACCAACGGCACACACATCAAGAATGTCAATGAACGAGTTGCTAGGACGGCGGCGGCGGATGCAGCTAGAGCGGCCGTAGGGGATGGCGGGAGCAGTGTTGATACACCTCTGTGAATAATGACCTGAATGATGGGAGGGCAGCACTTGGCTGTGGTTACCCTTCCCTGTATCTGTAAAGTCTTTTTTCCTACTCATCATCTTACACAGACGCACACTGAGCAACGGTGGGCCTCTTGTGTTGCAATCAGACACAAATTGCACACATATCATAACGACGAGTCATCCTCCTTCCCTTTGACTTGATGTACATGTTTCTTCTAGCGAGTTCCTGTCTTGGAGAGAGTGTGGAGAAAACGGTCTGGTTTATCAGTTCAGCTCGTCTCATTTTTATCTTTCGTCTACTACCACGATTACCCCTACCCCTACCACTACCAATACAATTTCTACTTCTACTTCATAGGTCCCTGCCTCGGACTATTCGGATCTGAACCCAAAGGTGCTCTTTCTCTCGAATGAGCGAGCCAACGTAAACCACCCGAACCTTCTACATCTGCTTCCCCCGCCGTCTCTTCACCTAAGACTCCAGAAAGAGGTCCAGCACCACACCGCGTGCGTGCCCTGCATTTTCCATATCAGCCGCGTCCCTCAGCTTGACTCTATGCAGTACCGTACTCTCCCGGGCCCAGATTCAACGCCTGGAAATCTCACAAGGTCGAACCCGCATCCATGAGTCGTGTACGCACACGACCGACCTCCTAATCCCGGGCTTTTCTTCGCTTATTTTGAAGTTCAACATTTACTAGTTCAGAATGCCCCGATAGGTGAACCAACCCTAGGGTGGGTAGTTAGTCGTCACAATGGGAATCCAAGCCAATTTTTCTCTAGTATGAACAAGAAGGAGGAGGAGGAATAGGGAGGCAGTGTTCCCGGACGTACAGTCCAGGGGACTGTGGTTTAGCTTCCACGTCCGCAGGTGGATGTGTTGTTCTGTTGCTGTTGCTGTTGCTGTTGCTGTTGCTGTTGCTGTTGCTGTTGCTGTTGCTGTTGCTGTTGCTGTTGCTGTTGCTGTTGCTGTGATTGTGACTGTGACTGTAACTATTACTGTTAAGCAACCTGAAGGGTGCGTGATACTGTACTACATGTACATGTACATACGCATGTGATGTATACGCCCACCGTGTTTGCCGGCTTACAGATTCGTTGGTTGAAATTGGTGTCTATCTGTGGTAGTATGTCCATTCGCGGGGGTGATGGGTCTGTGGGAAGGGAAGGGAAGGGGAGGGGAGGGCTTTTCTGGATGTTTGGGCATGTTGGATGAGGATGGTGGGTGAGTAAGTGAGAGGATGGAGGATGGAGGATGAGCTACTGGCCGTATCTGGCAACTTACAACGCATAATGCACAACTCACAGCCCACAGCCCACAGCTAGTCAAGCTTAGTCCACTGCCTACCTGCTGAAGTGAACTGTTGAGATGATTCAGATCTACAAGACAAATGGAAGCTAGATTGCGATTGAGGAGAAACAGAGTATAGGACTAGTTAATGACGAGCATGGACGTCTGCTACACCCAGGAACAGTAAGAGTATTGTAGGATACATACACCCATGAATCAGCTTACGCGAAGTCCTCGTAGGAAATCGATAGCATAATACCTGCCATAAGAATAGATGAATAGATACGTAGATGGATAGACAGGAAGAATGACACCTAACCCCTGCATGATCCCGATACAAAGAATACAATATTTGCTAGCGACACGAGACGAACGTTCGAAATAACTCAGCCTGAGGTCGATAAGATAAGATGGAAGGAAAATGGTATGGTATGGAAAAATAAACAACGCTTCTCACTATACATAGAGATTCGTGGAGCAGTCAACCACTCACTCACTCACGCCCACCACAGACACACCGAGATGGATGGAAAATAGATCAAATAAGAGACAGATAGATAAAACATAGATTCGGGGGATTTTGGCTTCGACGGCATCGTCCGTGGTGGATATGGTCTCAATCGCCATCCTCCTCTGCCCCTCCTTTTAAAACCCCTGCCCTGGTAGGCAAATAGCTTGGTTGTTTAGCTGGTAGCTACTAAGACTTGGGTGTGTCCTCATCATCATCGCCATCATAAGACCATCGTCATCTCCGAGACGACCGCCGTGTTGCGAGACTGGTGCTGCCTTTGCCACGTGTCGCGGCTCGGCCGCCGGTGGCTTTCTTCGGAGGCGAGATCGGGGGCGGCGATGACAATGGAGAGCTGAGATCCGAGTCGGAGATCTCGTCAAGGTCCTTGTCTAGTCTTGAGTTGGCTGCCTTTTCCGATTCTTTGGGGTTCAGGGTTTCCTTGGCGTCGTCGTCGTCGACATCTGCCTCCTCTGATGGCTCGTCGTTCTCAGACTCCACTTCCTGCTCATCCTCCTCCTCCAGCTCTTCTTCTTCCTCTTCTTCCTCCTCTTCTTCCTCTTGTTGATCCCAGTCGTCCATCTCCAAGTCGTCCTCGTCGCTGTCTCGATCAGCGTAGCTGATCCTCCTGGAGGCTCCTCTGCTGCTACGTCTACGAGAAGCAGCAGCGGCAGCAGCGGAACTGGCTCCGCCACCCGCACCTCCATCCGAAGTCCATCCGTCCTCGTCCTTCTTCTTCCGCTTCGGCGCCTTGGACGTTCCAGCTGAGCCCGACGACTTCCGAGGAGGCCGAGCCGGCTTCTCTTTGCTCTCTTTCTTCGCCTTCTTGGCGGAGCCGGTATCGCCACCGGTCTCGTTCGAGTCGGTCTTTCTCTTCTTCGCGGCGCCCTGAGACCCACTCTTCGTCTTCATGACGGACCGTACGACGCGGTCCAGCAGCTCTTCGCCATCTTCCGGGAAGAAGTTCTTGTCTGCCACCTCCTGCGCTTCGCGATGGCTGCCCATCGGAGCGAAGATGGAGCTCGGCACGCCCATCTTGCCCGGGTAGGTCTGCAGAATACTGGCGCCGCCGTTTGCACCACCGAATCGGCGCTGTTGAGCGTAGATGTCGGCAAACCGACGGATGGTCGCCTGAGCGAGGTCCGAAAGTGTGTGAAGACGCGTACTTATCTCATCAGACTTGGTGATGCCGTCGCGTGTTTGCTTGACACGCTGCGCGATGTGGAAAATTAGCGACAGATTGTGCTCGTTCGCCACAGCCTGGAGGTAGAACAGGATGTAGCGTGCGAAGTCGGTCAATTCCTCAATTCGGGTGGAGTCGTCCATATCCGCAGGCGGGTAATCGGGATGATAAGCAAGAAGGGAGAGAAGACGCGAGAACATAGACTCCATGACTGTTTGCTGGTCGCTTCGCTTGCCGTTCATTTGCTGGGAGAAGTATGCCGCTCGAGAGCGCAGCCAGGTAAGGGTGCTCTCCTTGAGGCTAGCATGTGGCTCAAAGGCAAGCAAGAAGGGAACCGTGTACCAACGATAGGTCAAGTGCGTTTGTTGCACGAGCTTCTTCTTGAGCTGACTGATGAAGCCACTCCGAACTTCGAGGACAGGGTCTTGTGCGACAAGGGCAATCGAGTTGAAGTCCTTCGGCGTAAGCAATTGGTCGCATAGCCCGTGGGTCGCACACAACTTCAACAGTGACCTTGCTGCGAGAAGACGCAGTCTAGGCTTTTGAGTTGCCGGTGTGTCTTTCTTCTTCGAGAGCTCTCCATCATTCATCACAAGCTTGTTCAAGGTGTCATAAACGGGTTCTGCATGAGCACGGAAGTCACCAGCATCATCGGAAGCATCCTTAGCTCGGAGACGATTGACAATGATCTTGAGAGCCCATTCTTTGGCCGCAGTCTCGTCGTCCACGGAATCCGACCACGAATATCCGGCATTCGGTTCCGGTGAACGATTGGAAAGCAAAACCTGGTTGACTGAAATGGAGATGATTGCGTCGCGCTCATCATCTGCCTCCTTTGATGCCAACAAGTTGAGCTGGGATAAGGTGGCGAGCTTGGTCAGAAATCGAGCGGACCCGTAGCTCCAACCGGAGACACACTTGTGAATCAGGTCCTTAGCGTACATCTCCTTCTTGTCGGCGACAGCCATCAGAATTGAAACAGCATGTTTAGCAGCCCTCGGTGATGGGCTGTGGAGCGCATAGTTGACCAAGGCCTGGAAGAACTTACGCTCCTTGGGAAGCTTGGAAGGCAATTTCTTTGCAAACCCGGAGCACGCTTTGAGAATCTCCTCCGTCCCCGCGCTATCCTTCGTGGTGGCGCTCGGCGCTTGTGATTCAAGGTCCTTGCACATCTCTTGAATTTGTGCCTCCAGAACCTCGGGGTTGCGAGAGGAGATTTCTCGTAACATCTCGTGAGCAGGGTTTGCCAGTCCGTTCTCGTCGGTCCTCGAAAGACTCATGACAGCAGGGATGTGACTCCGGTTGAATACGAGGGAACTGCTGCGATACAGCAAAGGTGTAAGAGTTTCAAGCAGTGGGGTATTGTTGCCACTCTGTACCCTCCTTGCGAGTTCTTTAATAGCCTTGATAACTGTTCGATAATCGCTGACGGCAGCCATAGCGAAGCGAATAAGCTGGTAGCCACGTCGGTCATGCACTTTGGCAAACTTCCACAGATCTGCAGACGTTCTGGAGGGATCGGGGAACGTTTTGGATAACGTATCGATAACTTTGCTCAATTGAGCTTGAATCCGGTCTTGATCTTTTTCCATCACTCCGCCCTGGATAGAGATGTTAGCGGACGATCAAAGAACCTGGGATAGCAGGCTTCACTCACGTTGTAGTCTTCGCAGGCCTGCAAATAGATGGTCATCGCAGTTCTCATCGAGATTTGACGGGCCTGCATGGCGAAGAAGACCTTCTTCGCCTTGTCGTCCATACCCCTCAAAAGGGTCAGGATACGACGGGTGCGGACCTTGTCCACATCAACCTCAGCATCGCCCTCCTGTGCCTGCGATCCCTTCTGCTTCTGTGACTGCGTGGAGCTGCTGCGGGTCAACTTCGCCTTGACAGGGGGGTAGTTGAGCGGCAGGAGGATCTCAAATAGAACACGGTCAATCATGACATGAATATCCTGGTCATTAGTATAGAAAGCATCGAAGATCTTTGATGGTCCATCCTTGAGCAGAGGGGCGACAACCTCGTCGTCCCGCTCAATTTCGCCCGCAGCGACCGCCCAGATCCGGGCGAGAGTCTTCATTGCATGCTCGCGCACCTGCGGTTTGCGATCTTTAACTCGCTCGGCAAGAACGAAAAGAAGCGAATCTGGAGTCGAAAAGCCCCCGCTGACACCAAGCTTGTTCACCACATATGGTAAATCGAAGCTGGCAATCGCATCCACAGCAGCTACACGCACTTTATCGTCAGCATCGCGAAGCATGGACGCGACATGCTTGATGAGACTCTGCTCCTCGTTCTCACTCAGCCCCGAACCACCGGCGGACGTGAGCAGAATTCGTCCCACTACAGTCACCCAAGCAGCGCGGACCGAAGCCGACTTATCCAGACGGCGGCTGATAAAGCTTTCATAGGTGGAGCTGTGCGTTTGCGAAAATGGCTTCGGAGAGAACGGCGTCAGAAGAACGCTGGGCTGAGGCACGGTCTGAGCATACTCAGCCAGGGTTACAGGTGGGTAGGCCGCAGGGTCCATTGGCGGCGGCGGGGGTGGTCCAGCAACCCCGATTCCAGCCGTCAAATCGCCGATTGTCTGTGTGGCCAGCAGACGCAAGGCTAGAGACTCCGCCGATAACTCGGCCTCCAGTTGGGGGATCACATTCTGCAAGACCTCCGGGCAAGCTTTCCACAATTCACGGATCAGACGATGTGCTTTGCTCAGCTCCTTGATATCTTCTCCTTCCTCGTCCGAGTCGTCCAAGTTTGGCCTTCGATGGGCGCTCTTCGAAGATCCGTTTGCGCCTGGCGCGGGAGCCGAAGCGTCGATGATGACATTGTTGAAATACTGGCTGATATGACTAGTCATTCTTTCCGGGCATGCTTGACAAATTGCCTTCGCCATGTTATAAGCGGGAGGATAGTCCTTGAGGAGGAGAGTGCCCTGTTTGGCGTCAACAGGAGTTTCGCCTTTTCTTCCCCTCTTGTTGGGTAGCTCCAAGGCGCGGGGATCGATGCGCAAAAACTGGGCCACGATGACATCCACGACATCGGGTGCCAAGACAGGCGATTCGTCAATCACCGTCACGAGAAGGCGTGTCATATCAAACTCAACATTCTTGGCGACTTCCTCCCCGGTGGAGTTCTTCGAGGACCCAGAGACGATGTCGAAGCAGCTTGTGAATAGCGGGATAATCAGCGTGTCTGGGTGATCTAGGTCAGTCATGAGCACGATGCTCTTGACTTCTGCGAGAGAGTTGAGGACATAAATGTGCTGAGCGTTGTAAGGGTTTGACGGGTCCCCTAATGCAGGAATAATGGAGGTGACTATAGAGGTAAAGATATCCTAGATTATCCCACGGTAAGTCAGCATTGCCCGCATCGAGACGAACCGCACTCGATATCGGACAGCCTCTCGAAGCACATCAATTGCATCGACGACCAAGTCAGACACGGGTAGTGATCATGTTGGCGCACCTTCAGTTGGTTTGCCGTGAAAGGCGCGTCAGGAGCACAAAGGCGCAAGATGTCAACGATGCAGCAGGCCGTCCAAGCCCTGACACCTTTGTCCTTATGCGCCAGAAGATGAGCGGTGGATAGCTCCTGCGACACCTTCTTCAGCGAGTCGGTGTCGATTTCCTCCTGCTCGAGTTTGCGGAGCTCCTGCGCGAGGGTCTGCAGTCGTGAAAGTAGATCGGCCACGGGGATGGCGGCTCGTCCTACGCGCCAGGACAACGGGTCATTGAACTTGAGACGACGCAGACCGCCGGAGATATCTTCATGGTCCACGACCTCCGTCGCGACGGAGGGACCTTGACGAGTGCGCGCGGGCATCGTGGACGAAGCGCGGGGGACGGGAGCCGATTGAGGGTGAACTTCAACACACCATGCGCGGCGCGGGTGGAGGCGGGAAACAGGATGTGGTTATCAAACTGGGGAGGAATTCAACCTCCGTTATGTGGAAGAAGAAGTAAACAATAAAAGAGAGAGGGAAATAAAGGAGGTTCGATGGGAGGAGGAGGGGAGTGGGGGGGAAGGAGGAAGTTAGAGGGACAGGAATCAATTCGGGTGAAGAGTGGAAAGGTGGTTTGGTTAGCTTTGCGGTCGGAGGAGCAGTACAGGTACAGTACCGCAGCAGCAGCGGCAGCAGCAACAACAGCAACAGCAACAGCAACAGCAACAGCAACAGCTGCAACACCCAAAAGGATCGCCGACCGCCTTTGACCGCCTTTGACCGCCTTCCTTCCTGTCGGGCGGGACGCGTCGTCGCGCGACTCCAAAAGCACTTGGCCTCTTTCGGTGGTTTCCACTCGCATCCATCATGGATCATGGAACTTAACTTACTACCTAATACCGCCGTGCTACCTACAGGAATCGGTACAATGTCCAGTCCGCAACCATGCAATCATGCAATTTGACAATCAAAGCATATTCCATCCGAAGGAGACATCATTCCTACTATATACTATCTGCCAGCTGCCCGAAGTGTCTAACTAGTAATCTATCCCTAGCTCGCTTTGAAACGAGGGATCTTCAACCCCCGGCATATGACGTGGCCACGCTCATCCTGGGCCTACTATACAATGAACCACATGGTGATGCAGAAAAGGACACATGCGGTGAATTTCAGGCAAGCCAAGAGAAACTCAACGGCGAATCTCATTCACCTACTAAGAATGCAGTCCTATCTTCAACACCGCATTACAGTCCGGCCGATCATGCTTAACGACCTTTCGCTCCACAGGCAAAGGCAAACCATTCAACCACAGCTTGATATATTGTATTACATTCAGCCAGTATATATGCAGATGAAAAGGCAAACGCTATCTATGCCGCATCGAGATGCCGCTATGCTATGCACATATCACATATACCGTTCAATAAACATTACCTATTTGATCATATACCCGTCACAAAAACGCCATCAAGGTGAGTGGAAATTCTAATGCAAGTCTTCCCTGGAAAACGGAAAGAGGAATAGAAGAAGAAGAGGCTCATCGTCCGTGGAGGTCGATAGTGTGGGTTCACAGCTTAGGACTGAACTTGCTCATGGCCCGCAGCTTCTTGCCATAGAAGAAGAAAAGGACCGGAATGGGGATCATGGCCAAGGTGATGAAGCCAAGCAAGCTGGAAGCCCAGTCCACACCCAACTTGTTGTACATCTGCGTGGCGAACAAGGGGAAGGCACCGCCCAGACTGCTGCGGACGAGGGTGTTGGCAGCAATGGCCGAGTTGGCAAACATCAGGTACACATCGATGATGTAGTTGAGACCCTGCATGAAGATAACCAAAATGCCCATCCCGATGGGGATGCCGGCGAAAACTTGGGCAACCCAGGAGGTGCTCGGGTGCGAACTCCAGCCGAACCAGAACAGACCCACCGGCAAGAGAACGGAGGCGATCATCATAGGAGGCAGTCGTTCTTCCGGGGTTACGCGCCCATGCTTGGCCAGCTTGCGGGCGAACCGTGTCTTGGTCTGCCAGACAATCAAAGCCACACCACAGATCACTCCGATCAGGATTCCAATGAACGGGAGTCCCGCGATACCTTCGTTCGTCCAGCCACGCACCTCCTGGAAGGACACCGGGTAAGCTTCGAAGAACAGGTAGAGAATTCCATAAACCAAAGCCAGATATAGGGTGATGGCAAGCAGGATCGGCTCGAGGAACAGCATCAGCACCGGCCGCAGCAGATACTTGGAAGCGATGTCCTTCATTGTGGGGCGGCTCTTGTCCAGCAGCGCGTATAGCTCAGTGTTACCAGTCTCCTTGCGAAGGCGGGCTGCTCTGCGTTGCAAGAGGACGGGAGCATATGTTTCGGGGACAATAAAGAAAGCCAGAAGTCCGAAAGCCGCCGAGGCGATCAGGGTGATCCAGGCGGTCCATCGCCAGCCGAGGCTGGAATCGGTAAGGAAGCCACCGACAATAGGACCTGGCATATCAAAGTCAGTCGACTGGCACAAGTAATAAAGAACGGGGGAAATCACGTACCAAGCACAGGTCCAACGAATGTGGCCGATGCAAACAGGGAGATAGCGATTGCACGGTCAACAGGATCCCAGAAATCGGCCAATGCACCGCCAACAACAGCGAGGGGGGAGCAACCGAACATTCCGATGATGAACCGACAAACCAGAATGGTCTCAACGTTCTTGGCCACGGCGACCGGGATCTGGAAGATGGCGAACATGAGATAGCCAGAGAACAGAGGAATCCGGCGACCATAGAGCTCCGAAAGAGGAGACCACATCAATGGGCCGACGGCGAAGCCGAAGACCACCAAACTCGTACCCAGAATCATGACTTCGGTTGACACGTGAAACTCTTCGGCCGTCACAATGGTTGCCGTTGAGAAGACACTACTGGCAAAGGTGATCCACATCGTCATGAAGGCCATCGACATGGTGATCACCCATTTCCTCCAGTAATTCATGTTGTGTGGGTTTTCAGGGTCGTTGGGCCCATCCCATTCGACGAGGTTAGGATCTCTTTGCTTCTCTTCAGCTTTCTCCAGCTGTTCTTCGGGGATGTTGGCGTCCGAGTCTGATCCATTGCGTTCCAAATCCTTGTCGAAAGCGTGGTCAATCTCCTTCTCGTGATCTCCGGTCGCCGCGATCGATGCAGATCTAAGGGTGGAATCGGACGATTGAAGGGGTGCCTCGTTGATCTGCTCGACCTTTGAATCGATCTCCGGAGCACTGCTACTATGAGGAGCGCTCATCTCGGGCGACTGTGGCTCGCGTGGGAGCAGCGAACGGTGGGTGACTTGCGATTCTATCCCGACTTAGGGCTACCACCGGACAGGGGGATAAGAGTGGAGAGTTGATGAAACTGTGGGTAGGCGTGAGAGTGATATTGTGTCAACACCTCGAAGACGAGAGTTCTATGACGATTTTTATTGAAGACGAACAAGGTGCCCAGATGACCCTTGCCACGGGCTCTGGCCAATGCTATATACAAAAGGAACCTTGTTTGAACGAGGGGCCACTTTACCCGCCAGGCAGAGCAGCAGGGGAAAAAATCCCTGATAGCCTATGGGCAACCAATAGGCAACCTGTAGAAGGGCAGGTATGAATCACGGCGAACAAGCATTAGTCAAGGTCTCGGGGTTAACTAACTAAGGGAACGCGAGCCCGTCCCCACTCAGGCCCCGATGGTCTAGGTGCGCCGTCGCCGTGTCTTTCGAGCTCGTTAAGTCCGGCCATGTGGGCAAAGCTCCGTCTTGGAATTTCCCGACCAGCAAGCTGTTAGGTTGATCGGCTCGTGAGATGATGTCTCATCCTGCAGACCAAAGTCGTCAGCTGCCGTGATACCCGAGATAATGCAGTCAGTAAGCTGCATAACGATGGCTGTCAGCCCTTTGTGTGAGGGAGGAGGGTGTGAGAGTAATCCAAAGTTGATTGATAATCGCAGTCATGATGATGAATGCCAAATGAAATGGCACCGGGGGAAGTCCGGTCGCCTGACTCGTGGAAAGTTCAAGCTTAGTGGGAATTGGAATTGGAACTGGCTCGCGCTCTCGGCACTTCCGACCGCCGACATTTGGGTTAAGGAGACCCGCCGACGGGCTTGGCTACCTTGGGAGTGCCAGAGTGGGTGCCTTCGTTAAATTTTTTTTTTCTTTCGCTTCTGTTTCTTTTCCTCATTCGACCTTTTTCGAGAGCCTTCGCGAGGACTTTGATATTCGCCTCGCCCCGCTGAGTCTTCTTCGAGATAGACTGAAGAATCTTGGCGAAAACGAAGCCGTCGACCTTCGGGTTGTTTCGAATAGAGTGAACGATCACATTTCCACGGTCTGCTCTATCAATCACATATCAGTCACATACACACAGGGCTAAGTCAGGAGCTCCAAACGTTGGGTGTGTATGCAGCAACCCGCACAGCTGGCGATTCCCGATCAAGCCTATTCCGTACACTCCTTCCAGTAGAACCACCACCACCAACTAAGCAACAATCTATCAAGCCACTTAAGATTCCCTCCTCCTTAACCCCGTCGGTCGGGCGGCTCCTTCAAGCCAACTTCACGCACCACGACGTGATACTCAAACTCGCCGATTCCTTCAGTAGTATGAGTATGACTCTGCCCGTCAATCCGGAAATTAGTCTGATCTCCAGGAAGACCACGACCTGCAATCTCCCGACACTGTTTGTACTGTACATGCAGCGTTGTCGATTCCCTTCCTCCTCCCCCTCAGAAACACTCATTTGCAAAGAGTACGGTATCCAGGATTGAAAACCAAATTAGGTACGGAGTAGTCCAGCAACTATCCAGAAATCCAGACACCACACGCGCAGTGGGGCCTAGTTAGTAGCCATGGATGAAGCGAAAAAAAAAGGGGGGGGGGGTGTAACCGGGGGCCCTACGTATCTAGATAAGTCTAGATTTCGACGGAGTACACTCGAAAGGAAAATTCCATTCCTTCCATCTATCCACCCAGACAAGACTCATTGTACATAACCCAGTTTTCAAACGAGGGTTCTTATGCCGATGAGTGTGGCATCGATCGACCTAAGGAATAGGTAACTTCCGGTGCTCTACACAATGTACTGTACATTCAATCCCTAAAACATGGCGGTAGCGACTAAGACTACCGAGTTCCTAGCGATGTTTTAGACTACGTCGTTCTGTATGCACAGTACTGTACACTATGTCTACCTAGCACGTAGTTCAGACAGACTAAATATGAGTACCTAACATACCGTGAGGTGAGGTAAACAGTTAACTAAGTTAATTTATCACCCGATTAGTCATCGGCGCAAGCATCCGACGAAAACACGCACGGGCCATGTTAACCATCACCGCAGCCCTGAGGAGCAAGTCCAGTAACTTACCTAGTAACCAATTGCAGAACACGGAGATGAGGGAGGATCTTTGCTGGTGACGAACAACAAGTCACTCAGACACTACCGGTAGGTACTAACTATACCTCGCCTGTGGTCAGTCTAAGCGACTGAGAACCGGGGACGGTGAAGCGCCTGTCTGGCCCGACCTACAGTCTATATGGATACGCACGGTATCTTTTGGTTGTTCTCCCGCGTAAGTTGCGATGCGAACAGGTCCAACAAGTCCAAGTCCAAGTCCAAGTCCACACAGTGAAACCGCCCGACCTGCACGCTGTCCTTGATTTCTCCCGTGCATGCAGCCCTTGGGGATCGGCATTCTTTGCCGAGTACTCCGTACGGAGGCGGGCGATGAAATCTGGACTCCAGCTCGCGTCGCGGGAAATCGGTTGATGAGTCTGACAGCGATGCAGTATGGCGGTGTGGGCGGGGATCCACTGTCGATCTTGAAGACGCTTGGTTTGTCCTGTAAGATTGGAGGCTGTTTTGCTCAATGTTCCGTGTTGTGATTCCAACTTCGTTTCAGACGAATCACCACCGATGATCCATCGCTTCTTGTGATCGGTTGGAAGAAATTCTCGTCAAAGTACTCCATATCATCGAAGAACAAAATGCCATGAAGTGCAAGGTGCATCACTTCCCGCCGGTGCCCATTATGGGCAGCCGGCGATGATGCAGTAAATGGTCCAGATCAATTCGAAGCTATATGATCGCTGCAAGCATAACTATGCTAGATATGAAAATAAGTTACCCAAGCTTAGGCCTATCCTTACACCAACCATGGAGCGTGGACTGGGGTCTCCTGACAATGATTCCGTGCGGGGGTCCCGCCCACCAATACAGGAGTGCCAAATCACAACGAACGCCGGGGTCGCTTGCCCTCCACCCGACACCATAAAAATCGCTGCAAAACGCCGGAAAATGCTGAGTCGTTGTAGATAATCATGAGCTGTCTTCGAGGACATGGCCATTGGCGGCATCTTTGCGCTGCCTGAGCGTATCAATGGCTTTGCCAACTTCGTCTTTGGCCACCCCTTCCAGAGAGACTCGGGCATCAGGCTCGAGGGTTTCGATATCACCCACCCGCTCGTAGAGCATCCGGGAGATACTCCGGTTAATGTCTGTGTATTCATCTTTGGAAACAAGCTTCGAGCGATAGTAGGGTTTCAGTTCGGAAACCACAAGCCTTTGAACGGCCGACTTGACCGCGGCAGACGGCCCTGACGGCCCCGAGCGGGAAGGGGAAGCATGGAGCGATCGCAGGGCTGCTGAGCGAGCTGCAGCCCGGGGGATACGACGATTCCAGCGAGGAGGAGGGGTATGACGGGGGGACTGATCTTCATGGCGATCTTTGTCCGAGGCAATTGGAGAGACGTCCGGGGAGAACGGTGGGGAGGAAGGGTCTGCAGGCGACCCGAGTTGCAAAGGCGATACCGGTCGGTTTCTGCCATGTGGGGGCGGCGTTGTAGAAGACATCCGAGGAGAGGAGTGGTTAGAAGGAGCAGGCGAAATGGAAGGAGAGGTTAGACCGGGCGTGAAGTGATCGGTCGGGGCTAAGGAAGAATGGGCTGATGGACCGTGTGAATTGACGCCATTGTGAGTAGACGATGACTCCACCTCTTTCAGAAGCGATTGGAGGAAGCTCGGCTCGCTCGAAGGTTCGGCATTGATCCGAGCAGTGGCCTGTGCACTTGCCATCCGCGATGACTCTCCGTTCTGCATAGCGAGAGCGGCCAAGTCTTCGGCCCTCCGAGTCCGGGGTCGTTTGAGCTTGCGTGCAGGCTCAGTAGGCTCCGGGGATGGGGACATCGTAGGCTCTTTACGTTTTCGTGCTGCACTTGGATCGTTTTCGATTTCTCGGGCACGCTCGAATGCATTCCAGGCTCTCATTTCCTCAAGCGACTCTGGCTCAGGGGTGGGCTCGCGAGGTACGCGGGGCCGTGACGGCCGAGGGGCCTCGATATCGAGCAAGGCCGCAGTATCCCGAAAGCGGTTGCTGCCACCCTGTCGTTCAGCAACTTCAAAACGGCGCTGCCATGCGCGAAACTCACGCTGATTGGCTTCTTCCCGTCGTTGCTGCTGACGAGCGCGCTCCAACGCCCTGTCATCATCGAAAGGGAAATCCAAGTCAATGTTCAAGTGATCCCAAACAGACTGCCACACCCTTGCCCAATGTAGGGAATTTAGCTGATTTCTGCTCTGTAGCATTCGTTGCTGTGCTCTAGTACGACGATTCCGTCGGTCCTGCGGTCGGGAACCCCTGTCAGTCGTCTCCGGGGAGCGTCCGAGACGACGTTGATTTTCACACCGTGCACAATACCAGGGCCCATTTGGCACCTCGTCGAGACCGACACAGTAGGTATGTGAGGGTGCATCACATCCATCACAAAGCAGAAGCAAGTCTTCGTTGTCCGCATCGCCGCAGACTGGACAAGGCTGGAAGTCAATGTAGTCATCGTCAATATAGTCGATAACCATCGAAGGATCGACCTCGGCAACTTGGGTTCGATCCTCCACGGCATATGACGAAATCACAGGACCTGTAATATGAGAAATCGATATGTTAGCCAGGGGAAACACCCACAAGGTGTAGAACGGGTATCCAGAGGCTTCAATGGTGGTTTGAAGGGGGCGATAAGGACTTACCGCCGGGGCGATCACTTAGTTCGACTACATTGAAACTCCGCCGGCAGATGGGACAGCTGTTGGCCCGTTCCACCCATGGTTTGAGGCAGTTGTTGTGCAAAATGTGACCACAAGGTAACAACTGGGCGATTTGACCGGGATCCTCATTGCCATCTACACCATCGACCTTGCTGGCAACGTTCGCCGACTTGGTCTCTGGCTCGAGGTCAAGTCTTGGCGCGGCCTCGGCGGCGACGGCAAGAGGATCGCTGGCGCTTTCGCCAAGGTCTCCTAAGCACACAATACAAGTGTCGGACATTAACAGAAGGGGAGATTTCAGATGTGTCTGCAGGAACGCTGAGAGAAGGCATGAAGAGAACTTGAAGGAAAAGAAATAGGAAAGTATTGGGATGTAGGAGGAGAAGGGGGGGGAGGGAGAAGGTCAGGTCGAGTGATGTGGGGAGAAAGCAACCGGCCTTTTGAAGGTGGACCGCCAATCCGATCTAACGCAAAGCAGGCTGGAGCCCAACGTGACCATCACCCCAAGAGCCAATCCTTCCCTCCAGAAAACGGCAAAAGCAGGCTTAGTCAGTCGTTGGGATGATGGCTTCAAGAAATGCCCTGGCCCTTGCAGCACCAGCAGGAGCACCAGCAGGCGCACTAGCAGGAAAGCACTCACAGTAAGCAAAGCAGCTGAAACTGATTCAGACAGACCACGTTTCCCCCTTCCCCTCATCCCATTTGTTCTGCTGTGATTTCAACTCTATCCACCGATAAGTTGCAGACCGCCTCTCCTTGCCCCTGGGATGGACTTAAAAGATAGCGATCTTATCGCACCGCGTAGGTGGTTAAGTGAAAGTAGCATTTCTGGCGACCGCATTTCCTGGTATTTTGTCCCAGGAAGAGAAAATCTACGAGAAGTGTATGCAGATGATGCAAATACTGGTCGCCGACCAGGTTAGGGGATAATGATCAGGCAAGGAGATCAATCCACCCACAAGAACCGCAACCCTCTGCGATGTGAACCGCGCGTGTCGTGTCGACAATCCAAGTCACTGTCGACGGGATTTCGCTGAACGAGGCAGGCTCTTAAGAGTTTGATGTCCCTCACATGCGGGGCGGCCACGAGAAAGAAGGATCACAAGTTCTCAGTCCCATGAACCGAAAGAAACCAGAGGTCATACGAGGACATCGCAGAGCGTTGGCATGGTTCGAAGGGTGTGACTCGAGGACTATGATTGGTACCGCAAATGACCTGGTATCACCGATTGCATTTTAGTCTAGAAGGGGAAGCCTTAAATCGAGGACGAATTCGGTGCTAAAAAAACATCGGGGTAACGACGTTCGGAAACGAGAAGAGCGCTCATAGAAGTTTTCCAGATCTTAATTTGGCATTTTTTTATTTCAAACGTAAAGAAAAGGAAATCCCATCATCACATTTAGACCTCCGCGATTTCTCTGAGACGGCGGATGGTGGAGCGGGTGGCAGCGGCGGCGGGGGTACTGTGTGACAAAAAAGTACAGCGATCAGCAATCGTGTCGCTTCTTGGAGCCTGCGAGGGGCCCAGTCTGGCTGGTTCGGAGGCAGGTCGACAGGTCGACAAATAGAGATGGCGAAACTTACGAGACGGTGTAGGCACCACCGGCAACGGTCTTCTTGCAGCCCTTGCACTCCCAGATACCAACAGCCTGGCGCTTGACGGTGTTCTTTCCGCAGAAGGTGCAGATGTAACGGGCGTGCTGGGACACTTCCATCTTCTTCACCTGCTTACGCAGGGAGGCACCGTATCTATTATCATGCCATCGTCAATATTCCATCGTGTCACGGGGGTGAAGGATTTCGATGTGTCCGTTGCTCGATAATCATCGTTCGTGTTGTTGTCGCGATCGAGGCTTTTCAAAATTTTTGCTGAGGGGTTCGGAGTGGGAGGGCGCGAATGCCTACCTGGTACCATATTTACCGGTGATGCCGACCTCTGCAATATTCAGTCAGTAATTAATTCGAAAGGCCAATTTCGCAGTCGTCTCGCGCAGAGATTCGAGGGTATACACATACTCTTAGTGCGCTTCGTCATCTTGGCTGGATCCGGCTGTTGAGGTCGAAGATGGATACAGTGCGGTAAGTCGAAATCGAGACGTGAGTCTTTCTAGTCGGGAGTGGTTGTGGGCGGGCTCGCTTAGGGCTGCACCTAGAGTCACGTGAGACGCATCTTACTTGGACTGCCTCTGGGATGGCATAGATTCGAGTAGTCAGGTTATGAGACAGTGAGGGTCATCGAACTCTACTTTTTCTACATCTTCAAGTCTTTCTCTTCTATTTGACCTTTTTTCTCTTCCTTTTGATGACTCTCCTGGCCGCGTTACTGTGCGCGCATATTCTGAAGAGTCGTGATGACATAATAAATCCACGGTTGGGGCTTATGTAATTCGCCCTGCATAACTTAAGTTGCCATCAAGGTGATCAAGGTGCTGACACTTCGCTTACGAGTATTGTGCACCCATGCTATTGCGTTGGGAAAGTGAAAGCTACTTATGCAGTGCTCATAGTACCTACTGTAATACACTCTACCGGCTTCTGTAGAGCAAAATTCAGTTCCCGAATTGAGGGGCATATGAGTGTCTGATCACATGCATGGGGCAGACTGATCTATGGTATGTCTGGATCCGGTTAGTGCGGTCTAGTACTCGTGCTACCACCGATCTGGCCGGAACCGAACAACCTCAGGCCAGCCATCCCTAGTTGTATAAACTCCGCTCCATGCGCGCATCGGGGCGCAGCAATTCCTCTGAACAACTAAATCACTGCCTCCAGCTGCGTACTTCGGTTTACGAACCGTCACTTCAAAACCTAAGTATTATCAAGAGTAGCAACCCACCCCGCCGAGATGGAGTCTCAGAGAGAGTACGACATCATTCTCCTCGGCCCCACTGGTTACACAGGACGCTTCTGTGCCCAGCATATCGTCAAGCATCTGCCGACCAACCTGAAATGGGCAGTGGGAGGACGCTCTCAGTCCAAGCTTGAGCAGGCCGTCAAGGACTTGATGGCTCTGAATCCTGATCGTAAAGATCCTGGTACTGCACCGCGGCTACACACGTTCTCTACACACATTAATGGATAGTAGATATCATTACTGTGCAGCTCAATAAAGAAGAACTCGACCCGCTGGTACGCAGGACGAAAGTCATCATCAACTGCGTGGGCCCATACTGTTTGTACTCGACGCCGGTGGTCGAAGCCTGCGCCAGCAATGGAACACACTATGTCGATGCGTCGGTTACCCTTTGTCCACCGTTTGGCGTTCCTCTACTGATTGCGCACCACGTAGAACCGGAGAAACCCCCTGGGTGAAGACGATTGTCGAGAAATACCATGAAACCGCCAAGTCGAACGGCGCCGTTGTACGTGCTGCTCGCGTATTGTTTGCATAACGCCACTCTAACCACCCCTCTCAACAACTACAGATCATCCCCTCGGTCGGAATCGAAAGCGCCCCAGCAGACATGTTAGCCTGGGCTCTCGTCAAACGCATCCGCGAGGACCTCGCCTGCGACACCAAGGAGGTCGTCTCCGCCATTCACGAGATGAAGTACGTGTGCAACGCAGCCCTCAAGGCACTACACGACTTCCCTAAACTAACCCGACCACCAGATCCTCCGGCGCCAGCGGCGGCACCCTTAGCACGGTCCTCACCGTCTTCGACACCCTCTCCTTCTCCGACATCGCCAAATCCACCGACCCCTTCGCGCTGGCCGCCTCGCCACCCCCGGCCAACGTCCCCCGCGAGCCCCTCCTCGCCCAGCTCTCCGGCGTCCGGTACGTGCGCGACCTGGGGGCGCTGACGACCTCGCCGTCCGGGCTCGCGGACGTCAACGTCGTGCACCGCAGCAGCTCGCTGATGCCCGAGTTCTACGGGCCGCGCTTCCACTTCCGCCAGTTCCTGCGCGTGCGGAACGCGCTCGTCGGGGTGTTCGTCCACTATGCGTTTCTGGCCGTGATCTCGCTGCTGATCTTCGCGCCGGTCCGCGCCCTGGTCCGGCGGTACGTCTACCAGCCCGGCGCGGGCCCCACGGCCGAGGCGTCGGCGAACGACCAGCTCGAGTACCGGGCGGTTGCGACGGCGGATCAACCGGTGGCGCCGAAGCGTGCGTTCGGCAAGTTGCGGTACCAGGGGGGCTGTTATGAGTTCACGGGGTTGAGTATGGCGGAGGCGGCGATGGTGATTCTGGAGAATGAGGAGAAAGTCAAGCGGGTCTCGCGGGGTGGGATTGTGACGACGGCGGTGCTGGGACAGGAGTTGCTTGATCGGTGGGAGAAGGTCGGGTGTCGGGTTGAGACGCAGGTGTTTGAGCATTAGCTTCGTTTTCGTCACGAGATTTTCTTCTCTTATTGTACGATCATAGTTGTTATATCTGTATGTTTTGGTACTCTTTGTGAATTGTATGACGCAGTCACTTGGAACACAATCCAACCCAGCCAGTATGTATGAAGCAACCCAGTGAATCAATCCAGCAATTCCCACCCGCAAAGACGTAACCCACAAATAAAGCAAGACAAAAGCTCCCCTTCAGGTAGAAACAGCCAAACTCTCACAACCTCGACAACCCCGCCCTCCCAAAGACAACCTCCTCCAACCACCACGCAATAATCTTATTGACCTCCTCTGGCTTCTGCCACAGCGCCCAATGGCCCGTGTTCACCTGCTTGTAGGTCAAATGCGGGATCGTCCTGGTCATGCCGCCGCCGAGGTTAGGCGGCAGGGCGGGGTCCTTGAGGGCCTGGATGAAGAGCAAGGGGGCGGTGATGCGGCGGTTGAGGATGGCCAGTTCATCCTCGTAGTTGATCTTGCGGGTGCGATACCAGTTTACTACTCGCCCCGCGAATTAGCATAGACCTTCCCCAGCCCAGCCCCCTGGCCACACACTCACCCAGGAACAAGAGGGAAAGTTATGGGGACAAACATACAAGGTCCTCGCAGCCCATTCCTCGCAAACTCGGCAGCGTAGTACTCCAATTCCTGTACAGCAACACCAACAAGCGTTAGCTTCACCACCACCATCCCCCAGACGAAAGGCAAAAATACATACAACCTCACTCAACAGCCCCGACCCGGCCACCTTCTCCAGCCGATCCCACAGCACCCCGACCTCGGCGTCGAAGGCGACGCTCTTCTCCTCGTCCGCCGTGCGCCCGCCGTACAGCGCCGACAGGAACCGCGCGATCGCCGCCGTCCCCTGCAGGTTCCGCTCCAGCGCCCGGCCCCGGAACTGCAGCTGGTAGCCGAAGTGCGGCGCGATGCGGCGCTCCGTCAGCGCCTCCAGCGACAGGTACTTGCGCGTGGGCGGGGCGTAGGGCACGCAGACGGTGAAGACGTGCGAGACAAGCGTCGGGTGCCACAGGGCGACGCGGTAGGCGAGGGCGGCGCCCCTTCGCTCCGTCACTCGCTGTTAGCTGATTTAAGGTGTTGAAAGAGGTGAGGGGGGGGTAACGGTACCAGTCATGTCCGCCGAGGATGATCTGGTGGGCGTCGAGGAGGGAGGCGAGTTCTTTGATGTCGTTGGCGCAGTTGCGGTGCGAGTAGAGATGGATGTTTTCGGGGGCGTCCTAGCTGCTTCTTCAGCGATCGGGGTGCTTGGTGGTGTTTTTGTTGTGGTGAGTCCATACGGTTTGTCCGTAGCCCAGACAGTCCGGGGCCACTACTCTGAGCCCCAGGTTGAGGAGCATGGGGATCTGGTAGCGCCATCCCATGGAGAGGTCGGGGAAGCCATGGAGCTGTTTTGGCCAGGTTGGTATACTTTGATTCGAGGCTTTTGTTTACACGGCGCCGGTGACACTCACCAGGAAAATGGTGGCGCGGTATACTCCCGACTCCGGCTCGCTGTACAAGTAGCCTGGCAATATATGTATGGATCAGCCTCGGGTGCGTCTGCCGCTCAACAAACTTGATCAGTGCAGTGCGGTGCAGTGCATGGGTGTTAAATATCGCATATCGAAGCAATTGACCACCAAGCCGATCAAAATATGCATGACCTTCCCACATACTGTATGTGTTGCCATTGAGGTTGGCGGAGCGGCGCTCGACTCGCGGGTCGCCGGTGACGTCGATCTTGTCCACCGCCATTTTCTGGATACCACAAGTTAAAGGGTGGTTTTATGCTGCGAGTACAAAACTACTTCGGAAAGGACTGTCAAAAGACAATGAAATTAGCAGAATGGAAAGGTTACTGGGCAAAGAGAGGAGAATCTGCCATACCGACTTTCTGTTTAATCTAAGAGATGGTACTTGATGGAGACTCCCCCGCCAGCTGTTCATCACGTGAAACTGAAGCTATATTTAATCCGCGAAGGCACCACGAGGCTAGGCCAGTGGAGTTGGGCATGCGACGTGACGCTTCGCTCAGTCAGTCAGTCAGTCTTCCGAATAAGCCGATGGAATTAACGCAGCTATGAGAAAGAACGGCTCATGGAGACACAAGAGGGAGGAGGGGTACATTCCCCAGTCCCCTATTGTTTGATCGTTCTGCCGAAAATGCCTCGGCTAATGCTCAGATGCAAGAGACAGCAGAATGCAGCTACAGTTACTAACTACCATACATGCTTAGACGTACATCGTGCCTGCGTTCCAACTCCGCGCTTTGGCTTTGCGTAGTGTACAGAACGCTGCGGAATTCCCAGAATATGACCATTATAGAGAAAAGTTAGATAGGATCGATTCGCCCATAGCTTCAGTTGGTTCTTCAGTAGATTACAGTGTCCTCCTGGTCCTCGACCACCTCTCCGCCGTCATCGTCGTGTGCGCGATGCAGATCATCGTGGCCGTCAGCCACAGACACGACGCTATCATTTGCGGGTGTGGTGTCTTGTGGGGCCTGTTCTGCCTCTCCTTCGGATTTCGAGCCTGAGTTTTCTGCGCGTACAGCATTCTCCTCAGATGCGATCTTGGACTCGTGCGCTTCTGGTTCTGGCACCGACGCCGGTCCCTGAGCATCATCCTGTGTGGTTTCCGGCTTCTGCTCGTCCTCGGCGTTGGTGTCCTGGTTCTGAGCTGCATAGCGTGCCTCAAACTCAGCCCTCTCTCGGGCGACAGTTGCTTCCGCCTCGTGAATCTGTTCATCTATAGCATCTTCATCATCGGACCGCAACTGCCATGGTTTGTAGTACTTTTTCAGCACCAACAGTTAGCGTTAGTTCTCATACAAGCCAGCATCCCCATCACCCCTAGAAAACACAAGAGACAAGTGAAAGACATACCAAAACAGGCTCCGCCTTCGTCTTAAGATACCTCGCTGTAGCCAAAATATTCTCATGCCGAGTCCGCATCTGCACATGGTAACAAATTAGCACTTTGCGCCGGAAACCACCCCGGAATTCCCAACACTGCGAAGCGATCCAGAATGACAAAAGAAAAGGGAGGGAAGCTCACCGCTTCCTCCTCATAAGCCCTCTGATACTTCTTCCGTCTCTCCATCCTCTCCTCGCGCCGCTTCTTCTTCAACTCCCCATATTCCTCATCCTGTAACTTGAGCTTATCCTGCTGCCGCTTCTCGATATCCGCCCGCCGTCGCTGAGCCGCCGTGTTCGAGGAGCTTTGGGAGAGCGTGCCCAGCAGCGCGCCGAACAGCCGCTGGCCGCGTTTGCGCTCCTCGTCCTTGCGTCCGGCGGCCGGTCGGCGCGGTGGTGGTGGTGCGCGCTTCGATTCCTCTGGAGATCTCTGGTCTTGGTCTGCTGTGGGTTCCGATGGGACGACAGGCGGGTGGTGGTCGTCGTTTGTTTCTGCGGCCTGTTCTTGTTGTTGTTCTTGGTCTTGTGGCTGGGTGGCGGAGGCGGAGGCGGAGGTACTCAATCGACGGCGTTTGCTGTCTGTTTCTGTGCCGGTGGCTGTTACATCGTCGCCCGCCTCTGTAGCGGAGGAGGACTGTCGTCGTTTGAGGCCCGCATTTGTCGTTGTGTGATCTGGGGAAGGGAGTCTGGGCTGGTGGTCTTCTGGATCGGGCAGAGCTACTGCCGATGCGAGAGTTCTATGTATTTATCATAGCATCAGTAAAATAAGTCACATCCCCGAGAGCATGTGGCGTATGCATTTATAGAGAGGACTAGAACTGAGACATACCCTTCAGCCATATCCGCACTCATAGACCAAACGGACCGGGGGAGGTTGTACGAAAGGGTGTCCAAGAAAATCGATGACACCAGAGATTAGGGTACATACACCTTGTAGTCAGGGGAACAAGCAACGACAATGAGTGGCGGAGGAAGAGAGATCGAACTGAAAATGACCCACGACCGAGAGAGAGAAAATGTAGAGTGTTTCTCAAACCAACTCCCAGACCGATAACTTTAGTTAGCGATGCGATCGATAACTTCTGGCCAGCTGCTTCGGCGGCAGCGGCGCGGGACTGCTCCGTGCACGCACCACGCCTTACCCAATCGGGGTCTGCTGTTGGAGTTCCGAGTTCCAATCCAGTTGCAGTGTCAGTGCTGGAGGAAGCGCGGCGATTCTTCTTCTTCCTTCCTTCTTCACTTCCTTTCTCACCTGGACAACACACACACACACCTCCGTCAGCTATTCACCCTTGCTTTGAAATCCTCTCCATTCATCTACGCCACCTACAGCGTACAAAACCTACATCTTCTTTGAGGCCCATCTCTCACCCCTTGCAACCTCAATCTCCTACCCTCACCCTTACCCTCAACCACAGCTATCACCACAACCCCTCTTACATCCTCAAAATGTCCCGCCACCACCCCGATCTCGTCATGTGCCGCAAGCAGCCCGGCATCTCCATCGGCCGCCTCTGCGACAAGTGCGACGGCAAGTGCCCCGTCTGCGACTCCTACGTGCGCCCGACCACCCTGGTCCGCATCTGCGACGAGTGCTCCTTCGGCAACTACCAGAACAAGTGCATCGTCTGCGGCGGCGAGGGGATCAGCGACGCCTTTTACTGCTTTGAGTGCACCCGCCTGGAGAAGGACCGCGACGGGTGCCCCAAGATCATCAATCTGGGCAGTTCACGGACGGACCTGTTCTACCAGAAGAAAAGTTTTCGAAATCATTGACCTCCGTGCCACTCATCACCGCTTGATTGGGGGAAAGGGCATCCGGGATTTTGGTCCGATTTACGTGATGTGATGCTCGATTTTGCCTGCTCCGGAAGAAGCGCCTCGTCTTGGCTGTTACGAATGATTTGATAAGAAAAGACACACAGCTGGTGGAAGAACGCTCAGCTCTCTAGGTGCCGGGGTGAGGGGCTATATACTGTATCGATCTCATAGAGCAAAAAGCAAGAAAGATGTACAAGAAATCAGGGGAAACGTTGGGTCCACCTGGGGACTAATCATATTTACCGTCCGGGACGTCTCGGTCTCGCGAACCCGCGACTGGGTCCGGTGCTTTGTTGCGGGTGGACCTCTTCCTGCAGCCTCTCGCCGGAGATCTCGTCGGGAGAGGATGCCTCGATCTGCAAGTGCTAAATGTTAGCGGAAGCCCATTATTTTTTTTAATTGAAGGCCGTTTGACTGACCTTCTTCGAGACCTTCAGTCCCTGCTCTTCAGCCAGCGCGAGCGCGTGCATGCGGGAACTAGCGTACAGCATGCGCTCTCGGATCGACGAACCCGACGGGCAGGTGTAAATGAAGACCACGGTGTCGGAGTCAGGGTAGTGATAGAACGTGTACCGCGGCGAGGATTCCGGGATGTGCGACTGGACGGCGTTGGCCTCGACGCCCGACTCAGCGACAGCCACCTTGAAAGCCTCCGACTTGACCTCGATGGCCTGTATTTAGTTTGTGAAGCAGATTCGTTAGCGAGACCTCCAATCCAGATGCAAGCAAGCATATCCAAAACCAGATCCTATCCTTCTTTTTCGCTGCCAGTGGCCAACCCCAAGAACCAGATAATCACCCGCATCAAACCTACGAGATATAGGGGGAAACACATACCAACTGCACCAGCCCACCAGCCCGCAACCCCGCAAGAGCCGCCTTAACCTCATCGTCCACATGCATCTGGATGCGCATGCCCGACGCGCCCCCGCCCGTGCCCCCCGCGGCGAACAAACTGCCCCGCTGGAAGGTGCCCCCGATGCCAATATCCCGGCCGGGGGTGCCGGACCGGGCCTCCTCCTCCGCGCGCCTCACGGCCTCCAACTCCCGCTCCTTGTCGCCCATCAGATCCTCCCGCCTCCACCCCAGTCCTGCATCCGCGGTGCCACCGGCATCCTTCCGGGCCCTCTCCGCCTCCCGCTCCTGCCACGCCGCCTCCCCGATCACCTCCTCCTCGTCCGTGGCGAAGATGGTCGCCGCGAACTTCTCCGTGCCGAGTTCGCGGGCGAGCGTGGCGCGCGTCGCCGCGAAGAGGGTCTTGTTGCGCACGCCCGCGTTGGAGGGGATGTAGGTCAGGGCGAGGAGTTCATGTTGCGAGTCGGTGGTGGGCCGGCGGAGGAGCAGGTAGATCGGGGTCTTGGGTTCCAGGACGGTGGTGAGTTGCGGGAGGGAGGCGTAGAAGCTGGAGGCATTCGAGGTCGAGGTCGAGGCGAAGGGCAGCGCGGGTAGCGGGGTCAGGCGCTCGGATTGGATGGTCACCGGAAGGCAGAATTGGGTGGCCTCGGTGGTGAAGCTTGTGAAGGCGATTTGGAGTTCTTGGGAGACTTTTGGGACGTATCATCAGTTTTGGGGTGATTCTGTTTTCTGTTGAGGGGCAGGCAGCAGGGGGTCATGGGTTTTCGATGGAAGGTGGCCGATGTCGTAATTGTCAGGGGAAGAGAGGTCGGGAAGAGGAACAGGGAAATAGCGGGGAGCTTGGAGACGGAGAAGAGTGCAGTTGAGATGGGAACGTACCTGAGATTCCGGACTGCATCTTGAAAGAGAGACACCAGGACTGATGTGGGTGTTCTCTGATGCTGGAGGTGGTGGTGGTGGTTGTTGCTGGCAGTTGATGGGGAAGAGCGACGGATGTTTACTGCGGAGTGGACGGAGGGGGCGGCCAGGGCAGAAGGGCAGAAGCGGTGTGTGTCTGGCGGGGTTCACTTCAAAGTTCAGTAAGACGAGCGGAAGAGAATCGGGGCATGCGGGTTTCTATTCTTAACTTCTACGTACTTATCTCGATTTTCAGTCCAATTCGCAAAACTTTCTCTATTTCCATACTTGATCAACCAGTCATTGCTACTCTGGGTTCATAATCATCATCATCATCATCATCAGGCACTTACAATCGATATTCACAATTCTAATCAACTTTCCAAAAAAAGGTATAGATACAAAGGAAACATGCGACCAAAACAACACGACGTGATATATACAATTAACCCCGGATGTGAATCTTCCAGAATTGGCTATCCAGGCCTCCAACCAAACATATAAACAGGAATCTCTTATCTCAAAAGCAGTGATCGAAAACGCCACCATGCTCAATGGTATCAAATGCTTTCGAAAACACATGGCGGCTCACTCCTTCCTACCCGCATAACACCTTTTCTCCCCACGGTTACTCCTCAAAAGTGCCGCCAACGAAGGGCCACCGCGATGACTCAAGCTTGCCCTTCAGGAACTCATAGACCGTGAACGTGACGGCCTGGCCCGGGGCGACTCTCATCACACGGGGCGTGATACCCTTGTAGAAAGCGGCGGCGCCCTCCTGCTTGAACATGTCCTTGGCGATGACCACGATCCGGGTCACGGCGGACTGGCCGGGCTCGGCGCGGGTCTTCTGCAGTCTTGTCTTGATCGTGTCGATGGGAGCGTTGGAGAAGGGTCCGACGGCACCGGAGATCAAGCCGATGCAGGTCGTCTGGTAGGACGGCAGCTGCGAGTTGGCGTACTCGGGCTGGCTTCGCTGCAGGAAGGCCTTCAGCTCCGTGTATGCGGTGAAGTTGGCGGCCTGGTTCGTTCCCTGGCGGAGGGCGGTCAACGAGACACCGCGGTACAAGGTGCTGAACCCTTCCTCCCGGATGACGGTGAACAGGGCGTGCGGGGCGCTGCGGTATTTGGGGGTGTCCAGAGGGTCCGACAGACTGTGGTGTTGTGCTTGCAGACGAATCTTGATGACTTCCATCGGGTTGACCACCGCCACGGCTTCCGTCACACCAGCGCAGAGACCAGCTATTGAGGGAGAAAAAATGTCAGTCAGGACTTCCCTCGGGCCAGCCCAATTCAGTGAAGCGCAGGCCTGTCGACATACCGAGGAAGGTGGCCTTGCTGGTCACGGCTCCAGTCTCTTTGTCCGCGAGCCATTGCTTGTACGTTTCGTAGGATGTGAATCGGATGGCCATCTTCGGAATGATACCTCCCAGAACGGCTCCGAGACCCTTGTACAATCCCAATGCGGTTTCTCTCTTGACAATGTCGACACCAGTGGCAACGAACCCGCGTGGTTTAACCTGGGTCAGGCGTGTCAGCCGGAGCGCGGAGATTTTGCGCGGAGGCGCTACTTACACCAGGGGCTCTGGCCCGACGCGACAACTGCATGCGGACTTTGACGGTATCTGAATGCCTGTCAGGGGACCATTCTGACTTTTCTCGGTAGGGTCGAGTGTCTTACCTAGGGGATGGCACACGAGGGCCTCCATCATACCCGCACCACCACCAGCTGTCGCAAGTCAGTATTGTGCGGCAGCGAGTGCGCCGGAAGAGGCCAGAGCTTCGTACCGATCAAATTTACAGCCGGGGAAGCCGGCTTCTTGCCATTTCCTCCTTTCGCAGACATGATGAAAGATTGTGTGATTCAGAAAGTAGAAATCGGTGCAATTGACGCTCAGGGCTACACCAGGTAGAGTGAGAGCAGTCGAAGCGAGGCGATTGTATGCGCTTTCGTTGGCAATGGCAAAGACAAGGCGAGGAACCCAAGGCGGATAAAAGAAGGGAAACAAGGAAAAGAGGGAAAGAAAGAAAGAAAGAGGAGAATGAAAAGCCCTCGTTCTGGAGCGCAGGGGAATCTTCTTTTTTTTTAATAGGGTGCAGGATTGACGGATCGGTGGTTCACAAGCAGTGCCAAATAATTTGCTGGTACGGGGAGATACGGAAGTATAGCAACTACGTTCCCTCGGCTCGACCAAGTCAAGGTATTTAAAATCGGCGATGCGATTGTGAGGAGGTCACTGGATCTGGGGTCCAGCGGGCCAGTCGCGCCAAATGACTGGTCTGTCCCGGGTAATAAGAGTCACAATAATACTAATAATGGGGATTGCAAAGGGGGAGGGGGGGATGGGGAATGGGACTCGGCAATGAGGATCTCTACTACTTGCTGGGCAGACGGACAGGATGAGTTTAGCCCTGAGAAGCCGGGCGTGGAGAAGCTATGACGGGGAAGCGGAGGAAGCTTCGCTGGACGAGCGGAACTGCGGATGAGCTGCCGCCGCTGCAACAGCCGAAAATTATTCGCAACGAGGAAGAAGGATGATTATGATGGTATGAGAGGAAATAGGAATAAATGTCTTTGATCTATACTTCGACAGGGGAGGAGCATGCGACCTTCTTATACGCTGGTCCTCCTCATTTTCTACTACGACCATCATATCAAGGCATCAGCTACAGTGAGTGCACTGGCAGTACATCGGTACAATACATCATCCTCATGCTCATGTCGCCTGGGGGGTCTGTCTCCTCCTCCTCCTCCTCCTCCACCACCTCCTCTCCACGTTGTCGTCCTCGCTCTTCCGAGGTTTCGGGTCCAAGGACGGACGGTTTGGCCTGTCAGTCTGGCAATCCTAGTGACTGACTGACTGACTTGGTTGTACCCGGCCAATCTTCCTCCGAGCGGTGCCACTGGGCAGGGAGAGCGGAACCACACACACACACAGTACTTTGAACAGTCAAAGAGATTCAGCCCAGCAAACTGCATCGGGCAAAGAACCAGAAACCACCTTCACATGCTGGACCCTTCTTGTCGTCATCGGCGTGTCGTGAACAACATCATCATCATCATCCTCCCACATTCAGAGTTTAGAAGCTTGTGACAGTGATCCCCCCTCTGGAAAACCGTAGTCAGAGTTTCATGGCGAACTCAACTTCATTGTATGTATGTATGTACTGTAACAAGTGTATGTAACAAGTGTAGCCCACCCTCCCACTCAAACTCACAGTCGCAGGTAAGGTAGTCACGGGTATTCCCGGGCCAAGAACCTGGAGATCGAAAATGCTGCCGAGGTCGTTTCCCCCCTCAGGCTTCTCCTTCCCCGGAGTTCTCTGGACCGGTCGCAGCGAGAGCTTCGGCTTAGGGGAGATCTCGTCCCCCCCCCAAAAAAGAGATCTTGTGACTTTCGTGAACCACCGGAGTTCTACCTTTGCTCCGATTTTCGCAGGGCGACGGTCACATAAACTAAACTAAAGTGTGGTGGATGTGATTTTTTTTTCTGTTGCAGTACTCCGGACGGAGTGCTTAACCCCCACGGTTCAGGTTTTATCCACGGTCTGCTGACCGTTTTTCCCCCGGCGGGTTGGCTTGCTTGCGTTGTCTGCATTCCGGCAAATTCTTGTTACATGGAGAGGACTCGCTTCTGACACGTACTCCGTACATTCACTGCAGGGTGCGGTAGTAGATGAAAGAATGATAACGATCATCGATCGGATCAGGTGACTTCTTAGGCGTTACGAGTTAAAGCAGCCTGAGGCTCGGATCTAAGATCTTTCACGTGCTGCTGGTCGCACTGCATCGGAGGTCTGTCTCACCTGGTTGTGAGGAGTATCTCTGGGGAAGAGATGGTCTCCGACGAGGTTGGCAAGTGCCTATCTTATGCCTTGTGGAAGCTCTATAGTAGCTCTCTCGAGTAACGTTTTGTAGGAGCAGGATGATTAGGAGGGTCACGTGCTGCGACGGTAGATTGTTGGCCCGACAAGTTCCAGCTCAGAGTATACTCCTTCGACTTGGCTGATCCTGACCTCGGATACTGACTGATACTGTGAATTAGGACGGAATGCTCCAGACACGATCGTCAATCTAAGACTTACCTGGCGCTACAACGCCGGAAGTATGTATGATAGAACAGCGCACATGCATGTCCACGCCCAACTTCAGGCAGAATGGGACCGCCCGGGAGATCTTTCAGCCTATCAGTTTATCAGGTCGGCCCTAGATTTTGACCCCGATCGACCACCGACACACAACTTGTCCATCATGCAGCGCGAAAATGGCACAATCCGAGTTTTTGCTCAGTAGCTATAAGGTGAGGGGAGGGAGACGCTTGGCAAGAACCACTGCACCTCTCTCTGGGGGACTCTTACGGAAAAGCTTAGTTGGATCAAAATCATGAGCGTGGCCTCGCCTGCCCAAACACCACCACCGCCATGGTACCGCCGGGGGCCCGGGGGCATGGGACAAGCCCTGCAAACGACGGCGCTCTTCATCCTGCACCAATGGCTCCTGATCGGGATCGGGGTCGTCTGCGTGCTGGCGTACTACTTCCCGAACGTGGCGAAGAACGGGGGCATCATCCGGTCCGAGTATAGCGTGCTGTACGGGGCGATGGCGCTCATCTTCCTGATCTCGGGGCTCAGCGTGCCGCGCGAGAAGCTGTTCCGGCACCTGCTCAACTGGCGGCTGCACGTGCTGGTGCAGGGGTTCTCGTTCGTGGTGATCCCGGCGCTGATGCTGGCGGTCGTGCACATCATCCTGGCGGGCGATCCGCAGCAGCGCATCGACCGCGCCGTGCTGGCCGGCTACGTCTTCCTGGCCTGCATCCCCACGACCATCGCCTCGAACGTGGTGATGACGCGCTCCGCCGGCGGCGACGACGCCGCCGCCCTGGTGGAGGTCATCATCGCCAACTTCCTGGGCCCCTTTGTCACTGCCGGCTGGACCATTGCCCTCCTGCCCGCCGACCCGGCCTTCGACCCCTGGCGCGGCGCCGCCGCCGCCGGCGGCGGCGACCTCTCCGACATGTACCGCGACGTCTTCAAGCAGCTCGGCCTCGCCGTGCTGCTCCCGCTCGTCGTCGGCCAGCTCGTCCGCTGGACCTGGCCCGACCGCACCGCCTGGGTCCTGCTCACCTTCAAGCTGCCCAAGCTGAGCACCGCCTGTCTGCTGTTGCTGATCTGGTTCGCATCTCCCTCCTTCCCCGATCCCATCCCAAATCTAACACACCCGAAAAGGTCAACATTCAGCTCCTGCTTCGCAACCGGCGCCCTCCAGACCCTCTCCGTGCAGACCATCATCTTCGTCACCCTGTTCAACATCGCCCTCTACATCTTCATGACAGCGGCCTGTTTTGTCCTCTCCCGGCCCCCCGCCTTTCTGGCGCGTGTGGTGATCCCCATCCCCGTGCCCGGCTTCCTTTCCCGGTTCACGGCAGCGGGGAGGAGGAATCCGGGGGAAGACGACCCAAAAGCGAGGAGGGTGGAATTCCGGCCGTTTCGGCCCATGGACCCCAAGGAAGCCATCGCCGTGTGTTTCTGTGCCCCCGCCAAAAGTAATGCGCTGGGCATTCCGTTGCTGTATGCCATGTGGGGGTCGTTGGAGCTGTATCTGAAGGCGAAGACCTCCGTGCCGGTGCTGTTGTTTACCACGGAGCAGATCTGTGTCGCGCATTTCTTTGTGCATTGGTTTAAGAAGTGGAGGGTGCGGGTGGAGGGGACGACTCGAATTGGGGAGGGGGAGGGAGGGGGGGATGGGGATGCGGCGGTTGCGGGGAGGAGTGGAGGGGACGGTAATGAGCAGGAGGGAGTTGGTTCTGTTGAGGAGGGAGTAACAGGGAGAGGAGGGACCGTGGAGAATGGGGAATGGCGGGAGAAGGACGCTTCGACCCTTGTATAACCGGCCAAATTTCGTTAATAGATTCGTACAATAGAATAAGAATTTACAGGAATAAGGAAACAGAACGTGGTTGGGGACAAGTCGATCACGACCCTATACATTGAATAACCACAGACCATGGTTTCGTCATCAGATATAGCTCACTTTCACCCCCATCCCTATCGTCCCCCTGACTTTCTGCCATCCCGCGCCTGTGATCCTCCGAATGCGCTCCCGGATATCCTGTCGGCTCAGCGCGAACAAGATCCCCAGCATGAAGAGCACCGTCCGCGCGAACGAGAGCGGGTTCCCCGCGATACTCTTCCGGATGAACTGCATCAGATTGCGGACCACATTCGTCAGGGCTTGTGACCGCTTGGCTCGCGTATCGGGCTTGTCTGTCTTTTTGATGCTTTTCGAGCCGGACGGTGAGAACGCAGTGCGGCCGGTGGCAGAGGCTCCAGTCTTCCCATTGACCTGCTTCTCGGTGCTCTTCCCTCGACCCTTGATGCTGCCGTTCGGATACGTCTTCTCAATCCCGTAATCCACCTCGCTGCTGCTCCGGCCATGGCCCTTCGACTGCGACTGCGCGGCAGCAGCAGCAGCGGCGGCGGCATCCTCTTCCACCCGCCGTCGTTCAGCCTCGCGCGCTTGTCTTTCGAGCTCCGCGTCTTTCTCCCGCTGCAGCGCCGCAGCGCGCAGCTCGCCTTGCTGCTTCTCCTCCTTCAACCCCTCTAATGTCTGCAAGAACACGTCTTTCCGTTCTTCGTCGAGGACTTCACTCAGGCTGATGAATTCCTGCGCGTAATCCCATTCCTCGTTGCGGGGGAGCACATGCAGCGTGAACAACTCGATAATCCGCACCCGTGCGTTCAAGTCCTTCGGGGTATCCGTCCCGCCATTGGCTCGCTGCAGTGACGTGGTGGACGAGGAGTGGTCGCGCAGATGCTGCTCGGTGATATCTAGGTTCGGCTGACCGGACGACGAAAGATAGGTTTCAAGTCGCTGTTGGTTGAGTTTCTGCGATGGCATATGGCTGAGAAGTAGGGTGGCGCTGATAGAATCGGGTGTGGTCAGTTGGCAAGATCGAGCTGTCAACGCTGAGGAATTCACTCACAGATTATATACAACTTCCGCGTCGACGGAGCCCTCGAGACCCTGGTAGCCGGTCTGCACGACGGTCTCCCAGATCTGTCCCTCGCGAACTTGGGACGAAATAGCTTTCCATTCCTTTTGTCCGAATACTGCCTTGCCTTCTTCAGGCCCCAGGTCGACAATGGCGCTCAGCAGGGTGATGTAGAGATTCCAGACTTTGATCCGCCACGTGGGTTGGGCGGCGGCGATGGGCGGTCCGCCGAGGGCTGAGGAGGAGTCGCCGTTGGTGAATTGCTCATCCTTGCCGCTGGGAGAGGTGATGGCGGGTTCCAACGCGGCGAGCGCTTCTTGGAGCCGTCGTGTGAGAAAAAGTTGAGAAGCTTTTTTGTAGGTCTTGGAGCAGAGTTTGGAGGGCGAAAGTGGTGATGATGTTGTTGTTGCGGAGGAGAGGTGTTGCGACTGAGATGCCGATGGGTCGGCCATTGTAGCTACCGCCAGCGGGAATGCGACAGGCGACTTGAAAGTGATAGAATGGGGGTGGGGAATGAGGAAATGAGAGGTACAATGCTTCCACGGAGAAATACCACAATTGTAAGTGTGGTTGACAGGCAGATTGTACTTGGAAGGAGGTTGGGGTTGGGGAGAGGAGGACGGAACGCTGTGACACTAAGGTAGAGTTGGTCGTAGGCCCGGTACTTCTTCTCATACGGACCGATCGTTTGCTGCTTGCTGCTTCCAGCTTCACCTCGGCTTGTTCGACAGTCCGGGGTTGTTGCTCTGTCACGGGACAGCTGCCTCAGGCTACCACCCCCGCGTTAACGGTTATTCTGTCTGGTGACGGCTTCATGCTTCCATGCTTCATGCATTCCTCCGCCTCCAAGCATCGACTGTGGGTCGCTAATAATACCCATCAATCATCTTCATGTTTAACGGAGCGGACAAATTAGATCAGTGACCACCGCGTTTGAAACAACAATCACAACGAGATGATATCGTCAAATCAGAGGAATCTCTAATGACCCTTCCAGACCATCCAGATCATCTTCGTTCCTTGAGTCCTTTCTTCCTACCCCTGGTTTCGCCTGATAAGCAAAACATTGGCCTCAGTTCCTGCCCACACTGAAGTCTGTGGGTGGTATATTTCAACCTCGCTCAATCTAGACCCCATTTAGTCTCATTTTCTGAAGGCAATCTACTATCATCATTACTCTTATTATTATAGTCATCCCTCAACCGTCTACTACGCATAAATAGAAAGCATGGATATCACCGCTCAGAACTTTGGGCTAACTCTCCCTATGCTCCTAGACGAGTTGTCAACCTGCTGTTTTGTAGCCCTGGACTTCGAGTTCTCAGGAATAGCAAAATCTCTCGATGGAGGCACGAGTCGGAGGAGCACGCTTCAGGAGCGGTACGAAGAGGTCAAGACATCTGCCGACCACTTCCAGATTCTGCAGGTCGGCTTGACCATCTGTCATGAAGACCCGAAGGAAGGTTGGGAGTCCTCCATCGATTTGCTTCCCGAACACAGGCGCTAACTGGAAGGCGAAGGTATCTACACCCTGCGGCCGTATAACCTGTATTTGAGCCCGATCATTGACGACAGGCTCGGAATCGAAAGGCACTGGTCCTTTCAAAGCAGCGGTATGCTTGTCGCAAAGCCCGCTGTCTCTGGTTACTAATCTGCTCTTCCATTCTAGCTGTTTCGTTTCTCTTGACCCACAGGTTTAGCATGGACTCGCTCTTCAGAAATGGCGTGGGCTATTTATCTCGAGACGAAGAGATCAAGGCCACTGCCAGGGTCACTGAAAGGTTCAAACGTCCGGAAGCGACGACCACAATAGGTGTTGATGAAACCGAGTCTGAATCAATTGCCTTTCTCCAAGAAGTGCGACGTCTTGTGGATGAGTGGCTTGCGCTTGGTACAGTATGTCCCCTCTCCTCTACTCTGTGATGCTCGTCTGATTTCCGGCAGGCCCGCGGTAACTACCTCAACATTCCACCAGCCAGTCGTCCCGGTGCAGTAGAAAAGCCTGGTCTCATGCCGGTGGAACTTAATAGATTCCAAAAGAGACTCATATATCAACTTATAGAGGTGGAGTACCCGTTGCTGAAAGCTTTCGGACGGCCGGCCGGGTTCCTGCAAATCATAGACCGCGACGAGAAGCGGGAACAAGCCGTCCTTGCGCAGAAAATCGAGTCTACGCAGAAGAGAGCTTGGGAACAGACGGGGTTCAGATGGGTCGCCGAGGCTCTGGCTGGTGGTGATCTCACCAATCTCCCGCAGGACTACTTCAGCAACCGCTGGGCAGGCTTGCAAGGGCCAAGGCCCCAGCTGAATTCAGATCAAATCAAGCAACGCCTGCGAGCCACTCGACCGGTGCTCGTGGGCCACAATCTTTTCACCGACCTGATATACTTCTGCCGATGCTTCTTCGGGCCTCTGCCGGATCGTGTCGAGGAGTTTCAATCGATGACTCATGAGATGTTTCCTGTTCTGATGGATACAAAATATATGGCTACCCATGATTGCGGTTCCATCAACCCTACGTCTTCCTTGCAAGATATTCACAACAAGCTGGCTCCCAACCTTTACCCGAAGACCAGTAAGTGGCCTTTACCAGGTCCGCCATCTAGATGAGACTAACATACCTGCTTCTGCTAGAGCTTGCTTCTCGGCATACAAAATACGAAGCTCAAGGCATCAACCATGAGGCGGGCTATGACAGTTTGCTCACCGCCGAAGTCTTCATCAAGCTCTCTGCACAGCTTCGGGACCGGGGCGCAGACGATGAACCTACACCGCCAGCCCAGGAGCTTATCTGGCAGGGTCAACCGATTACACAGATACAGACTCCAGACAGGGGCGCATACAAAACTGATTTTGGGCAGGGCCAGAGGCTGAGCCTGCCTATCCAACAACAGAATCGAGACAGAAGCAAGAACACACAGGCGACAGGATTAACTCCAAAGTCTGGTCGGCCTGCGTCGGCTGAGTCGCACGAGCAGCTCGTTGAGCACACGAGCAATAATTATATGAATCTCCGCACGGGCGAGGCTGAGGAGGCCAGCAAGAGCGCGGCTCTCAGTGTCAGCGCCGAGTCTCCAGGAGCGTCTGGGATGGCGCTGAGACCCAGTAACTCGATAGCAATCCAAGATAGAGCTAACCGTGGACGGCTGATCCCTCGACTAGACGCCAAATTCTGGAGCACCTATGGAAACAAGTTGCGGGTCTTTGGGACGCAAGAGAGGGTGTGCCACTTTGGTTGAAGCGCATCGAGACCACCAGAAATAGCAATCCCATAGACTCCGGCATGAAGTAATGTAGCGATAAGCTTGTGATTTACATTTACTACAAGTTACTACTAGCCCGAGTATCCCAATTGCCCAGCGTAACTAAACTGAGTAATGGCGGGGAATGTATGCAGCGTCTATCTAACAGTACACCTTGGTTCAAGAAGGTACCGCTAGCGAAAAATGGCCGCAAAGTACTCACTCTGAGCACCGGAAAAATGATCGACTGGTCGTGGAAAAACTAGAACAGTGACGATAAGGAAATGGTGCCGTGAGGAGAAAGAAAAGAAAAAAGAGGGAACGGATTTGGTGGGGACGGATTATAAAGGGCCTGGTCACGTGCAATGCTAGCCTTGGGACGGGACTAGAATTGTTCCGGCTGGAGTGCCGCCGACAGACAGACAGAGAGAGAGAGAGAGAGAGAAGCAGGTGACCGCCGCGCCGCCAACTTTTCTCGTCCAGTATCGGCGTCCGGGAGGGAGAGTATATTGACAATCACACCCCCCCAAACATTTCACATAGCCCTTTGGAGAGATGTCTTCCGGGTCCAATGGTGCCAGGCGCATAGCGTCGCTTCTGCGTAAGTGAATCTTAATTTTCTGTCTTTCCCCATTTTGCTTTGCAATCGGACGACGGACAGCTAAACTGTTTTTTATCTCTCCCAAACAACAGGGCCTTCCGCCTCCGACTCTAGAGTGTGCAGAAGCTGTCAAGAGACCATCGTCCGCCGACAATATGCCTCTGCTGCGACGACGCAGGGCACCCCCGAGACCACGACCGCGCCGCCCAGCTCGGCCTTCCCCGTCGTGAAGCCCACCCACACCATCAAAGCCGGCGTACTGCTGTCCCGGCAGCCCCAGATCACCCGCGACCTGACCGATTTCGAGAAGGCGTACTTCTTTTACCAGCGCCGCCTGAACGAGCGGCTGACGCTCCCCTTCACCAAGTACTTCTACTTCAAGCGCGGCACGCCCGCCGACGAGGACTGGAAGCGCAAGATCCGCGAGCGCCAGACCGCCGCCCGCGACATCGGCAAGTACAACGCCTACTCGAAGGATGCGTGGAACGACGAGCTGCTCGTGGGCGCCGTCGAGTCCGACCCGGCCCACCAGGTCGAGATGCTCGTCCAGGACGCCGAGGCCACCGCCAATGCCACCTCCCAGGACACCAGCAAGAAGGAGGAGATCCCCCGGCCGTTCCCCCGGTGGACGGAGGCGGACGAGAAGGGCGACGACAAGAGTCTGAACCGGGCCCTGCAGCGGACGCTGTATCTTCTCGTGCAGTCGAAGGAGGGATACTGGAAGTTGCCCAGCTCGGCGGTGGAGCCGGAGGAGACGATGAAGCAGGTATGTTTTTTTTTTCTTCTCTAAAACATAGGTGATTGTGAAAACGCGGCGTCCTCTAACCTATCTTTGCAGGCTGCCCAACGTACCCTCGCCCAGGCGGCGGGTGTTAACATGAACACCTGGTTCGTGGGCTACCACCCCGTCGGCCACTACGTCTACAACCTCCGCAAACCCTCCTCGGAGCTCCGCGGCGAGAAGACCTTCTTCATGAAGGCGCGCATCTTCACCGGCCAGGCCGACTTGACTGGCAATGCTGATAACCTGACCGATTTCAAGTGGTTGGCCAAGGACGAGATCGCCAAGTACGTCCGGCCACAGTACTATGCCAGCATCAAGAACATGCTGGCCGAGCGGTAAACGAAAACCTCCTGAGGATGTTTTTGCTTCGTTTCCACTGTACTGTTAGGATAGAATTAGATTGTTGAGGGGGTCTGCGGGGTGTGTGTGGCAGTTAGAACCGGGAATATCTGCATATATTTTGTATGTGTGTGTGCGTGTGTGTCATGTATAACTAGCTTTTTTTACTACCAAAGTTCTTATTCCAGTTAACTGTTGGATATCATGTGCAAACAACCGTCTGCTGCCTTGACCTTTCCCTTGCAATTGCACCCCTGAACGCCATGCCACTCACGAGAGAGATATTTACCTAGTAATCCCCCCGATGATAAGGAAAAATCATAACACCCACACGGACGAAACCAACATCTCAAACAACAAACCAAACCACAAAATAGAACCATTCACTTCAAATTAAACTTCTGCCCCTGCACAACCGGCTGCCCCTTAGCCACCACCCCCTTAGCCAAACTCTTCCCACACATCGGACAAGCTAGATCTACCCGTCAGTAACTTAACTAACTTGTGTTACTTCCATAAAAAAACACACCACAACCCCTCTCGCAAAGCACACAACCACAAAAGAAGGGGGGGGGGGGAGGGGAGACAAACAATTCTTCTGATAAGCGCACCGCTGGCAGTACTTCCGGCCCTGCTCGGTCTTGGTCTTGCACATCTCGCACGAGGACGAGTACGCCGCGTAGGGATTCTTGGCCTTGGAGCTGAGGAGTTTACTCTGGCGTTTTCGGGTTAGTGACAGGTACTAGAAGGATTGGGGAGCAGCGACTAACCTTCCCGATCCCCGTGTTCCCTAACGTGGGTTTCGATTTGTCTGCGTGACTGCTGCTGGCGCTGCCGCTGCCGCTGGTCGCGGGGGAGCCGTAGTACATCTCGCTCTTGCGCTTTACACCCGGGGTGGCTAGTTCGGTTTGTTTGAGTTTCTTTTGGCATTTGGCGCAGACCATTTTAGATTTTTTTAAAGGTTGGGGTGGATGGGGTGGGTTTCTTGGTTTGTTTGGGGTTGGGGTGTAGAGCTGAGGGGGTTTCTATGAGGGATTAGGTGGATAGTTGAGGTGTTGGATGCTTGCTGGTGGATGGATGGATGGATGGATGGAGAGATGTGGCGCGGGGCCGGATGGCTATGACGCCACTTGGTGGTGTGGCGCAGTTGCTGGGGTGTGCTGCATTTGATGTCTTTGAGTATTCATTTATTTGGTTTCAGTTGGACTCTGATAGTTGTAGTTTCTAGGAAATGGATCGGACTAAATTTGCTGATGATTGACTTTGGTGTTCACTACTGGGGAAGGTTTGCTGAGAGTGGTTGATGGTGTCATGGTTCTATATTTCTGCGGTCAACTGGCCGCGTACTACACATCCAGATGTTATGTGTAGTGCTTAGATGCAGTAACCGTTGGCCATAGAGGCCTCTCACTAAGTTCCTCACAAATGAAAGCACAAGATAGAGTCACTCGTCAACTTTAGTAGTGGAATGGTGCTTGTACTCAGAACAATGCTCATCCAATTACAGCAGGGTTAATATCCCACTAGCAAGTGACAAGTCATAGTTCGAAGAATATTCCAGGTCATTGTGCCTTAGCCTCCAAGCAGGCCAATAACCACCAATATCCCGAAAACACATGCAAATCCTCGGATTCGCCTGCAGTTTGCTTGGGCTGACACAGGAACGAGATCCACGCCACGCTGGCCGGCTGGTGTGTATCCTTTCGAGACCCGAGACGCAACTCGGAGGAAACCTGAAATCCACTTTAGCGAAATCATAACAATATGGATGGACTACACAGCTGGATAAAGTGCAGTCATCTGCGACGGTGGGTGGTGTGGCAACTGGCGAGGATTAAATACTGACTTCGCCCACTTCGGCTTCAGCTCTTCTTCACCCACCCCCAACCTCGAGCCCACCAATGTCCGACCAGCAGCTCACAGTCGTTATTGCTCAGCTCACTGGACTCTCAGCTGTTCTGGACTCTCAGCTTTCCAGGGGTCCACTCTTCAGAGACCTGCATCATGGCAGGGCTGTCTGGTGGTTGCTTTTTTGTTTCCCAATGGCTGCAGGGTGACCCGCCACTCGTGAACTGGTCTACATCGGTCACTGATGCGTTGCTAACCCAGACCGCAGACTGGATGCTTCCAGACGGCGAAAGCGAAGACCAAGACTGAGAGAAAGTTACTGACATAAACTGACAAGAATAGAAAGCACGCCTGCGCACAGGAAAAAAGAGAAACATCAAAATATTGGCGGCGCATGGTGCACAGTCAAGCCAACTCTTTGGAACCTTTAGCTCCACGCTCCACGCTCCACGAGCGCCAATTCCAGCAGAGTGGTTCGGCCACTTGCTGTCCAATCTTTCTGCCAGACCTTCATTCTGGCAAAGCCAACCAACATGCTCTGTCCCCAGCCATGGCAATATAAAACAGTGGCCCCTGGTGGTGGGAATTGCCACGGCTGGGCGTTCTCATCCTCGGGCTTCTTGTCAGATTCCCGCCGATTTTCGTCAGGACACAATACATCACCAGTGGCTTCTACCATTGTTTCTCCTAGATTGACACGTATCAAACGTCACCTACACCTTCATCCTGCCTGAGGTCTACTAGACTGTGCTGGAGGAGACAAACTTCGCCAAAAGTCTTATCCCTGACTCTGGGATTTTGCTTTTTTTGTCAGATCCTTCTTGGCCGCCCGGACCAGGCTTGGACTCCCTACTAGCTTCTCGACTGCTGACGCCTTCTTCCCTCATTAGCTCTCGATCAGCGGAATTGGACGGCACGTTTAGGTCGAACACGGCGTGGCCAACCGGGGGGTGGTGAGTCCCTTGCTTCAAGGAGGTTAACGAAAGGGGACCTCGACTACACAGCGGCACACCTTCACCGCGATTCTATCCTCCCAATTCTCTCTCAGATATTTCTTCTACTCTCTCGACGGAATTGATTTCCCTAGCCTGAAGACCGTTCAATGCTTAAGGTTTGAACCTTAATAGTGGCGGTTGATCTAGGGTGCTTGTCATACGTCCGGGCGGGTCAAACACGGGGTTCTGCTGCGATATAGATTATACGGATCACACGCTCCCCAGGAAACCGAGACAATGCCTCCCAATGGCTCTTCGTTCACATCTCTGAATCTCCCATCAGCATTTACCCTCCCGCGATGCATGGAGTACTTCACCGTTACTGCGGGACCCAACACGGATCTTTGGCGCAAACCAGGTGTCCGTGACACCGCCACCGCTCCAATCGTCTTCACCTCACTCCGACGCCGGTTCGAGGTCGCCGAGGTGACCGTGACCGCGGATTGGGAGATGGAATGGGATCAAGGCGGGCTAGTGATCTTCGCCGGAGCGGCACCGCAGTCATCAGAGGATGGATCGATGCACCATGTGCCATTATCACCGCCGCTACCGGGGACGTCTCCCGCCGCCGCCGCCGCTCGACTCGGAGCCACGCCCCATGCTAATGTCAGCCCCGGCAAATGGGTCAAAGCCGGCATGGAGTTCTATTCCGGGACGATGAATGTCTCCAGTGTTAGCGCCACGGTCGACGGCGCGGACTGGTGCGCCTCGCCGTTATCCTATCCGGAACACGGCCCTGCGGTGGTGCACTCGCTGCGGATCAAGCTGGAGCGGGTCGGCCACGCCCTCTGGATCTGGTACCAGGTGCCCGCCGTCGCGGCGCCGTATGCGATGATGACGACGGGTGCGCTGCCCAGTGGGATGTGGCGCAAGCTGCGGGAAGTGACCTGGTTCTTCTACGGGGTTGAGGACAAGTTCGTGCACGTGGGCGTGTACGCCAGTCGCCCGAACCGGCTGTCGCGTAGTGCGACGATGTGGGAGATGATGAATGGGGATGGGTCGGAGGGGACGGGGGCGGTGGATGGATTGGTGGTCGAGTTTGAGGATCTGGAGATTTCTTAGGAGTTGATTCTTGTGCTGGAGCTTCTCGAAATGCTCATGGCGATGTTTGCTGCTGCAGGATAGCATGCATGATGGGCGTTTCCCGGGTTTTCACGAGTTTGAAGACCGCTGCTGCTGCTTCTCTTTCTTTCTTGAGTGTGTCTCCTTGGTAATCTGGTTATGGCGAGAGCGGAATCGGCGTCCTTGACGGGGAGCTTTCAGTGGGAGCTACTTAGGTGTCTGGATGCATTGAGGGTCCAAGTTGCTATGTAGGCTTTTAGGTACTGTCCAATCTACCGAATGTTCTCGTTTCTAGAGATCGAGAGGCATATCCGACCTCCTCGCAATTACACCTTATTCTTCGGCGTCATTGGCCAGCATCCTCCTGGAAAATGTATCTCATTTTCGAGTCGATGCATCGCCACCCACTCCATTCTTTGAACAGCTGATGCCATCGACAAGATTTTCTTAAGTCGTGTTCGTGTTCAGGAACTGTCCAGCAACCCATCGCAATCTGTGCAGTCCAGTCCAGTCCAGTACACTCTTCTTATTCACCCACATAAACATCGACGTTCGCGGATCCGGCCCATCGAAACACACACCTACCTCTCTGGCAGAGATGCATGCATGCAACCCCGAACCGGTCAACAGACCACCGAGTCCAAGTAGTCCAAAGATCTTCCCGAGTTCTCTGCCTAGAGTTCGGGTATGGCCATGCTCAACTGCCTCTCTTATCTGTTGCCTGTCTTATCTACGTAGGTATAGCGAAATCAAACCAACAATCGCGGCGTTGTCATGCGACAGTTGCCCGGATGGAGCAGCCCCTCCATAGCCAGCCCGGTGCCCGCCCATCCGCCTAGGGCCAGGGCAGGGCAGGGCAGGGCAGGGCACCAAACCCCTCGACGCTTTCCGTGGGTTCCGCTCCCGACCCTCCCTTCCTCTCCTCTCCACCGCCGGGCCTGTTCTTGAGAATAGTGGAAACGAGGTTGGAGAAAGGGGGAAAAGGTTTTCTTTTTCAGTGTGCTGCATCGCCTCACAATCAGGGGAGGGAGAAAAGGGATACGAGAATTTGACGGGTTATAAAAAGAACAGATCCCCCCAATATATCGGCAATAAGGGGGAGGGGCATCATGGTGATGGAGACGGTAGATGAACTCGACTCCGCAGTGTGGGATAGGGGAAGATGAGAATGAGGGATACGAGAAATTGAGAGACGAGACAAGCCTCCAGGGTTCAGGTTGTTGTGTGAGTGAGGTCCTTTTGAGTGGCTAAACAATGGGATTGATTTTGGAATGAAAGCTTTTTTTCCCACCGGTTCATGTGCTGCACTTGGATGTACTGTACTGTACATAAATATTTTACTGCAGTATAGTGTAGGCATGAGTAAGTAAGTTATAGTTACTGTAGTCAGCTTGTTCCCCAATGGTTGAGCAGGTAACTTAGTGCCAGCACAGCAAGCAACTGTGGGACCCCCTCTCTCGGAGGCTGCAGCAGCGCAGCAGCGCAGGAAGATCCTGCGGCGGAGATCTTGGTGTGCATATCGACTCCGTAAAGTCCAGTAACCTGCACCGATGGGGAATGCCCAGATCCGAGAGTCTATTCAGTTACTCCGGCCTATACAAATCAGAGCTTCTGGTCCGATGGATGTTTACTCGAATGCTGGAGCTGGTTGTATGATGTTTTTTTCTTGTTGTTTTGTTTTGTTTTGTTTTTCCCTCTCTTCCTTGGGGGGGGGGGGGGGGGGGGGGGGGGGGGGGAGCGCCCGGTGGAGATCCCGAATCACAGGAAGGGAAGATTATTGATGGCGCCACTATTTGGGGGGAGGGGTCTGCCGACGCCACTAGTGGTTAGCTAGCACCCTGGTGGTCTTTCTGCTTGAGATTCTGAAGTCGTCTTCCTGTGGTCAGTTGCGACGGGTAGGATGTACTGTACTGTAGGGCAGCAATTGACAACTTGAGCAAGTGGTACAGATAGATAGTTGTACTGTACACAAGAGAGCATAACGCTTCTCAAGGTGCTGGGAAATCCACAAATATAGAAATTCTTATCTACCGCCCGGCGGGCAAAAGCCCACACCTCCAGCTGCATGCTTACCTCAGCCGTGCAACGGTCCAGAAGTGGATGCCTTTTACTGGCGGTGATTGGTGGGGCTGGCTCACCGCATTTTCTTTTCTGCTTTTAGTTCGAGTTCCCGATCTGCGTGCACCGCATCGCAGGTCTTGTTCTTGCAGGCTTGCAGCTCCCTCTCTCTCTCTCTCTATGGGCTTGCGAATGGCCCGATTGGGAAGCCCAGGCATTGCGCGGGACACCCATCCGAGAAGAGACGCCATTTCTTCCGCCGCGGATTGGTTCGTGGAGGATGGTTGATGTCTGATAACCTTGGCGGAGTGGGTGGTTTTGCGTAGGATTAAACTCTTGGGCCTCTCTTATCCTCCCCTCCTCGCCTCCTTATGGTCAATTCTCCGGACTGTTCATACATCGACGCTTAAATCAACAATCGATTATAATCGAGGAGAAACACAAGAGACTAGATGGTCCGAAGCCAAACGCGAATTCAAAATGACATACAACCAAATCATTACGATGCCAACTCCCAGCTGCCCCGCCAACTACCTAGTGGTTACCACCAGTAAACCGAACTAGTTCTCCATCGGTCTTCCGTGCGGACCCAGTTTTACACTATTCAATTTTTTTTTCCCGCTCTCTCCCTCACGCTTGCTGCTCTCATTCGAGTCAAAAGAGTTCAACCACAACACCTGAACATACCTTCTGGGATTGATTGACTGACTGACTGACTGACTGAGTGACAGCCAGCCAGCCAGACAGACAGACAGAAGCTAGACTAGTCCCAAAGTCTGCCACTGATTATTCCCGACTTCCCCTCTTCCCCCCCTCCGTCTTCCCTCTTTGTTTATTTTACTATCATCATCAATTCTATTATCTCCAACTCACCAACCACTCACTACCTTCCCAATTGTACCACCTTCCCCCCCCTCCTCCCTAAACTACTCCTCCATCTTGCCCTCTTCTTCTTCCTCTTCCTCTCCCTCTTCCTCTTCATACCCCTCCTAAGACACACATTCACATACACACCCACCCACCTTCCTCCCTTACCTCTTCCCCCCCCGTCTCCTCCCTCCTCATTTACCCTCCGTGCGCGGGTGGCCATTTTTTTTTTTTTCTAACCCGGTCCGAATCTTCTCCGCATCCCGCCGGACGCTTCGCCTTTTGTACAATATCGCTGTTTTCGAGTTGAACTCCTTTCGCTTCCCCTTTTGCGCTGTTGGCGAATATCCGGCGTTCCTAACGACTGTAACGACATCCCCCAACCTCGACGACGATTCACAATGGCTCCCCCCGCTGGTGAGACTGTGACCATCTCGATCCGACGTCCCATCGACGACCCCATCTACCTGGCCGGCACCTTCTCCGACCCCCAATGGGAACCCGTCGAGCTCAGCTCCAAGCCCGTCGACACCGAACCCGATGAGGACGGACTTATCTCCACCGAATATCTCTTCTGGCACGATCTGACCCTGCCTCCCGGCCAACATCAGTACAGATTCCGTGAGGGGAAAAAGGGCCCCTGGTTTCACGATGAAGCTGTAAAGCATGGTAGGCATTTCCCTCCGACATCTATGCCTGGGCTTTGCATTGTAGCGCAGGGTTTCTGAGTTTGTAGGCTTGGTTCTTTGCGTGTGAGAGAGAAACTAATTGACTATGCTATGTAGTACCGGGTGAGGATGGCCTCGTCAACGTGCTTACTGTTGGGGAGAAGGAGTCCGCGGCCGATGCTGTTCAGCCCGTCATCGAGAACGATGTCAGCGAGAAAACGGAAGAGACTGTGTCGGAGGACGCCACGCCCAAGGAGAACGGGGTCAATGGAGTCGCCGAGCACGACACACCTGCGCAGGAGTCTACGCCCGAAGAGCACAAGCCTGAGCCTCTCGCCGCTCAAAAAGAGACCGAGCTGGAGGAGCCTGTCACTAACGGCAGCACCGCGACCACTGAGGTCAATGGAACCGAGACTGTGGAGCAGCCCTCGGAAGAAAAGCCTCCGGTCACTGCGAACGCCCCCGAAACCGTGGAAGAGAAGCCCGCCGAAGCCGAGACAACCTCTGAAAAGGAAGAAGCCGCCGCCACTCAGACTCAAGAAGCTCCAGTCATCACTGAAGTTGCCGAAGCCGCCACAGACGCCGACAAGGACCAAACCAAGGAAGAAGAACCGGCCATTGCTGTTGTGAGCGCCCCGGAAACCGACAGCAAGGCAGTTGAAGAGCCTCCGACGGAGAAGGTCGCCGACGAGCCCGTGTCTAAGGTCGAAGAGCCTGCTACCGAGAGTGCGGCCGTAGAGACTGCCGCGGAGGAAACCCCTGCAGTGGAAGCCGTCTCGGAGAAGCCTGCTGAGACCGAGCCCGTTGCGACTGAGACTGCTGAGGAATCGACCGCTCAAGAGCCCGTCGAGGAGCAGCCCGTCAAGGAGGTGGAGGCAACTGAGGCCGCAGTGGTCGAGTCTACGGAAGAGGCTGTTAAGGAGGAACCCTTGACACAAGAGCCATCCGAGTCTGCTGCTCCTGTCGAGTCCACGACTGAACCCAGCGCTGCGGCCAAGGAGCTGCCCGAGGATAGCAAGACCCAACAACCTCTCGAAGTTGCTGCTCCTGCAGTTGCCGACGAATCTGTCGCTCACGAGGCTCCCAAGAAGTCCGACGAGACCCCCGCTGTTGAGATTTCCGCTCAGGAGCCTGCCAAGGAGGAGCTTCCCACGGAAGAGCCTGTGAAGGAGGAATCCGTCAAGGAGGAGTCCGTTGCCGAGCCTAGCACCGAAAATGTTACGGAAGAGCCAGTTGTCACCGAGACGCTATCGGAGGCGGTTTCTGCTCAAGAATCGACTGAGACCCCTGCCACTGCGGGAGCCGAAGCCGAACAAGCCGCGGAGGAGCCTACTGAGACCCAGGTCGCAGAGGCTTCTGCCATCGAGCCTCTTCCCGAAGTGGCTTCTACCGGGGCGGGCGAGAAGGAAGAGCCTGTTGCGGAGCCAGTCACCGAGAAGTCTCCCGAGATTGCTGCCGAGGTTGCGCCAGTGGAAGCTGCCGCCGAAATCACGACCGTGGATGAGTCCAAGGCTGAAGAATCCGTGCTTGAGGAGAAGCCTGTAGAGGAGGCTGTCACTGAAGCCCCGGCTGAGGTAGCCGCTGCTGAAGCTTCTGAGCCCGCCAAGGAGCCTGTCGCTGACGAGCCTACTCCTGAGGTCTCTCACGCTGAACCTGTGGAGGAGCCGAAGGAGACCACGGTTGTTGATGACAAGGTGACGGAGGTGAACGCTGTTGGGGAGCCAATGGAGCCACCTGTGGAAGCCGCCAACGAACCCGCCCAGACCGAAGCCGCTGCCGAGGAACCTACTTTGGAAGGCGCAACCGCCGAAGCCACTACTCAGGAGGAGCCTGCTCACCAAGAGACCGTTGCGGAGAAGCCGGTTGTCGAGACTTCTGCTGAAGTCACTACCCCCGAAGCCTCTGCTCCCGAGATCGTCCAAGAGCCTACTGAGAAGGAAATTGTCACTGAGGAGCCAGCCGTGGAGAACTCTGAGAAGGCTGTTGTGGAAGAGCCGGTTGTTGAGGAGCCTGCCGTTGAAGTCCCCGCTGAGGTGGAAAGCGTGAAGGAACCTGTTGTTGAGCCCATCCAAGAGCAGACCGTGGAGGAGCCTGTGGCTGAGAAGCCGGTTGCCGAAACTTCGGTGGAAGAACCTGCCAAGGAGGAATCTGTTGTTGAAGCTCCTGCTACTGAAGCGCCCGCAGCTGAGGAGCTAGCTGCTGAGACCACTTCTGAAAAGGCGACAGAAGAGCCTGCTGTTGAGGAGGGAGTTGCTGACGCAGTTGCTGCTGAGGTTACTGAAGAGCCAGCTACCAAGGAGGAATCCGCCGTCGAGGAATCCGCCGTCGACCCCACTATCGAGAAGGCCTCCGAAGAGCCGGCCATTGAGCAACCAGTCGCCGAAACCACCCTTGAGAAGGAGATTCAGAAGGAGCTCACAACGGAGGAAGAGCCAGCTGCTGAAGAGCCTGCTGTTGAGGCCACTCCTGAGGTCACTCACGAAGACGTTTCGGAGGAACCCATTGCCGAGACTCCTGCTATGGAAGAACCCATTGCTCAAGAACCTGTTGCTGAGCCCATCGTTGCCGAGACTGCCAAGGCCGTTGAAGAGCCTGCTCAGGAGACCCCCGTTACCGAGGAGTCAACTCACGAAGCCCCCACCGTGGAGGAAGTTGCAGAGCAGGAAAAGACTGTTGAGGAGCCCGTCGCTGAGGCCACCGAAGAGCCCGCCTCTTCCACTGAGCAGCCAGCTCCCGAGACTTCTGCTCCCGAGGAGCCTGCCGATGAGGCGCCTGCTGTCCACACTACTGCCATCGAGACTGCCGAAGAGAAAGCTCAGGAGGAGCCTACCGTCGCTGTCGAAGAGCCCGTGGTGGAAGCCGCCGCTGCTGAGGAACCCATTACCGAACAGCCTACCGTTGAAGAGCCCGCCCAAGCCGAACCAGCTGCCGCTGAGCCCGTGACTGAGGATGTTGTTGAAGCTACAGAGACCGTTCAGGAGCCTATTGCCGAAGAGCCCGTCACTGCAAAGGTCGCCGAAGTCGCGGAGCCCATCAAGGAGGAGCCTGTCGCCGAGGAATCTGCTCAACCCGAGCCAGCTGCTGCCGAGAAGGCCACTGAGGAGGTTGCTGAAGTTGCGGAGCCCGCCCAGGAGAAATCAGCTGTGGAGGAGCAAGCGCCCGAGGTTCTTGTCACCGAGGAGCCCACCGCATCCGAGCCAGTGACTGAGGAGGTTGTCGTTGCTGAAGAGGTTGCTCCTGTTGCGGAGACGCCCGCTGAAGAGACTCAAGAAGAGCCCAAGGAGGCCCCTGTTGTCGAGGAGACTCCCGCCGTCGAGGAGAGCGTTGTTCCAGAGGTCGCCCTCGAGAAGTCTCACGAGGAGCCTAAGGAGGCACCTGTTGTTGAGGAGGTTCCTGCTGTGGAGGAGACCCCCGCTGTCGAGACCGCTACTGTGGAGGAAACCCCAGCTGTCGACGAGACTCCCGCCGTGGAGGAGGTTCCTGCTGTCGAGGAAGCCCCTGTTGTCGAAGCTGCTGCCGAAGAGACTCCTGCTGTTGAGGAGGTTCCCGCTATCGAGGAGACCCCTGCCGTCGAGGAGACCCCCGCCGTAGAAGAGACACCCGCTGTCGAGGAGACCGCTACTGTGGAGGAAACCCCCGCTGTTGAGGAAACCCCCGCCGTGGAGGAGGTTCCTGCTGTCGAAGAAACCCCCGCTGTCGAGGAGACCGCTACTGTGGAGGAAACCCCCGCTGTCGAGGAAACCCCAGCTGTCGAGAAGACCCCCGCCGTTGAAGAGACTCCCGCCGTCGAGACCGCTACTGTGAAGGAAACCCCCGCTGTCGAGGAAACCCCAGCTGTCGAGAAGACTCCCGCCGTCGAGACCCCTGCTGGTGAGGAGGTTTCTGCTGTCGAGGAAGCCCCTGTTGTTGAGGAGACCCACGCCCTTCACGAGAGCGCTACTCCAGAAGTCACCACCGAGAAGTCTCAGGAAGAGCCTAAGGAAGCCCCTGTTGTTGAAGAAACTCCCATCGAGGAGACTCTCCCCGAGGTGCCTGCAGCAATCGTTGCTGACGAGCCTAAGGAGGCACCGGTTGTTGAGGAGACCCCCATCGAGAAGACTATCGATGAGGTTGAGCCGACTGCAGCAGCTGTGGAGGAGCCTGTCGCTGTGCCCGTCCAAGAGTCTGCTGAGGAGTCTGTTCCTGAGGTCGCCGAGAAGGAGGCAGTTGTTGAAGCGCCCGCCGCGGAAGACTTTATTCCTGCAGTCATCAAGGAAGACGTTGCCCGCGTGACGGAAAGTGCCGACGAGCCTGTTGCTGCTGAGCCAACACCCGAGACTCTTGCATCTGAGTCTGCCTCCGAGACTACTCCGGTCGAGGCGGCTGAGGAACCCCAAGTGCAGGAGGAGGAGCAACTTTCTGAACGTGTGTCTTTCGCCGAGATTGAAGGCAAGGAGGTGCAAGCCCCCATCAATGGAGTCATCAACACGCAGACGGCTGCCCAAGAGGAAGTCACCGACGCTGCTAGCGCCGTCAAGGAAGATACTCCTGTCGAGCCGGCTTCGTTGCAGTCGGAGGAAGTCAGCAGAGAAGTTGTGCCTGAAGATATTGTCGCTTCTGAACCTGTTGCTGAGGCTGCTACGGAGCAAGAGTCCCCCAAGGACAGTCTTCTGACACCCGAGATTATTGCCGCCGGCGCTGCCGCCGCCGTTGCTGCTGGAACTGCTGCTGCCGTTGGAGCCGCTTCGGTCTCCCACAAGGGGGCTGAGGCTGCTGCACCTGCTGAGACCAAATCACAGGAACCCCAGCCCGAGAACAAGGACAAGGCCGTCAACGTTGTGCCTGGAACTTGGCCCACTGAGGGTAAGAGCTCTCTGGCCACGAGTAAGCAACTCAGAACTGACCCTGATGCAGCCCACGCCGGTGACGACGCCGCCAAATCGACCCGCCAGCCCACCGCCGAATCGTCATCGAACGCTGCTGACAAGGCCGTGGCCACCAAGGGAGATGAGAACCCTCGCTCACAGAGTCAAAATCGGTCAGTCACCGCTGTTTCTCTGAATCATAAGAAGCATGACAGCTGGTTGAAGACTATCTTACGCGCTGTGTTTACCAATTTCTTTGGAGCAATCTTTTCTCCCTTCCGCCGTCGCGGAGGGAACAACCAATAGATGTGTCTCCTGGAGATGCTGTTTTCAATGAAGCCCTTTCCTTGGGAAGAGTGGAGATTTGTCCAGAGTTTTGCTGCTTACGTTTGTTTATTGCCAACGCTAATGTGAATCAGGAGTCTGTTCTTGATGACCGTTTTTGCTGCCCCCTTGCTCGCATTTGTTTGGCACGCATATACCCGCTGAGTTGTTCGAATTTCTTGATGCGAACCTGCGCCGCTCATTTTTATTACTCGAATCGATTCCCCTGTATTTGATATCTTCGATGGTTTTCTAGGACGAGTATGTTTATCGCTAGTGTTATTTTACTCTGCTCAAGATTGTTCGAGTGTTTTATCTGAAGTGTTTAATGGGGAGGGCAAGACTGCTGTCTTTTCCGTGGCAGTTGCAGTTGCAGTCTACAGTTTACAGTTTTGCAGTTTGTGCACAGTTCAGACGCAGATTATTGTTTACCCCATAGCATATAATGATGTCCTATGATTGATGATAATGAGATTACTGGTTCAATTACTTGTTTGTCTTGGTGTCTCTTGTTTATCATAGAATTATACATTGGTTACACTGAGAAGTTGATTCGATCACAACCACCGTAGCCCTAAGATGGTTGATTACACCTTAAACCTTAGTTCTGCATCACCAGTATCGAGTACTAAAACGGTCTGTAGTTGGCGAGTTAGGGCTTCTAAACATCCTCGTACCCTCCAATCAGCACGAATGAAAAGTCAATAATCTCTAGCCACGATTTTATAGATCGATTTATTTTATACTATTTGTTATCTGAACATAAAATGGTTGATAGAAACTGGAGTAAATACTACTGCTATGATTTGAAAAACCTTATTAAATTCAAAACTCGTCAAAATCTAAAACTGATATCTTATATATGAGATTTTTTAAATATGTGATCAGTCTCTGATCGACCCGAAGCTTCGTTCGCAGATTGGAGAGGAACCCGGGTCATTGAATGACTCAGCCCACAAGAGTTCCAGCCATTGCAGGGGAAGGTAGATTGCTGCCTGACGGGGCGATGTTTTCTTTTTAGGATGGCAGGGCGAGACTTTTGAACTGGGCGGTGGTCTCCTGGATGGCGCGTTCGACGGGGAGGCGCTCCATGGCACTGGCGCCGTAGAAGCCATGCAAGCCGCGCACGCGCTCCAGGACGAAGCGGGCGTCGGCGGGCGTGGCGACGGGGCCGCCATGGCACAGGACGAGGATGTCCGGGCGGCGGCGCACGGCGGCGTCGGCCGGGGTGAAGACGTAGGGGGTGGTCAGGAGGCCGCGCGCCGCGGCGTGCCGCACGAGCGCCACCTCCCGGCCGTACCCCATGCCCGTCTCCTCGAGGTGGGCGCGGAACTGCCCATCGATCAGCCCCACGGTCGGGAAGTTCTGGATCCCCGCGTAGCCGAGCGCCGTCAGCCGCGCCAGGAACCGCGGCCCGTCCGTGAACGGGTCGGTGCCGCACACCCCCGCGATCACCGGCGTCGTCCGCCGCACCGCCCCCAGCACCTCCGCCGCCATCTCCTCCACCGTCGCGTTGGCGTTGCTGTACGGCATCAGCCCCGCCAGGCTCCCGCACCCCGCCATCCGGAACCGCCCGCTGTTGTACACGATGATCAGGTCGATGCCGCCCGCCTCCGCCGCTTTGGCCGACAGTCCGATTCCTGGTGGATGATCTCCTTAGTGATGCGGAATCGAGACAAGAAGACACCAAACCCCCAGACAGAAAGAAGGGAGACGAGGGCAATGAAGTAGGGACAGGACATACCGGCTCCGGCTCCGATGATAGGCTTCCCGTCTCGAATTTGACGGCGAAGCCGGTCAAGAATTTCACTGCGACTGACAGGTGACGCCATCTCGGAAGAGGGGGGGAAGTTTGTAAACCACCAAACGGGTAGTGGTAGCTTGAAATCAGATGTGTTCAGGCCCAGGCCCCGCGAGTCTCCAAGGGTAGGTAGGTGAATGGCTGACTAGCGAATATGATTTATTTGGTCGATTGGAAACCTCGGGGAGGTCGCCCCTATTTATCTGGGATCTGGGTTATCAAGTGTGTTCAGTGTCAAACAAATTAGGATGGTCATGTGGCAATGGATGGTTCTTACAACTTTTGACAAATTCCAGGGTTCATTCTGCCCGTCCTCAATATACGTTTCGCCCTCAGGAAAAGGCGGGGCGGAGCGGGGCGGAGCGGAGTGCGGAGACGGCGGACGAACGGCGGATATAAGTCATGGCGCGCGGAGATAGCAAAGGTGGGGGGGGGGGGGGGGCGGGTGACGAATTGTTCAACCTGGCAATTTCTCCCCCGTCGACGCACGCAGTAACTTAATGCATTGCACTTCGAGGCCGAAACGTATTTGAGATCCGAATTTCCGACGGCCGTGTGTCATCGGTTGTAGAACGCCGGCGGTTTAACCTCCCGATTTCCCAGCAGCCATGGGCTGCACAGTCCCCCTGGCAGGGCTTGGTCATCGAAAGCAAGATAATTTGAGTCGGAGTCGGAGCGCGAAACCGTTGGGTTGGCTGCCCTATATTCGCACATGTCTGGTAAATGGTCAACGGTTAACGTTAACTGATCAGACTCGTGTGCTTACGTAACAACAAGAGGTTGCGGCCTCGCCCAGGCCAGGCTGCCGCTTACCGCCCACCTCGGTAATCTTAGCTAGTTCCTCTTGGACAGTCTTAGATAGCTAGATTTATCAACGATTTTATAGTGTAATCCTGGATGTTTATAATAATAATTTTGGAGTAATCATAATTCTATTAGTTGTTCACTGAGGTTTCTTACTAAGGTTTGTACTACGCGTTTTAGTTTTCGCTGCTAGAGCTTTTGATACTTACTATGGTAATCTTTATGTAGAGTTTGGTTCATAGATCAGATAGTATATAGTAAGCTAGGGGGGGTGTATTAGTGTGATTGTGGAGTCGTAGCTAAACTGCTGCTTACTATCGATCTTAGTACTAGTCTTAGCTAGTCCTTCTTGAATAGCCTTATATAGCTAGATTGAATTATGATCCCATCTCCCGAAGTTCTTCCTTGCTTCCGAAAGATGATACATACCGTATGAGAACCGCAGAGTGCTAATGAGGGATCCTGAGGGGTTTCGCAAAAGCGGTTGGTAAGCGTCAGGGTGTCGTTCCAGATGCAGCCATAATCCAGTCCCACAGATCCCAATCCATGTCCATGGGGTTGAACCATTGCTGCGGCTCAATCTGCCGCAACAGACCCGGACAATCTACGCTTTCCGATATCAAATCTCGGCCATCGCCGGTCTCCATCGGCTGGTCGAGGTCGATCTGAGGATTTAACTGGGCACCCCGAGAGGCGAGGTTGCGTGAGTCACTTTCTGGTTCACCGGACGCCAGCCCTGGAGCACCCAGCCGCTTGCTTGATCTAGAAGCCGTCCTGTCAGCATCTGGTATGGTGCAGCATGATCGCATTCGACAGGCCGCCTTACAGCATCTGGCCAAGGATTCGTGCGGTGTGTGTACAGAGTTGGCTCTGTGCTTTTGACGCCTCCAGCAGAGCATGGCAATTATGCAACAGCAGCACAGCATCCAACGGACAGGGTTCCTGGGGCTCTACGGACAGGATCAGCACCAGGATGAATGCGGCGTGAAAAGCGCCCCGGCCCCGGATATACCAGTGAAAAGGCGTGAATTGAGGTGATTTGTGGAAGTCGGCATGGAGTTCCAAGATGCGCTGTGCGCTTTGCAGGCAGCATTGCTTCGACCAGATTTGTTGCGGCGGACAAACCGACACCTCTTTCAGTATGGTACTGTGGAAAAGGAGAACCAGATGATGGGCGAAGCTGAGTAGCAGATTAGCACGGATGACTGAGGAGTCGATTCCCGACCTGGAGGCGTAATTCTGCTCCAGGGGGTCGATTTCGGCCCGTATCATCGCATCCAGGCGGCGAAGCGCCGTCGAGTCATCTGAGCTTGCCCCGTACGTGGAGTTGCAGACCTTCGCGGATAATTGAAAGAGGCGTGACTTTCGAATCAAGTAGGAGACGGGTTTGATACCTACCGATGTCACGGCTGGGCTTGGCCCTCCCTGGATGATTTCGTCATTCCACACCTCGGCGGGGGAAAGGACATGGGACGAGAGCACAGACGAATAGAGATCAAAACCCGTAATCGCCATATTTTGATGATAGAGCAGTGTCGTCAGAGCTGTACCAACAGCGGCGACGCTCCTCGACTTCAACAATATCCAAAGAGAATACGGCCGGGTCCACGTGGCATCCAATCGAGAGTGCTAGGTGATAGGCAAGACCCAGAAGAGTCCAAGTTTGACCGTGGCTATGATGGATTCCATATATAAGATTTAGCAGAGCCTGCAGTGTCCATATGTTATGTCGCCACAGATAGCGATCCGCCTCGAGACATTTCATGGCTGCGGTGTAATACCGCTCCGAGAGCTCGGTGACTTGGTCCCAGGGGGTCGGTTTGCGGCTGAGGGCCCTCAGTAGAGGATCATCATGTTCCAGCGCGAGAACAGCGGCGCCCAGAATGGTGAATAGCAGAGCGAGCCAAGCTAGGGAGACCTGGTCTGGGTTCTCGCAAAATTGCCGATACCGATCATGAAACGTGGGGGCATGCAGAATAGGAAAGAGCTGGGGTCAGACGGATCCCTTTTCATCAGCCATATCGTGATGTATGTAGAGTGATCACCCGGAGATTCGGGAACAACCTACCGGGATAAACGACTGGAAATAGACCTCCTTGAGCCGGTCGCAATAGTCCGTAGGAGAAAGCTTTGCTGAAATATTGGCTCGCCTTTCAGTATCATTTCCGCCAAAAGGATAAGGTCCGCTGGGCGTGTCAGGGATGGCATGTTCCCGGCTCGGGAATGGATCCGGTTGAGAAGCTCGCTGGACAATGCGCCAACCGGAAGTATTGGGGAAAAAGCGCACGTGTCCCGATGTGGATGAGGGGATGAGAGCACCAGCTGCTGATGATCCCTGCCGATTTCCTGAATCTGGACCCGGACCAGAACCTTCAGGTAGAGGGGGTGCTTGGTCTTGCTCCCCGTTTTCTATTTGCAGCAACTGCTCCAGTCTCTGCAGCCGAGCCAGGAGATCAGGATTGGATTCTCTTTGCACAGCAGGGCTATTGGGGTGGCGGCCCGAGCCATTTCCTGGTGGCGGAGGTGGAGGCGGAGGTGGAGGTGGGCGAACTGGTGGATGTCGTTATTGCGAGGATGTCTGAGATGTCTGAGATGACGGAGAAGACGGAGCGGAGCGGATGAAGCGGTTCTTCCACGAGTTGCCACTGACTGACATAGAGCTCTACTTCGGGTATTATCTACTATCTACTATCTACTATCTACCTCGTTGCAGAACTAAAATACCGAGCAAAGGACGGAAGACAAACCCGTTTCCAATCGTCTAATATGCCGCATATCATCCTTCTGGGAACGCTCGATACCAAGCGCACAGAGGTTCTCTTTCTCTATCGACAGTTGCAGCACAATGCCGCGCGCTCTTCAACACCTCTGGAAATCACCCTGATTGACTGTGGCCGACAGGACACTACGGATGAGGCCATCACCTTCGGCCATGCCGATCTGCTATCAAAATATGCAGCTAGCCACAGCCCCGCGATGGCTGGCGGATGCATGAGTTGCGATACTAGCCGCCTGGAGGCAACACTAAAGCGTGGAATCCCCAACATCATCTCCATCGGGGCCACGGACACAGTGAACTTTGGACAGATGGAGTCCGTCCCACGGCAATATCACGACCGCAAGTTGCATGCTCATAACCCAAATGTGACCTGTATGCGGACCTCTGCAGCTGAATGCCGCAGTGTGGGACGTTTCATCCTTGACAGAATTGGCCGGTTTGCTCAGACCCCAGAAATGGTTGAGGTGTGGCTTCCTCGAGGAGGAACAAGTAGCATTGGGACAGCCGGGGTTGTGTTTGCAGATGCTGAAGCTGATGCCGCCCTCGCCGACACTCTACAATCCGGGCTGGAAAGCATGAAGGTTAGGGTGTTTTCTGATGGGCGAGATCTTAATGACAAGGGATTCGCAATTGCTATTGCGGACCGTCTTATGGCCCTCGTGGCGCAGCACTCGGCTGACATCGCATTGCGGTAGCCGGATTCTTCGTGGTTATTTTCTCTTCTCCAGATCCTTATCCAAATTAAATGACCCACTAAATGATACTTCGAAAGCGTACTGAAATCACTCCTAAGGATCCGTTCTAACAGATGGAGGATGCAGGCTGTTGCTGGGTGGGGCCAATAGGTTGACTTATACAGCTCTCATAGGCGGCGGCGATTTTTATTCGGGATAGTGAATCTTCCAGTTGTACTTGCAGATCCTGAGTTTGTCCTATTCCGGCAATGACTAGAAGAGGATCACTAACTAGGCTAGGCTTTGGTGTCTTTCGAACGGGTTACGAGACAAGGGAATTATCGACGATCGATTCAACACTTGATGTTTATTGATTAGATCCGAACATCGGTTTTGAGACATCATATCTCGCACAATGTGAGATTTGAAAGATAGGCAGGCAGACAGGTCAACCAGGACCCCGCCCACCTGAGATCAAATTGATCCTCGATCTCTCGAGGGGGAAAGTAGAATCAGTGAGTAGGTACAATTAGATCACACGAATCGAAGTAAAAGGTAGTCCTCCGCTGATGCACCAGGTTGAAAGTGGGCGCTGTGAAGGTCACATGAAAGGTTGTCGTGTCTTGATGAGACAGACGTGAATAAAAGTAAAAGAAGGAAGAGACCTGTTCGCCTAGCCAATGCAAACGCAAATCAAGACATCCGGGGAATAAACGGAGGCAAAATGCTCGCTGCGAACAAAATCACTTTTTGTATGCACCTTACCTGTCTCTTTCATGACGAGACAAACCGAATTTAACATGCAAGAAACCCGGGTAATGAACGGCCAACGCCAGTGCTAGTGAACAGAGCAGATAATCAAGAGGGAAAAAGAGGTGGGAAGGCGGGTGTGGGATGTCGAGGGTATGAGATGAAGGAATGTGAACTTTGCGAAGCTTAACGTCTTCCAAGTCCGCGCAGAGCGATGCGTCGGCTGGAGCCGACGGTGCCCAGATCGCTGATACTCCGTGATTTTGAGATCACGGGAGGAGGGAGCGCCTTTTCGGGAGCGGGCTCTGGCTCTTGCGGCGCGAGGCCGTAGGTGTACGGCCGCAGGGACGAGCTCCTTCGAGCTTGTCCGAGTACGTCTTCCACCCATGCCTCGCTCTCGGCGCTGATCGAGACGTGCCTGGGACGCGGCCCTGCAAGGCCGAGAGGAACCGTGTGGCTGGCACTGCCCGCGGCGGTGTTCGTGGGCGAATACGAAGACCCATGCCGGAACTCGCTTGCCGAGGACGCGCCCATCGAGGCGTTGGACGACGTTGACAGTCGACGGCGCGAGGATACGGTTGACATGGGTGAATACGAAGTGCTCAGCGTGTCGCCAGGGTTGCATGTGCGGAACTCGGTCATATCCGACACGTTAGAGGTCCGCCGGGTTTTGCGAACAGCCAAAGATGACCCTGGCCGGTTACTGATGACGGAGGGCGGTCGTGACGGGGTTCTCCGTCCGCTGGCAGTGGGTGCCAATCTATTTCTAGGTGGAGACGGGGGCGAGGTGCGGGAAAGCCCCTGCACCTCTACCAAAGGCGTGTCCGAAACATGTCGGCGTCCGTGATGGACGGCGAATTCCCTCAGGTACTCTGCGAGATCTGCCCACCCACCACCGACGCGAACCATGACGCGCTCGCCGTTCTCGCCCACTGACCGGACGAACAACTTCGTGGGGGCAGACTTGCCACCTCGGTGCAGATGGTAGAGCTTCACGGAACTCTCTTCTGGAGCGTGCGCATGGGAATAGCGCCGGCGGGAAACGGCGGGGGTGATGGTCAACGATGGAGTAGGTGTGCTACTACGAGCTGGCGAGCCGTGAGGAGAGACAGAGCGAAAGCGCTCCCTTTGTTTCAGTGGGTAAGATGATGTCGAATGTCCATCGTGCTCATGGGTGTCCGCGGACACGAGGTGGATCTGCGCATCGAGGGCAGTTAGGATAGAGGAAATCTTTTCATCCAAATGGTCCTTGGGCTTTCTCATCTGCGGGGTTGGGGTTGAGGTCCGCGACGCAGTCTTAAGGAAGGCTGGGATGGATGAAGACTCATCGTTAGATCGAGCCTCCGATCGGTACGCTCCGATGCTCTCGAGACTAGGATGTGAAGTCAATTGTCTCTTCAGACGCATCGTGGACGAATTTTCCAGGGGCGCTGCCGGAACCTTCTGGACTGATGCTGTTGAGCTAGCGTTTTTAGTATGCTCCCAAGCTTCACGCAGCGTCTTTGCGATGCCATCTGACCCCTGGTTGAAGCTCCCTTCACGAGTGACCTCGGGTGACTGAGTGGCAGAACGTCGCGTGCTTTTGGTCGAGGTCGAAGATTTACCAGCTTGAGGCGGTAAAGAGGATTTTCTCGGGCCAGAGTGAAGGCTGGGAAACACTTCTGTGGGTCTTTCGGTTGTTGCAGTGCTTTCAGGTTCCCTGCCGCTCTCGTTTCCAAAGGTTAACTCTAACCTTTCACTGATGAAGCGCTGCAAGGGAAGGCTGAGGTTTCGGTTGTGAACGAAATCCGTATGCGGAGAAGCCTTCTGACTGTCAAGGCGGAAGAGGCGGTCTTCTCGCAACGTATGGTCGCTGCCAGGCGCTACAGGATCAGATGACTGGTAGCCTGCCAGGAAGGGTGGGGGAGTTTCGAGAAGTAAAGGAGTTCCGTTAGATGAGGATCCGTGCGGCTCACGCCTCTCGGGGCTTGAAACAAGCGAAGGATAGTCCGAGAGAGAAGAAGCAATCGACCTGCGCCTGTGACGAGAGTCTGCGTGCTCTGTCTCGAAGATCAAAGGACCCGGTCGAGTGTTGGACAATTTGATCGGACTTTCAAGAGGCTTTTTGGGAGTCGGGTCGTCCGTCGCTTCCTTCAACATCAGAGAAGAAGTCCGGGCTGGGAGCTCTTCGTCGCTGCTTGCAACTACCGACTTTGCTGAAGTTCCGGGGGAATCAGAGCTGAAGGCGGGAATCGAGCTTGTACAACTGGGTGGCTTTGTTGTCGGGACCTCGGAGTCATTCTGGCCAGTCTGTTTGGCCAATGCGGATTTTTCATCCAGATTCGATGAAGGCGGTAGATTTTCACAATGTTGATCGTAGGGTTTCAAGTTCGTGGTGTGCGAAGAGTCCTCTTCAATTCTGGGGCTGCCTACCCCTCGGGGGGACATGGATAGATTCTTTGGTCGCCGTATGATTACGCTTCCGGTGTCTGTCTGCGGGCTGCTCGGTGGCTGCAGGCTATCTTCCGGGAGAGTCAGACTAGGAGATTTGTGCGAAGGGCATGGAAGGCCAATCTCTTCTGCGGCCGGAGGCATGTCTTGTTCACTGGTTGGTAGAAAATCCTCCGGTTCCTCTGAGACGCGCTCGGTTTCCTTTGCGTATGAATAGATTTCTTGGACCACAGGAACCTCCTCGCAGGCTAGAGGCTTTTGGTCTTCCATAGCAGGATTGGTCGGCTGTACGTCGAGACATATAGATGTATCTTGCGCGCGGTTTGCTTCAATATGAGGCGTTTCGTTGGCAAGAGGGCTCTCGGAGCGTTGCAAGCGGGGTTTCTCATCCGAGCTCATCATGGCATGGGAGGAAGGTAGTTGTGTACCAAACGGATGAGCATCCTCCTCCTGTTCGACACTGGTCGTAGAAGAGGCAAGTGTGACAGGACGAGATGTTGAAGCAATGGAAGTTTGGGAGACGTTGGGAGTCGCATTGCTAGAAACAAGCTCAGTAGGGATGTTGATCGCTTCGGAAAGCGCAGGTGAAGCCGTGCGATCCAAGCTCGAGGGAGCCGCTTCGATAACGGATTGCACACTCGTATCTTCCTGGCTAGTCGGTGCTCGATAAGGAGGCGCGGCCTCGACAGGAGTATTGAGTTCTTCTTCGTCGATAGTCTCCATTGGAAAAGTGTGACATGTCTGTAAAACGGGAGCAGACGAGTTTGGAGATTGGTCCTCGCCGCGAGAAGAATCAGTCGACGATTGCTCAGACACGTCCTTTTCTACGTCGAGATTGGCGCTGGTCTTCGAAAGGAGTGTCATGCGCTGCCACTCGTTTTCAACGGTGCGTTGTTCTGCTTGCATGGTCCAAGAGCCAAACTCCGCCTCGATACCTTCGAGGTCATCGATCCAGCTGTCGGGAATAGAATCTTCGCACTCGTCCAAAGCGTCAAGCACACAATCCAATCTCCGACCAGCAGACACAACCGTGGCTTCCAATTGGGAGCGCTTTGCATGATAGTTGGACCGGGAAAACAACGGGTCCTTCTCGCTAGGAGGATGGGAAGACTTTAAGAGATCCAAGGCAGCCTCCAGCTCAGAGCGGGCGAGGCGCAAGCTGCGAAGCAAGACGGGAATCTGTCGCAGAACCAACAGACGAACGTCCCAGATCGAGAGCAAGCTCGTTAGGCGCGATAAAAGAGGCAGGGCCCGGAGAATAGTGGCGGTGATGACGGCAGTGAAATCGCTCAATTGGACGTAAGACAGTTGAGGAGGGATGGATAGGCTACTGTTAGCCGAAGAGGGCCGAGACCGGGCCGGGATGTGGGCATTGAGAACGTGCTCCTTGAGCTCGTCCATATCTAGCAGGTCCATTTCATCTCGGATTTCGTCAATGCGCTTCTCGTGTTCCTCTACCATGGCGGTAGGCAGGCTACCGTAGTATTCCTCGTCAGTCGCATCGGACGGAGGGATGAAGCCCAATCCTTTCTCATCACCGGTCTGTTTCGGCCAATTCCATGACTGGATTTCCTTGTACCACAAATTCAACTTTTGAGCGACAATTGCTGCGCGAATTGCGAGGGCTCTTTCCGCTGGGGAAACCTGAGCGATACTTCTGGACAGGATATCATGGGCAGCTCGTTCGTTCTTGGGGACGGCATTGGTGGAGGTGAGCGCTTGGAGAGTGGACTCGGGTGAAAGACTCCCGAGGAGGGGATCGGTGTGTTCATAATCGGGGATCGGTCGGTCCGGAGATCGAGATCGCGGTGGGTTGCGGTGGTAGATTGGCGAAGGAAGGGGAGCGACGCGACTACTGGCCATGTCGGAAGAGAGCGGCAGTCGCCGGGAGAGGACCAGATCGGAGTTGTCGCAAAAGATCAGTAGTGAGGTTTAAGTGATGGAGGACGGGTCGCAATGTCGAAGGTCGAAGAGAGAGAATATAGCTGAAGAGCAAGCATGCTGACGCGATCCCGCCAAAGTCTATAGAAGAGGAGGGGAAGCAGGTTGAGTTTCTGGTTCGAGGTTCGAGATGAGTCGAGATGTCGTAATAGACGGGAGGATGCGGAGGGGAAATGAAGGAATTAAAGTCCGAATCAGGCCGACGCTGTTTAAATGCACCCAATGGTGAAAAGAATGTATGAGGGCCAGAGGAAAGGTTAAGATCGGGCGGAAATTAATGAAGAGGTGCAAGAGGGGGAGAGTGAGATCTGGGGCGAGAGAGGGAGGCCAAGAGAGGCAGAGAGAGGCCGAGCTATGGGATGATGCTTAGTGATAGTGATGGTGGTTAATGGTGATAGATCACACTGCAGGGCCCAAAAACAGGCTTAGAGGGAAGTTAGGGAGAGTTGAGAGTTGGGCGGCTGCAGGAAGCACAATGATAAAGCGAGAGTGGGATGACGATGATCGATCTCAGGAGACCAGCTCTTGACTCAAGAGAATGACTGGAGTGGCAACGATGATTCGAAGATCGGGGAGGGAGGGGGGCGAGTTATGCAGTGGTGAGTTGGTTAGAATGAGTGTTGGCCTGGGTGGAACGGGGGGGAAGAGAGAACGGAGACTTGCGCGCGGTTGGAGAGAGAGAGAGAGAGAGAGAGAGGAGCTCGTCAATTAGTTAGTGAGCTAGTCTTAGCTGGCCGCGCGACACACGGGAATGCTGGGAGTGGAGCCGCGTCAGGATTAATAGGGGCAAAATAGAATGAGTACTTTAACTATTTATTCTCGTGAATTCCGATGCTGCCACTGCCACTGCCACTGCCACTGCCACTCTCCCACTCAACTCCCATCTACTCAGGCATAAATATGCCCTATTATTACTAGTGTAATAAAAATAACTCTCCGTATCTCGTCAAGAAAAGCCCTAGACTTGCCGTAGAAAACAGCTCCATTCTTCATATTTGTGTGTCTAGCTAGGGTCTAAGTTAACTAACTGGAGTACAGTATCTACTTCTCCATACTGTTTCTCCTTTCCTCCACTCCCGACCTCCTCTATTTAAACAAAACATCCCCCCTTTTCTTATGTCGGATGGGATCTGTCAACAACAGATGCACACCATCCTGTACGACATACAGTCTCCGGCACTCCGTAAATTTCCTGTACAATCAACATGACTGCTGTCTCTGGCACACGAGACCCATCTCCATGCAGTAAGCAGTAATCCACCTTCGGAACCTGGCGGACAAGACTGTCCCATTCCCCTTTCCGGAGCCCTCCCAATACATGGAAGCCTGTGCACAAGTAGTATGAAGTGCAATCAAAAGTGGCTGTGCGAGGTAATGTCGCTTCCGCGATGTGTTCCGGCTGTCCACAAGCTGCCCTTGTCGGCTCTCTCGGACCACTTGGGGTTGAAGAACATTCGGAGAGTAGATCGGTGATCGACACCCCCTTGCATATCATATCTCATATCTGCGACCGTTCGAGCTCTTTTGCCTTTGTTATTAGAGTTGATTGGCATTATGGAAGTCTCTTGGGTGCTTTGACTGTTATCAATGGACTGCATTGGAGATTACTTCGACATCTCTTGCATGTCCATCGAACTCTACCGTGTTTGCGACCAGAGAAGTGTTATGATCAATACCCCGAGTAGGCAATTGTGGGCTTCCGATCAGCAAGGCTGCGCTTGCTACGGGAGTATCTTCGCAAAGAAGGGCACTAGTTGGCTACTGAAAAATTAATGAATGGGTAGGATGATATTAGACACTCCCAGACTGCAGGGCAGTAAAAAGGATTCGTCGCGACAAGGTGTTGGCTCGCTTTTCTCGACCCCCAGATCAGGGATCGTGAACCCTTGATGAAAGGGATACTCAGTCGAGATGTTCTCCCCTTCGCGAAGGAGTGCAGGAAGGGTACGTCCAGTACAGTATCCCTGGAGTATACCAGTAAGGTTGAGTACCTCTGAAAGTCGAGAAACTAAGGTCTGTAAGGGAAGTAGCAAGGACCCCGGCCTAGAAAAAGGCATGGAGCTTTCTCGTCCCATCTGATGAACAGAACCATTGTGCTATTGTGCCGCCAGCCACGTGGGTGGTTTCTGTCGGGATCGCAATGAGGAGTGGGTTATGTATCATGTTGTGTCATTGAGGAACTTGCAAGGCGCCAGCCACGTCCTAGCCGAACAACTGTCTAGAAGGATCGAAGTAAGTGGCGGTCGCCGCTGTGTTAGGCGAAATAGCCATCGAATCTATTTCTATTAAGCAATGACCAAGTAGAAAGCGACACGTTGATTGAGGGAAGTCTGTGACATGTTTCAGAAGGCGTGGGGAGAATGAGATTGTGAACTACTCCGTAGATACTGGATGCTAACAATAGATGGTCCGTTGGATTTGCGCTGTTTGCTCCTCGCGGATCCCCCACACCGGCCGGCCGAGCTCAACCAACCACCATAACATCATCGCATTCATCCACTACCTTGCGCTCAACATCAACATCAACATCAACATCAACATCAACATCAACATCAATTGTTGGTGTGCCTACACAATAAACCCACCTGCTTTTCCCAAACATGCAATAGATAATTCACCATGCGTTTCCGAACGAAACTCACCAATGCGGAGACTTTCTCCAGTACGTTTATTGCCTCTTGTCGCGTGCTGCTCCATCTACCGCGTTTTGGCGTTCCGGGTGGTAGCCTTCCTTGAAGCTCTGAAGGCCTAGACCAACCAAACCACCAGGTCACTGTTCGCAATGACCGAGTCCACATAACTAACACCACGTACCAACTCCAACAGAGCTAACCGCCTCCCTCTCATCGCTGGGCAAGACCTGCTGGATGCGCCTCGAGCCAGGCAACATCCGCTTCACCATTATCCCCGACCAAGGCACCCAAGTATGGGCACAATTACCAATTGTACGCCCCGAACCAAGCAACCAAGCAACCACCACTCACTAACTACCCACCACCAAATCGAGCCGTTGCTATTTTCAAACTCATCTCATCTCCAGAACACAACCAAACTGACAAGGACCTCTCCAGGACGCCATCTTCGACGAATCAAGCTACATCCTCGAATCCAACTCAGGCGGAATCATCAACCTAGAAGTGCCGATCGGCGCCCTGCACCGGGCGCTCCGCTCCGCCGTCGACGCCAAATCCGCCCAACTCCGCCTCACCCAGAAGGGCCGCATCCCGCTCCTGGCACTGACCATCCGCACGCTATCCTGGGCGCCCGGGTCCAACGCACTGGGCATCATCACCACCGCACCTGGAACCGGAACCGGAACTGGTCCGGGCAGCGGTAGTAGTAGCAGCAGCAATGACCCTCCGACTATCACCAACGGGCCGGCCCATGCGCCCCCGCCGTCATCAACCACGACAGACACCCCCAACGGGCCCTCCCGCCCCGGCCGCGAACGCGAAACCGTGATCACGCAAGAAATCCCCGTGAAGGTCTTCCACGAGTCCGCCGTCGAGGGCCTCCACGAACCCCGCTGCCGCGACCCAGACGTGCACATCATCCTCCCGAGCCTCGGCCAACTGAAGAGCATCTCCGAGCGGTTCACCAAGCTCGCCTCCCCGGGCCATGGGTTTGCGTCCGCGGCGGATGCCGCCACGAAACCCACCGCGACGGGCGCGTCGGCCGCCGCCCCGAAACTCGAGCTGTCCGCCAACATGCACGGCGCCCTCCGGCTGGCGATCGCCACGGACGCCCTGCGCATCTCGAGCGTGTGGACCGACCTCGTCAACCCCTCGCTGGACCCGGGCCAGCTGTCCCAGGGCGAGATCGAGCGGTTGCCGAGTGAGCGGATGCGCGCGGTGCCCGGGGATGACGAGGCCGGGTGGGCGCGCGTGCGGATCGATGGGCGCGACTGGGGAAAAGTGTTGAGTGTGGGGAGGTTGAGTCCAAGGGTGGTTGCTTGTGCGTTCACCCTCTCCCCCTTTCCCCTTTTTTTTTTCTTTCTTTCCCCTTCTATTCGGGATTTTATGGTCGAACGTAGCTTCCCGGACTCCCTCTCCCATTAGTACCACAAGAGAGGCTGTGCTAATGGTTCTGTGTGCCAGCTTTCGTTCACGAGACGGCCTTGATTCTCTACGTCTACCTTCCTGGGACATTCAATGAAGAGGACTCGTGTCTGACGGTAAGGATGCTGAAAACCAGACAGCTACTGGCACTTACACGTCGCTAATCATTCATATCGCCTCTAGTACTACATCAATTCATATGCGGCTTGATTTTCCCATTATCCGGGCACGCACGGATCTATCTATCTCACGACATTGTTGCTTCACGAATCTCCTAAAATCTTTATATCACTCCCTATTTATACCTGCTCTGTACTATAAAGCCTACCCTTGTTCCCTACGCATATAGATCGGTCGATTAGAGTGCACAATTTCCAAATCCCATGCTAGAATCCATGGTGCATTGACAGCAGCAAACATCTCACGGAGAAATGCTAGGCATATACTCAGAACAACCATCATCCTCAATACGCCTAGCTAAGGTGAAGCGATGAATTGGACATCCTCATAGTAAAAAAAATGGAAATTCAATATGTGCACACATGTAATATACACGAAATCCAACCAGTCATGCAAAGGATGGGCCGCCGGGCCAAGAATGGAAAGCCCCATTTTGAAAAGAGTAAGTTTCGACGGCATGCAACGCTGTTTGCTGAGCGAACGTCAAATCAAACCGATGAACTATCCCTGAAAAGCCAGGACACGCTCCCGATGACATGTAATATAAAACTGGGGGTTCCAACAAAGAGGAATCGTTAGACATTATAGGAAAATATAAAAAAAAAGAGGTATTAGGGGTACAATATATAGGCCACTAAGGTCCGCATGCCGAGTGGAATGGGAGGAAGAAGGGGTAGGTCGATCATTTTGCCATGACATCGACATAACGTCCCTTCTTTTTGCCCTTAGCGGCAGGGCCTTTGCGTGCCTGCGGCGCTCCGAGGAGGTCATCGATGGAGCTGGCATTGCTCAACGACGTCGCCGGCCGGGGAGGCGCGGCGAGACCAGCGCTCGGTGGTGTGGGTAGTGCGGCGCCCGTCGAGATGGACCGTGGGATTGGAGGCGCAGCGCCTAGAGCGGATGGCGGGGCGGGGCTGCCGGAAAGGGGCGGAGGAGGGGCACCTGCAGCAGATGTAGGGCGGCTACCGGCCCCGGACAGCATCGGAGATGCAGTTGTCGCAGGTGGTGGCGGCGCACCACTGCTGCCGCTGGCCGTCCGGCTGGGAGGCCCGGATCCACGTGGGGGTGGCGGCGTGGCACGGGCTGCAGTTGCGCTATTCGGATCTTTCTTGTTGACCCATTTCTTCAACTCGGTATCGTAGTAGAAGGAACTCTCTTCGCCAAGCTTGGCTCGAATCGGGCCACCGCCGGGGTTCTCGCCTTCTTTCTTCCCACCAAACCAGCCACCAAACCATCCCTTTTTAGCGGGAGCACCTCGTTTGGCTATGTCAACAATGTTAGTTTGGCGAAGGAAAAGAGATATCGAGCTGTATTGTCACTTACCATCGGCCTCTGCGGCCTTTCGGAAGGCTTCATCTGCTTCTCGGTCCTTGCGTGCCTTCTCCGCTTTCTGAACTGCAGCGGCTCGAGCAGCTAGATCATCGTCATCATCGTCATCCATGAACGACTTCTTTTTCTTAGCCGGCTCTTCATTTTCTTGTTCCTCGGGATTTGCTGACTCGGGTGCGGCGTTGGACTCTGCGGGAGGCTCATAGCCGCCACCGCCCATAGGAGGCATATAGCCACCCTCATCTGCCTGAGAGACGGCGGAAGGAGTCTCATGGAGCAGCTGGCCAAAGGATCCATATCCAGGAGGTTGGTAGGGCGAGACCATATTAGGGGACCCAGGTCCTGGAGCAAACGGAGCCTTAGCCTGGGGCTGAGAGACTAAATCTTCCTCGACCGGTGCCAGGGGCATATACGAAGTTTGAGGAGGTGTTTGCTGATAGCCTGCGTTTGATGGCGGAGAGTTATAGAACATTCCCCCTTGGTATGGGCCATTGTCAACCGGTGTCGAAGGGTCCTGCGAGCCCCGTCGCTGTGCAAGACCAAAATTGTAAGAAGACGATCTCTGAGAGTCAAGAGACGATCTACCGCGGAACTGCTCGGGTGAGGAGGTAGGGGCGTATTGGTTGTTTGGTAAATAACGTGAAGGAGCAGCGCCATGACTCGGTTGCCCTCCGTAGATGTCTGACACGGAAGGCGAGCGACTCACAGTAGGCGTGCCAGCTAATTTAGCAAATGGACCTATATCTGCCTCACCACCCTTCGCAGGATCGGTAGATGTGGCATTGTTGTCTTCGCCGGCAACGAAGCTATTGAACTTGGCCCACATTGAGCCAGAAACCTTCTCCATGCTGGGCCTTGAAATCCATGACGAGCCACCGTCGCTAGTCGACTGCTTCAACCTTGCCGAAAGCTCGTCAACTCCATAGTACAGCTGCTGGTTATGATAGGGCGAGGACTTGGTCGTCGCTTTCACGGTTGCTGCAATGGCATCACAGTACTGCTGAGCTTCTGTCTTTTGGCCACGATCGGCGAGACACCAAGCATAGACCAACTTGTAAGCCAAGAGATGACAGAGCGGTGGCTTCGGAGAGGCCGAGAGGACGGAATTGGCATAGTCATAGGCCTCGGTGAGCAATATACAGTCTTCGTCCTGCAGCGCAGAGGTGGAAGATCGCTGATGATCAGCTCCTAAGAGGACAATACTCGTTTGAGGATCATCGACACCGCCGAACACTGCAGCGCGTGAGAAAAGAAAGCAAATGTGCGCAGCCTCTACGCGGCCGTAGCTCGAGAGCAGCCGTCCAAGGGCCAGGAGAGCTTGGTGATCTTCCGCACTGCGGTTGCTTAGTACGAGGCCGAGTGTCTCGCGCCAACTTTCCAGACCTTCGAGCGCGTTTCTGGCAGACCCATGTCCGTCCACTTTACTGACCATTTGCAAGCCAGCCCTTGCTGATGGCGGCACCAGCTCATCAACGCTCTCCTCGACGTTGCCGGCAAAAATCTCGTACAGAGCCGCCAAGGATTCGGTGCTTCCGGAAGTCGATCTGACTTCACGTCTGACGAATTCTTGAACGACCTGCTTCCAGACCGAACGATCCATAGTCGACGCTAAAAGCATCGCGTGACCCCACAAGCGACTATCCACTGCCGCCCAGACGGCCTTTTCGCGCTCCCCAAGTAGAAGATTGTTACGGAGGGTGCCAATAGCTTGAGGATTGGCTGCATCCGGGCGAGAAGGCGCATCGGCGGGCTGAGAACTGTTGATAGGCTGGAAGCCTGTGTCGTAGCTGTCGTCTGTCTCGTTGCTTTGTAGATGAGGGAGAATGATACTGCGCAGGGACTTCTGGACCTCAGGTGAGCCTTCGAGGGCACCATCATGTTCAACCATGGCGCGAACAACTTTCCACAATAGAACCTTCTCGTCGTAGCGCTTATGGCCATCAGGAAAGAGTCGAGCACTCTCCGGGATACCTTCATTCTCGAATGCGGCTATCTTGCTTGAGAGCCAAGCAAGCAAATCCTTCTTCTTGGATTTGGACTTGAGGGGACCTGGGTGGCGGACAATGCTTTCCGGGGGCGGGATCCAGTCGTTGAGCTGGCATGTTTTCACCTCTCCAGGACTTGGTTTTATTCTAGGGGCCATTTGCCCAGCAGCATATCGAGGAATATGCTGGGGGAAACACGATAAAACAGTGCCACCAAAGCCGAGTTTGACTATGGGCGCCCCCTTCCAGCGTTCGAGAGGGTCATACTGCTGATCATCCGTTGGAGGAATGAAGTCCAATTGCTGAGAGGCGGCACGGTTATGTATCGAACCTTGGACTGGTGCGTAAGGATTCACGGATTTGGTAGGTGAGCCAGAGCCATGAGCTGAGGCAGGTCTTTGTAAAGGGTCGACTGATGGCACAGATAATCGAGGGCCAAGGGTTTGCTGGCCCGGTGATTGTGTCATTGATCTACGCGGAGGCATGAAGGGGGGCTCATCAACAACGGGCGCAGGAACTGGCGGGGCGTTGACTTGGCCGGCTGGGGTAATGCGTTGAGCAAATTCGTTAACATATTCGGGCGGAGCATACTGACTTCTCGGGGGAGACACCGGCTGCATGCTTGCTTTCTCTTCGCTTAGATCAACACCGGTAATTGTGGCTTCAATAGCAGTTTCGCCAGGTGTGAACAGCGGGTTGACGGCAGACTCGGGATGAGATTGCACGTCGATGGTAGGAGGGAGTGCCGAATAATCTAAGGACGGTCGCTTTTCCAACTCTTCCTGAGGACGATAGGAGACCTTCTCATGATGAGCCAGAGGGCTTGATGTACGGGGTTGGAATGGAAGGGTGACAGCTTGACCAGGGTGGCTAGGAGCCTGAGAGGCATAGCGGTTGCGAGGAGGCGGGGGAGCACCAGATGGTGGGGGAGCTGGAGAGTATCTCGGGGAGGCTGGTGGCTTGATTCCATTCTGCAAATTCGGTGGCTTCGGCGAATATCTCGATGCACCAGGAGCTGCAGCGGCGCCGCCAGGAGCGCTTGGGCTTAACAAACTCGCATAGGGGTCTATTCTTTCAGGTTGTTGTAATTGAGGCTGGGGCTGCGAGTCGACAGTTAGCTGAGGAGCGGGGATAGCGCTAGCATACGGATTAACCGGTGGCGGAGGCGCTGAGTACGATGGCGCTGCTGGCACCGCATTGGGAGCAGGTGTGTATCGGTCCGTGCTTGCCGGCCGAGAAGGTGCGCGAGGCGGCGGTAAAGGAAGTTCCTCAAAAAAGTTCTTTGGTGCAGGTGCAGTAGCAGTCGATGTCGCGCCAACCGGAGGTGTGGGCATGGAAGATGCCGAACCCGGCGCCTTCGGAGGAGGTACTGGAAGGCTGTTGCTTCGCGGCGGCGGCGGCGGGACGCCCGGTTGCGAGACGACTGCTCTGTTGGTAATGACCGGTCGACGAGGGCGCGTAAGGTCCTCAGGAAGATCATAAGGTGACCTATAACCCTCCTTGGCACGTTCGGCGAAACTCTCGGCTTTCTTTGTTCCTTCAGTCGGGCGGGGTGGTTGAGCAAAATAGCCAGCCCCGGGGCTCATTGCGGGGATTCCCTGGAGCAGATCCGATGTTGATGGCTGGTGTGGGACATAAGACCTTTCCTGCGCTCTGGGTCGGACCGAGTTGTTTGGTGGGGCAAGGGGACTGGGCCCCGCTTGAGCAACCGGAGCAGGGTTCCCAAGTAATTCTTCGAAACTTGGCTGCTTAGTTCCTCCAGCAGATTCGTCTTCAAAAAGCAGGTCATCATCGTCGTCCAGCTCTGCTTGCCATCGGGCTGCGAGGTCTTCTTCCGACGGTAAACCGTCGGCGTCTTCATCGGAGAGCTCTGCCTGCCAGCGCGCTGCCAGATTATCGTCGGACGAGTTCTTTTTCATGTTGTCCTGTGAGCCTGCTGCAGCCAATGCCTTCTCAAATTCATCCTCATTCGGATCAGCGAGATTGGCAGGGAATGGGGAGCCAGCTATAGCCAAAGCGCTCTCGAATTCCTGCTCGCTTGGATCGGCAGCGCTGACTGGGAATTGAGAGCTGGCTGCTGCCAAAGCACTCTCGAACTCCTGCTCGCTAGTATCAACAGCATCCACCGGAGCCTGCGAGCCGGCTGCTGCCAAAGCATTCTCAAACTCCTGCTCACTTGGATCAACAGTATCGACTGGAACGCGCGAACCGGCTGCTGCCAAAGCGCTCTCAGGTTCCTGCTCGCTTGGATCAGGAATCTCAACTGGAGACGCTTCTAAGCCCACTGCAGCCGGAGCACTGTCAGGGTCCTGCTCGCTCGGCTCCTCAGCATTGTTCGTTGGCTCCTCCGATACACCCAGTGAATCCAACACTTGAGACGTGCTCTTTCGAGTGAGATGAACTTCAGGACTTGGCTCAGAAGCTGAGTCTGGCACGGATTTGAAAAAATCATCTTCCTCATCTCCGTCAGCCTTGAATACGTTATTGATTCGGCTTTCCACCGTCTCTGGAGGCTCAATTAGAGAATCAATGCCCCTATTCAGCAACGGAACGCCTTCCTCAAATCTCGTCTCTGTTTCGGGCGAGAAGTATATGGGCTTTGTTTGCGTCTTGAGCTGATTGAAGAAATCATCGCCGTCTTGTTCCTCCTGAGCAGGGCTTCCCCAGAGATCGTGGCTGCTCTGGATCTCTCCATTGGGATTCGGGAGCTCGTCTCCCCGGAATGTACCGGTGGGACCGGTGGGAGTGATATTGCCTGACTCTACCAAGTCACTGACGATTTCCGCAGGTTTCTGCGCCTCTTCCTCCCCATTCGGCATTGTTTCTGCGCCTCCGACATGTTCCCCGGTAGGGTTCTCCACTGTGTCTCCGTGCATACTGATTGGCTCCTCCGACGGTTCGATAATCTCCTTATTAGCCGTTGACAGTCCTTCAAATGTGTCGTGTACCTGTGGCTCTGCGACCACTTCGTCCTGAGCTGGCGCTTGTTCGCGGTTCGCGGGAGACTCGGGAACGCCCACATCGGGCGCAGTTGCTTCTTGTGTATTGTTGGCATAGTTCGATGGCGAAGAAAGTACGTCACCAAAAGACACATTGTGAGGAGTTTCCATTGGCGAGCCAAGAGGGATGCTAGTAGCTTCGATCGCGGTGTTGATCTCGAGTTCGGTGGGTGTCGTCACACGAGGGACATCGTCTTCCGACCTGAAAGCCGGATTCCACACGGCCGCTGCATTTGTGTGTGCCATGTTGAATTTCGCTAATGCTCAAAGACTTGAAAGTCAAAAATGGACATGAGTCCCTGTCTTCAGTCTTCCCAATGCCAGGGGGTGTGAACATACCTCGATGGCTGACAAGCAGATTAGTATGATAAGGGTCGTCAGATATTAAGCGGCATGGAACATGAATCGGGGAGAAGAAAGGAAATAAGAAAGAGAGCTATGCAGTTGCATAGACATTACAAAAAATAAGGAGACAATGGAATCATGACTGCATGTTCAGGTGGCTGCGTAGTTCTTTCTCGAGTCCCGTCCGGAGCTGCGGCCGTTCTGGATTGCTTATGATGATAGCAATTGAACCTCCGTCCTTGGGAACGCGCCCGTCATCCGGGGCGGAATATTGTTCTGCCGAGCGGAAGTGCCACCTAACCTGTTTCTTGGGTTCACGTGCTCTTATGCTGTTTATGCTACGCTGCGACCAGTGATGCACTACTTTCGTAGTAGTAAGTCTGTGTAATACCAAGGACAACTATAAACGGACAGGCATATATACACAATACGAAGGCGAAGTATGTGTGCAATTCTGGCTTCACTTTCTACAATCTCAATGTTTTGTATTTACCCTTGAAAGGCTACATAAATAATTGTATGTTTTGGAGCTTCATCCGGGAAAAGTGGTAAATACGCATTTATATAGTCTCCTTACCAGAGCAGGTGGGAGCGAGGCTTGCGAGAAAGCTTGCATTTGGTGAGTTATCACTTGGGTATGGGGCTTGCAGCAGCTATAGACAAGTCCAAAACTGCTCACAAGCCTATGCAATAATGAGTTGGAGAGGTACATGATTGACAATATACCTATATCTTCTTTTCAATAGATGCCCTTTCTTACGAGTACGAGCACTGGAGAAGATAGGGGACTATACACCTACTGGCGTAAAATGACAACATTGCCCGTGATCATACCACAATAATGGTTATACCAGAGATTTTCCTTGTGTAACTTACAGATATAGGACTGTATGGTCCCCATTGCATACAAATGAAGCCAAAGAAAGAAAGTGGAAACTGAATGACATCGATGCTGCAACATTTGGTTGATAAGCCACACCCGCGCGTGGAGTCGGCGACTCGGCACGTCGTCATGTGATCGGGCCGCTCTCCGCCTGCCATCACAGCCTCTCGACTCTTTAGGCCACCATAATTGTTTAAGCTAGCCCCCAAGAGCCGTTCTTTCACCCGATGGTCAACTGGGGCGATCTCAGGAGTGGGCTAAAGCACTGAAATAATCTCCCCGACCACCCTGAATTCGCTTTCGCAATTGCGTCCACCCTATCCACCTTTGGCGCGCATCCGCATCCGCATCCGCAGTCGCAATCGCGGCCACAACCTACACAGCCCGCCCCCCTCCTCCAAACCCCGACAACAGCGATGCTTTGTTCGGGACAACCTGCATGCGATCTACTGTGACATGAGAACACTATTGAATTCACAGCAGCTTCTGGAACCCTTTTCTCGCATGGAACGCCACCATTAATCTTTCCCTGTCTCGCCTGTCATGCCCTCATTATCCGAGTATCCCCATTCTTACGGCCGGTCCAGCATCGCAGGCGATTCTGGTTCGGATGACGATCTCGACCTAGAGGAGCTCGACCCAAGCACAACACATCTTTATGGCGCACATCGTTTATCGAGGGAAGAAGAAAATCAGCAAAGGAGTCGTGGTCCGGGCATAGCGCTGCGGAACCTCCGTGTCGGAGTTGGGAACCGGTGGAAGCGAACCACTTCTGGAACACATGGACGGTTGGAGGATACAGAGGGATTGCTCGAGGACCAAGACCGCGATGACGACGGACTCCGAAGGTCGCACGCCAGTTCGCGCACATACACCGACGATGATGCCCCTCTGCTTCACGCACGCCGGCGTAGCTCTGCTCGCTCTCTCAGGGATGTGGAGCGGTTGTCGCAGAAGGGCCCATGGCGATGGATTCCAGGTCTCAAGGCTGCAGGCGCTTGGTTCGGCTCCTCTCACCCTCCAGCAGCAGAGGATCTGAATCCGACCGAGACCAAGCCCCCGCGCGATGTGTTCGTCGGGCAAACGCAGCGGTTAAAATACCCACCAAACATCGTATCGAACGCCAAATACACTCCCTGGAGCTTTCTGCCCCGTACCCTTTACAACGAATTCTCTTTCTTTTTCAACATATATTTCCTCCTCGTCGCCTTGTCACAAATCCTGCCTGTGCTCCGAATCGGTTACATGTCTTCGTATATCGCACCTCTCGCCTTTGTCGTTTCCATCTCGCTCGGTAAGGAAGCTTTGGATGATATTGGTCGCCGGCGCAGAGATGCCGAAGCGAATGCGGAGGAGTTCACCATCTTGAGCTTTAGTGGGCCGGCAGGTGTTCTAGAAGTGACGAAGAGATCAAGGGACCTGAAAGTCGGCGATGTCCTAAAGGTTCGCAAGAATCAACGCCTGCCTGCAGACGTAGTGATTCTCCAGAGTCTCTCTAATGACACTGCTGCTCGCCAAAGTTCCGCCGTGGAACGACCTTCGAACTTGATTCTGGACGACCATGGAGATGAACCCAGCACAAGCGACGTGACAAGTGAAGCCAACAATTCCTCGGCCTGTGACACCTTCATACGTACGGATCAACTAGATGGAGAAACAGATTGGAAGTTACGCCTGCCCTCCCCACTGTCTCAAAGTCTGGCCCTTCGCAACTTTACCCGACTCAAGATCACTGCAAGCGCACCAGATAGGCGGGTTAACGAGTTTGTCGGTACCATCGAGCTAGGATCCTCTTCTTACGACCCGCACGTGGACAAATCCAACCACGAGCGAGACCAAGACGATCAAGAGTCCCAGCCAAACTCCGCCCCTTTGACGATTGACAACACCGCATGGGCCAATACCGTTCTTGCATCTAATAGCATTACTTACGCTGCTATCATCTATACGGGGTCGCAAACGCGCGCTGCGCTGTCAACCTCTCCGTCACGATCGAAGGTTGGACTACTGGAATATGAGATCAACAACTTGACTAAGATTCTGTGCATTTTGACACTTGCCCTTTCAATAGTTCTAGTTGCGCTGGAAGGGTTTCAACCGACCAATGACAAGGTCTGGTATGTCGCTATCATGATTTATCTGATCTTGTTCTCGACGATCATCCCGATGAGTTTGCGAGTCAACCTGGACATGGCGAAGTCGGTTTATGGCCGATTCATTGAAAAGGACAAGGATATTCCTGGGACGGTCGTGAGGACAAGCACCATCCCCGAAGACCTGGGTAGAATCGAATACCTCCTTTCCGACAAGACAGGTACCCTGACGCAAAATGGTATGTCACCTTTTGCTATGACAAGAGACAGATTACTGACTCTATCCAGAAATGGAGCTCAAGAAAATCCATGTGGGCACCGTGTCTTACGCCAATGAAGCGATGGAGGAGGTGACTTCTTACATCAAGCAAAGTTTCTCAGGAGACTCCCTCACCACGCCATCAGCCGTGTTCGGAACGCAAGCGGGCTCCGGGGCGGCTCCCCGCACACGAAGGGAGATAGGCTCGCGCGTTCGAGATATCGTCCTAGCTCTTGCGCTTTGCCACAATGTTACCCCCACTACCGACGACGAGGATGGTGTCCAGGTTACTAATTACCAGGCATCGTCGCCCGACGAGATTGCCATTGTTCGGTACACGGAGGATGTCGGTCTGAAACTGGCCTACCGCGATCGACAGACCATGGTTCTCGAGTCTGCTCACACCGGCAACGTTGTTGTGCGTGCTCGGATTCTCGAAATATTTCCGTTTACGTCCGAAAGCAAGCGGATGGGGATCATCGTTCAATTCGAGACCGATGAAAGCATTTTGGACTCATCCAAGAACGAAAACGAGATCTGGTTCTATCAGAAGGGTGCAGACACCGTCATGACCACGATTGTCGCTGCTAACGATTGGCTTGATGAAGAAACCGCCAATATGGCTCGTGAGGGCCTGCGGACTTTGGTGGTGGGAAGGAGGCGATTGTCCGAGCAACAGTACGCAGAGTTCACTGCAAAGTACAGACAAGCGTCGCTCGCCCTACAAGGGAGAGATGCAGGTATGGCCAAGGTGATTGGCGAATACCTGGAACGGGATCTAGAGCTTCTCGGGGTGACTGGTGTGGAGGACCGTCTCCAGAGGGACGTCAAGCCCTCCTTGGAGCTTCTCCGCAACGCTGGAGTGAAGATCTGGATGTTGACAGGAGACAAGGTCGAAACCGCACGCTGCGTCGCGATTTCCGCCAAATTAGTCGCTCGTGGACAGTATATCCACACTGTCGCCAAGGTCAAAGATAAGTCTACGGCTCAAGAAGCCCTGGACTTTCTGCGCAACAAGACCGACTGTTGCCTCCTCATTGACGGCGAGTCCCTTGCTCTCATGCTGAGTCAGTTCCGCTCATCCTTCATTTCTGTCGCCGTGCTCCTTCCCGCCGTTATTGCTTGCCGCTGCTCTCCGACTCAGAAGGCCGAAGTCGCCGACCTCATCCGCCACCACACCAAGAAGCGTGTCTGCTGCATTGGTGACGGTGGTAACGATGTCTCCATGATCCAAGCTGCGGATGTGGGTATTGGTATCGTGGGCAAAGAAGGCCGACAGGCCTCTCTCGCTGCGGATTTCAGCATCACGCAGTTCCACCACCTCACTAAGCTTCTGGTCTGGCACGGGCGCAACTCGTATAAACGATCCGCCAAGCTAGCGCAGTTCATCATGCACCGTGGTATCATCATCAGCGCCTGCCAAACAATGTATAGCATCGCCAGCCATTTCGATCCCAAGGGTCTCTTTATCAACTGGCTCATGGTGGGGTATGCGACGATCTACACCAGCGGGCCAGTTTTCTCACTCGTCTTCGACCGGGATGTCGACGAAGAACTGGCCAACCTCTACCCGGAATTATATAAAGAACTCAAAACGGGGCGCAGCCTCAGCTACCGCTCCTTCTTTACCTGGGTCTTTGTATCCGTCTTTCAAGGGGCGGTGATTCAGGGCTTGTCCCAGATCCTCCTCGACACGATCACGGGCCCTCGTCTCATCAGCGTCTCGTTCACCGCGCTGGTCATCAACGAACTTCTGATGGTTGCCATCGCCATCACCACGTGGCACCCTTTCATGATTTTCTCGATCATCGGCACCGCCCTGGTCTACGCCGCGAGCGTCCCCTTCCTGGGCGACTACTTCGATCTCGCGTACATCATCACCCTGGATTGGCTCTGGCGCGTCGTCGCTGTTGTCGCCGTGGCGGTCGTGCCTGTCTGGGCCGGGAAACTGATCATGCGGTCCTGGAGTCCGCCCAGTTACCGGAAAGTTCGGGGGTGACGGGCCCATATTTATCCTCTTAGACTTGACTCTCTCCCTCTGTCCGGCCACCTCTTGTGACTTGTCTAGCTAGCCCTGCTTACGGACCGTTGTCCTCAGCGATCAATCAATCCTCCTACTTAATCTCAAGTCCAGTGGGCTGCTTAGCTAGCACACCGCGGTCCATAGACACACTCCGAAATGACACACTACTACATCTCAAGCTTGAATCTGCACCCGATCGCCATTCTCCTCGTAAAACTAAGTGCAGCACAGTTCACTAGTCACACGCTGCTTCGATAACAGACCAAGGATCCATAGTATACCCTAGTTACTCCGCGCCACGCACAACTAGCCAGTGGAGGCGGCACGGAAGTGACAACGTAGGCCCAGTACTCCGTACTATTAAGACCCTTGCCCCCGGCCCACCTGTATCCCACCCCCACCCCCACCTCCACCCCCGCCGCGCCCCTCGTCGCCCCGCACCGCTACTGGGTCAGTAACCTCCACGAGATCCCCCTAGGCTACGGCATCGCATCGCGAGCCTTGCGCCCTGCGTTCCGGGGCAAGGGATGGGATGGGGGTACGCTACGCGGCTGCTGCGTGAGCTTGCGCGCCGGTTGGCTGGGCCCCCGGGAGGGGGGGAGGCGCGGTTCGCGATGGGGTCACGTTTTAGGATCAGGACAGGGGTGATACTATGGCAGGATATGTTGAGTTACTTGGGTTTTGCGCTGCATCCATCTAACCAAACATTATGCGTTCTCGGAGCTGCAGCCAGCCCCTCAGCCTCCCCCAGCTTCATTGCTCAGAAAGACTATCGTTACCATCTGCATGCGTCTTACCGCCTCAGAGCTATTATCTGCTCTGAGTGAAAAAGTAGAAAAAAGCCTTCCACTCCCCCGTGCGCATTTCAAGGTCCCAAGCTCTGAGTAGGCATCAAGGCAAGGAGGAAAGACCCCTCCTCTCTTCAAAAAGAACCCTGACTCCTACCGGCTTATTAAACCAGAAATTCTTCGTCGTCCACTCCTTTTCCGGCTCGACCAGACGTACTTGAAACTTCCACAGAAGTACCGGTAGCAACTTGTAGATCTCGCAAAGAGCAATCTGCAATCTACAGTTAGCCCGGCTCCGGCTTCCCTTCAATTCTCATAAAACTCCACAGAACATGTCAAAAAAAAACAAAAAAAAAAAGAAAAGAAAAACTAGCCCAACACTCACATTCTTCCCAATGCATGTCCTCGCGCCATGCCCGAAAACAAACATCGCCCGCTCCATCGGCACCGGGTCTCGATCCAACCAGCGGTCCGGGTTGTACTGGTCCGCGTCCCGAACACGTCGCGGTCGTACTGCACCACGGCGGCGTTGACGCCCACGCGGTAGCCGGCGGGGATATAGACGTCGGAGGCAAGGGTCACCCCGCCTCGCGGCATAATCCGAGGCGCGGTGAGCCCCACGCCCGGGTGCAGGCGCATCGCTTCCTCGACGCACGCCCGGAAGTAAGGGAGCTGGGTGGTGGCCTCTTGGTAAGAGACGGGGTCGGATATCCTGCCGGAGGCAAAGGTAGAGTCGATCTCTTGCTGTAGCTTGGTGTAGACGCGCGGGTCCCGCATGAGGTAGTATAGGGTACTGGGCATGGCGATGGAGGTGGTGTCGGCCCCGGCGAATCTGAATTGCAAATTGTAAGAGAAGAGATTAGGTACGAAGCGGGGGTAGAAGATTTCAACAGCTTTGCACGGGGGGACCGAAAACAGAAACCAATAGTTTGAGAGAGAGGACAAGAAGGGGATCAGGGGATCAGGGCACTATACAGAGAACTGTGCGATTCAAACATGGATATGCTTATGGGTGAAGTTGAGGGCTGGGCCGCGGGGCCCGTCGCTGATCTCCAGCACCTTGCGGAGCATGTCATGTTTGCGGTTCAACTGGTTGTCCTTGTCCTTGAGCTCGCGAATCCGTTGCTCCACCGCTTGGATCGAGACGATCTCCACCATCTTTGAGACGGTCACCGCATCCCGGAGAGAATTTGACAGGAGATAGGTTGAGATGAGAAATGCTTGCTGGAGGTACGAGGGGAGGGTGCCGCCGACAGCAAAGGCCGGGAGCATCGCGTCGACCGCCCGCCCGATGTCGTGGAGGTCACGATTCTCCCGCATCATCCCAAACATGCGATCATAGAAAAGCTCTCCAAGCACATCGAAGGCATACCTAAACTCTTACATGAGTAGGTTCTCTCTCTCTCTCTCTCTCACTGCGGAACAACTTCTTCCCTCCAATTCTCTCTTGCCAGGAGGGAGGGATACGTACTTGATCAGCCATGGGCCCAGATCGACCGCAGTCTTCTGCTGGGCAAACGTGCGCGTGGCCTCGATGAAGACTCGCGTGCAGTCATCGATTTCTGGCTCGGATTCCAGAATGCTGCTCATCGAGTAGACTTGATTGACGATCCGCCGCCGCTCGGAGTGGACTTCCTCATCGCGGGTGGCGAAATGGCCCGCGTATCTGACTTCATTCGGCGCCGCCCAGATGTCGTAGAACTCGCTCTGCATGGTGTACAGTAGCACACCACCCCCATGAACTTAGTTCACGAGACGATGGAGTCTGGATGTTGGCTTTGTTGTGCTCTAACCTTGGCATAGTCTCGTTTCGTGCTATATATGACCTTGATAGCCTGTGGATCGGAGCAGGCCACCTCGTCGGGTGCTATCCGAACCATGTAGCCTAGAGTCGAAAGTCAGATGCTCGTTGATGACACATCCGGTGGACAGCAAGGAAACTCACCATATCTCTTGTGAAGGGCACGTTGAGTGTGCTCCATCCGCCCTGTGGCAGTATGATAGACGATCCATATCCGGCTAACTGAGGCTAAGAAAGGCCCGGGAATCGAGCGTAGAGGATGAAAGAATCGACAGTATATGATCCAGCTAGCCTCATAGATTATGAGCCCGACGGTAGCCAGCTGGAAGAGAAGAGCTGGAGTGTAGAGAGACTTTGCAATGCCATGATGGTTTCTGTAGGATGGTTGATGAGTGTTGCCGAGGAAGATGTATTTGGGGGGGGGAGAAGAAAAGTGCTTGGAAATGAGTGAAAAATAGGCTTCGTGGGGAGAGAGTCGAGAAGAGAGAGGCTCAAGGAAAGGGACAAGATTGCCGCGGACATGTCCTCACTTTCTTTCTAACTTCTTTCTAATTCCATTTTCTTTGTCTCTTGAACTTGCTTTTGCCCAATACAGACTAGAACCAGGTTCTGAACCAAGTCGAATTGGAGCTACTGCAAAGCTCCTCGACATAGTGGCACAGCAAGCAAACAAGAAGCAAAAAAAATGATAATGATAAGCGTTGGACAGGTACTGTAACTGCACTAGTGCTGTTGGACATGATCTTCTGTTTCTCCACCTGCGTGCAGGAGGAGGCAACCCTACAAACCCCGCGCAACCAAATGCCTTCTTCAACGTGAGTTGGAAGCGCGCTACGTGCTCTGGCCCAACAATCGTGTAATGCTCACCGTCGACCTCGTGGTAGCGAACATCCTCTCTCACAAAATTGACCGAATGATTGAGCTTCGTGTTGCGATACTCCTCGCGTGTCCGCGCTACCACCTTCAGCGGTTGGCAGTAGAAAACATCCATACTTGTCACGCTGCCGGTCGGAGAGTACCCCCACCCAATCTGTTGCAGTGACCATGCTACATTTGTCCAGGTGAGTAGCGACTCCTGGGTTAGAGCTAGCTCCTCGCATCGTTGAGTGCATCCTTCCGCGAGCACCCGAGAGACCTGTTCGGCTGGGGTCAGCGCGCGCAGATCATCCGCCATAGCCTCAGACTGCTGCTCGGTCAAGACGCCACAGAAGTGGGCGATATGCAGCATCCCGGCCGTATAATCTAGGGTCCGCATCCGGTCTAGGATGTGGGGTGGCAGGTTGAAGCACCCCAGAAACCGGACCTGGTCCCCGTTTTCTTCGAGCATTTTGCTCAATTCAAACGCGATCATGCTGCCGTAGGAGTAGCCTGCAAGAGCGTAGGGTCCATCGGGCTGCTGCGCCTTCAACGCCCGATAGTAGGTGCTCAATACGTCGGATAAGTGCGCGAATGGCTCCTCGTCCAGGCTGAATCCCCGTGCTCGCATTGCGTAGATCGGCCGGTCGGGGAAGTACTGGACCAACCCGAGGAAGACTAAAATCTCGCCTATGCCCGGGTGAAATAGCCAAAGCGGCACTTTTGACCCTTGCGGCTGCAAAGTGACTATAGGCTGATATGTCTCGCAGGAGGCTTTGCAGGCGTTGTGTCGCAAAGCTCGAATTGCGGACGATAGTGAGTGTATTGTGTTGTTGGTGAGCAGCATGGCCATGGGGACTTCTGCTATCTGAAAGCGGCGTTCAATCGCGCGCTTGAGCCTGATCAGATCGACGGAGCTGATACCCATGTTGAGGATGGCGTGATCAGTAGTTATTTCCGGCAGATCAAAGAAGAGCTCGTGAAGTAATCCCACTAGTGCCTCCTCCGTCTTATTCTGTGGCGGACTAACGTTGATACTCTGGTAGGATTGGATAAGTTCATTGTTGGTCTGTTGCTGGGTGTGGTATTGGCCTTGTTCGAGTGCCCGGCGAATTTTGGTACGCGACAGCTTGCCCAAGGTCGTCTTGACAAGCTGGCCAGGCGCCAATGGGAGTACGTGCGGTCGCGATCCCACCATCGGTGAGACGATTTGCGAAATAGATGTCAAGGTACTCATACGAGCCTCAATATCATCTGTGGGATACGTGTGCTCGTAGATCAGGGAGACAAATGTGGTCGGATCATGAATGCGCCGAGAAAAACCCCGTCCCCCTGGCTGCTACCCATGGATAAGTGCTACGTGTACTACATGAAAAGGTTGGTATAGTGAATGTGTGCGGACATATGTCCCTGCCCTGGGGATGTAATACTCAGACAAGGGTCCATCCCGCTCAACCTATGGCTGCCATCCCCGAACAGTGACTGGCAGTAAGGTACCTGGTCTGTACTACCAATTAAGCATGCCTTGGCTCGCACAGTGAAGCTTGTAAGGCACATGGATATGATTCACTGCAAGTCATATCAGCACTTGCCACTTCTGGTAAGCCCACAGCCATCGAGTTGGTCCCCGGGAGGGTGTTCTTTATCACGTGAGCTATTCCTAGCCCTTGTTTGAAACAATTCTGTAACCATTTCACCTGCAAGAGATGGGCAGGTGACTTCTATTACCTTACTGCCACGATTCTATATCAATGCTGTGCTCTCGACAAATCTACGACATGGTTGGGATGAATGTAACTAGAAGCCGATTACGGTTAAAGCTCACACTGCCCCTCATCCTGGATGAGGTATAAAATCGAGTGCTATGCCCCATAAAGTGAGCTGATCCCAAAGCTATGAGCAGTGAATAAGCCTAGGATATTTCCGGTTCCATTATTTAGCCCAAAGACACTCCCACTGCCATTGCTCTTGAACACCCCAAAGAATACTTTCACAAAGTCCCCTGGCATCTGCACCATGAAATTCTCAGCTGCCTTGCTCAGCATACTAGTGCCCCTTACCTCCTCCGCCCTAACCATCTCCCCAACCTCGACAGAGAACAATGACCCCGCCATCGAATGCGGCGACCTAGGCGTCATGATCATTCCTGCAGCGGATCTCCCCGAAGGCGTCCTTCCCAGCGACGTCCGCAAGTGCAGAGAGCATCCACTCGGCCGCAACCGGTACCTTGAGAGTGCATCGCTGGCACCGCTAGACCCGGTGGATGTCCAGGCCTTGACGGGCAATACGGCTTCAGGGGAAGCACGCTCAGAACCTAAGCACCTCAACACTTCCGAGCCACAGGCCTGCTACAGGGATGCGCCGTACGGGTGCTCGAAGGGATACTGCTGGAAGGTCTGCGGTAGCAATGGCGAGTGGTGCTGGACGGCCAAGGGCGGTGGGGCCGGGGCTTGGTATACCTGCAATCGGTATCAGAATTGTGGCACTGGAACGATGTATGTGTGTGGAAGGAATTGCCCGAGTTGTGGGTGTGGTTGTTGAGGTTTCTGCACCATGCATCAGATGAGTAAAGGCTGGTGAGCATGGGGTTGGAGTACAGTACCGTAGTGTTTTGGGAGAGGATACCATATATGCCCTGGGCAGTGGATAGTCAGGTGCTTCTGGACCTGGAATATTTTCTGCTCCCTACTATCGGACTGAGGTAGCTGGAATCGTGATGAATGTCATATAGAATTCATGTCATACTTATAATGACTAAAGTGGTTTCCGCCCCCACCAAATCTCACCTTCACCTCCCAACTCTCTTCTCCTTTTACACTTCGTCAATTTGCTTTACTCAACCTCTTTGCTCACCAGTACTATTCAAATTTAAACTCTCTCTCCCTATCATCATGGGCGCATCCACCGAGATGTGCCCCCTCCTTTTCCGTCTCCCGGTAGAACTGCGATTGCAGATCTATGCCCTGTCGTTGAACCGCGCCGTGCCCCCGCACAGCCTTCTCCGCGTCTGCCGCCAAGTGCGGGCGGAAGCACTCTCCGTCGTGCTGCGCAAGAGACGCTTCTTCGAGAGGCTAGACCATCTCGTAACATGGGTTCAGCAGAGCCCGGCGCATCTGCTACCTCTGGTCCGATCCATTCACGTCAATTGCATCGTGGGCAGCGCGTTGTTCGCCGCGCCGGCGCCGAAGCAACCCACATTGTGGCAAGAGATGTACCAAAGCATCGTCTCGACGGCCTCAACCCGCGTACCCAGCCCCGTAGGTCCTCTACCTGCATCCGTGGTCGCAGAAGCACTGGCCGCGCTGAGTGGGGTCCGCGACTTTGGGATCTTCGTCATGCAGAACGTCGCGCGCCTTAGCTCGCCCCAGTTCCTCGCCGACCAGCGTCTGCTCCTGACCACTCTGGGGACCCGCATGCCGCAGATCCAGAAACTGGAGCTGGACATCGACTTCGTTCCCTTGGATTTTCTGCGTTGGTTCGCCGCCGAGCTGCATCACCTGACAATCTCAGGCTACGCCGCGGCCGCGGACAACAACAACGACGACGATGACAAGGCAACAGACACCATCGCTATATTCCGGGCCCTCAGACACCTTCAAAGCTTGACGCTGCTGAATGAGATGAACACGTTGCTGGCCCGCGTGGTCGACAAGGATGTGTCCCGCCTCGCTCCGCTTGTCGCCGTGACGCCGGAGGTGGTGCAGGAGATGCATCCGCTGCAGGGGTTCGCGATCACGAGCTTGCACGATCGACAATTCGAGTCCCACTTCCTGACGGCGGCAATGATCCGTGCGCTACTGCATACGCATGCGGATACCTTGCTGAAACTGGAGATCTGGAGCGACGGCCAGGTGACCGATGAGGTGGCCGTCGAGTTGACGAAGTTGCTGCCGCGGTTGGCCCAGTTGAGAACTTTGAGGCTGCACTTCCGGTATTCTCAGGCTCTAGGCCTTGATCTCCAAGAGTTTGTGCTGCCAACTATCGAGACGGTTGATTTGCAGTGCGAGAAGTGCTAGTCCAGCATCCTTGGATCGGTCTATACATACGAAACAAGGTTGAAGCATGGTCGACCAAACAAATACAGGGTATGCTGCTTCCGAACGCTTCTTCCGTTGTCACCTATAAGTACATAATAATTACGACATCTAGAGAATCTCATAAAAGCCTTCTTCCTCTCCCTATTCCTCTATACAGCTTCTCCCCTTCCCCTGGCCTCATTCGTTCCCAACGCTCAGACCAGAAATCTACCTCAGAGTAGGATACTCCGCCCTAGCCAAGGTCTTCACCTGGGAGTACCCCGTGCCCGGCGGCACGGGCCCGTACACCGCATCACCCTTGGTCCACATCACCTCCTGCTTGTTGGTATTGGGGTCGACCTTGATGATCTGCTGCACCTTGGAGTTCCGGGTCAGAGCGGGATACTCGTACACATTCCACACGTTTGTCACGGGGTTGGTGCCGTCGTTGGCCTCGGGCGTGAAGAAGTAGACGGTGCCGGTACAGCTCTCGCCCATCGCCTGGGACAGCAGGGACGCCCAGACCGTCTGGGCGTTGATCTGCTGGGCCGGGTTGGCTGGATCCGGCAGCGTCTCGACCAGGTTGGCCGACAGCATTGCGCTGTGGTAGTACTGCTCCAGCACGTTGCCCCAGACGATGCTCATCTGGCTGGCCGCGCTGGCGGGCTTGTTCTGCGTCCACCAGTCCTGCGCCAGGGTCTGGCCCGTGGCGCCGCCGAGCCCGAGGTAGAAGAGGCAGGTGTTGCTGTCCAGCGGGTAGGTGCTCTGGCTGCTGATCGCTTGGTTGAGGGTGTCCATGCTGAAGGTGTAGGTGTTTGTCTTGGGGGGGTTGGTGGCGGGCTTGCTGGGTTTGCTGGGGATGCAGCCTCTTCTGGTGAGGGCGTTCTCGGGGTGCACGGGGGTGAGATCGGAGGTGGTTACAGGGAGGGCGTGGGTGAGCTGGAGGAGGAAGAGGAGGGCGGCGAGCGCTAGGGCTAGCAGGCGGGTGGAAAGCTGGTTGAAGGAACGCATCGTGGGAATGATGCTCGAAGGATGGGATCAATGAGTGTGGTGGCAGTTGACGATACTGCTTGCCGATGCGAGGAATCAAAACGAGGGACTGAGGCGTGATTGACTGCAAACAACAAATGAGTGTATGGGTGAGGAAAGGATCTCAAGCTTGCTATCAGGGGATGTAATTGCCCCGTCCCTTCAACGACTTTATAGCACCTGCATCTCGGGTATCTCGGGGCTGATCGCTCTTCACAGGCCATGAATCACACCGGCCCCTGAAATGCGATAGATCACCATCTCGGGGTCATGGAGTTGGGGCGGTTTCCATCCTCTGTTCCAGTCGCTATGACTAGATCGACAGCGCCAGCAGAAGGATTCCTAAATCAGAGGGTTGATTCCCTTTTTGGGCACGTCTATCGTGTTCCTGGGGCAGCCAGGGCAATTCAAGTCGAGAACGGCTGGTGCATGGGCTGAAGCGTGAGATGCTGTTTCAGCCACGACTCGACATCACGCCATGCAGAGGAGTCGCGCCCTCATTTGATCCTACGTTGGGGCGATCCTTCGGCCTCATAATCACGGAAGCGCGTTTGGGAGTCTAAACTTGGCTCTTAGTGGTGGGGGCCAAGCCATATACGAAAATTCGATGTCTTCCCGTGCTGACAGGACCGAGAGCCCCCATGCAGGTACGATCAAGAGCCTCAAGTAGTTGAATGCTTCGGTTCAACTCCTGTTTCTTGGGGGCCATAGATCCTGGAGCCGGAGGTGAGAATGAATCAGGATGGGAGAGCATCACCGGCTGAGGATTCCCAGAATAGCGGGAAAGATATAAGAGCTCCTCCCGCTCAATGTTCTTGGTCGACCCAGCAGCCTCTCGCCCATAGTCACACGTTCCAGTCACTCATTAGCTTTTTGAATTCTTGAAATATTCATCATGAGATTCCTCGTTGTGCTCCTACTGGTGGTTCAGCTGGCCTCCGCCCTGTTCGGGATTGGAGGGAAGTCCAGCAAGAAGACGACCACCAAGCAAGTGGCTGCCACCACAACCAAAGCGACGACGACCACTACCCATGCACCTACAACTACCACTACAACAACAACTACAACCAAGGCCACCACTACTACCACCACTACTACATCAACCACAACTTCAACTACGACTTCAGCTCCATCTTCAACGACAACGACAACCACAACCAAGCCTACCACTTCTTCAACTACCACCTCAACCTCTTCCACAACAACTACCCACCCTACTCCCAGCACCAGCAGCACAAGCACAAGCACAAGCACCAGCACCAGCACCAGCACAAGCACAAGCAAAAGCACCAAAGCCCTAACCTCACCAACAACAACAACCACCAACCCCACCACCTCCACAGCCATAACCTCAACAACCTCAACAACCAAACCCACCACCTCCACCGCAATAAAATCCACAACCACAACCACAACCACCAACCCCAACCCCTCCACCAGCGCCGTCACCACCCACACCACCAACCCAAACCCACACTCGGCCTCCTCCGCCATCGTCCAGCCCGGCACAACAACCACAACACACACCGTCGCCCCCTCCGGCAGTGCAGCACACACGCTCACCTCCTCCTCCAAATCCACCATCACGCCAGCCACGACCACCTTCTCCTCCGCGCACCTCTCCATCACCTCCTCTTCGGCCATCCCCTCCCCCTCCTCCTCTGTCTCCGTCGACTCCGCCCTCTACGCGTACTACTCCTCGTTGATCTCGCTTGCCTCCGTCTACGACGAGGCCAGCGCCTGCGAGTACGTCGCCTCGTCGACGGGTGTGGCTGCTGCTACTGTCGCTGCTGCGTCGAGTACGGCATGATCGGGGATAGAGGGGAATTTCGGTGCGGGAGATGCTTTGGCGGTTGGAGATAAGGGGTTATCGGTTTTTCTTTGTCAGTCTCTCTTGGTTTTTCTTGTCTTGATAATTTTCTTTGTTGCTTGAAGGGTATGAGGGTGGGAGAGCTGTACGATACGATACGAGCTGCTGGGGGGGTGTAGAAGAGACGAGGGGAGGGGAAGGGAAGGGAAGCGGGGGATGTATTCTAGAATGTATTGAGCTGCGCTGTATATCTCCCGGCGGGGATTATCTCTTTGGATATATTCATCTTGTTGTTAACCAATACAGCAGTAATTGATGTACCTCTTCAGTTGTTCTTGTTGTTGTTCTTGTTGTTGTTCTTGTTGTTGTTCTTGTTGTTGTTCTTGTTGTTGTTCTCGTTGTTGTTCTTGTTGTTAATGTTCTCATTGTTCTCAACGTTTCTGTTATTTCTTTTGTTTCGATTTTTGTTGTTTTTACATTCGGTATCTTGTCCGATTCTCTTCTACTAGTACTCAGGCGATTGTACTGGACACACTATCTTCGATCCGTAATTTGTGACAATCGATAGCTACCACGGTCAACATATCTCCTACACAGGTATTGGGGTGCTACCAGACCACGCCAGAATAGGTGGAGGTGTAGTGGTGGGGTAGGGGCGGAGGGGGATAATGTCATAAGCTAGTAGGTTAGGGCTGGAGCTCAATTCGACGGGGCCGTTCGGTGTGTGTATCTGCAGCCTCGGACGGGCTGATCTACTTACTACCTTGCTGTAAGAGCAAAGTGGGTTTGTTACCCGTGTGAGGTAGGGCTAAGAAGGAGTTGGTTGTCAGAAAATACGTAGGCGGGTCTTCTCCGAATCAAACTCTCTGATTTGAAGAGTAGGGCGTAATTTGAGAGAAGGCCTCGCTCGGTTCTATAATGCTCTTTTATTCAAGGGGAACGGAGTCGATGCCGTCGCATGAGAACCAAAGACCGTGCGAGTGAAAGAGTGAAGCACGTTTCAGCGATATTCAGGTGGCTATGGTGATGAAAGCATACTGATGAAAACTTCTTGAAATTAAGTCTAAGCGGAAGGAAACCAGGTGGAACGATATGCGGATGCAATCCAGGAAGTATACCGACCCGGAACAACAGCACACCCCTTAATACTCGGTACAGGGGGAGGGATCCCCAATCAAAGCGGAATGACGTCCGTGATTTCGTCTTGCCACTCGGCCGAGCCATCCACGCGGACCCATTCGAGCCAGCCATCGTCGCCCCGCGGCCGCTCCTCATACAGCTCCGCGGGGCCAGACAGTGCGCTCCACACCTCTTCGCCCCCGACAACACACACCAGCTGCTGCGCCAGGACAGGACAGGCGGCCTTGAGCTGATCGAGGATGCAGTTGGGCCGAGGGATGTTCTGCGCCGGGTTCATGACGGTGACCGTCTCCAGCGTGCGCCCGTAGGCCTTCAGCACGTCCATGACGTGGTGGTCGTAATACCCGAAGAAGCGAAAATTGATCTCCAGCCGCTTCAGCCTTGGCCGGGGGTTCAACGCCGCCAGTTTGGCGACCATGCTCCCGTGCGGTGTGCGGTCGCGGTGGCGGGGCTCGCAGAAGAACCGGAAGTCCTCGAGCCGCGGCGCATGCGGCAGGATGCACCACCCCACCAGGGCATTCAGCGTCCCCTCGGCGGCCGACGAGCCGGGCATGTGAACGATCAGCTGCGTGAGCTGGCTCCAGTGGGTGGAGAACTTGGCGCGGAGCCCCGCGGTGTAGAATGGATTGGTACGAACGGTCCGGTGACAGTCAAGGTAGCCCAGCCACTGCTCGCGGGGATCCCGCGCGCAGAGGGTCAAAGCCTGAAGCGTGAGCGGTTGCAGGGCCGCAGCGTCACTCAGGAGCCGGCACAGCGTGACCATACTGGCCTCGGAGGCACTTTGGATCTGCCGGCTGCGCTCGTAGGTTTCGAGGATCAGCTGCCGCGCGCATTGCAGTGCCCGGTACTGCTTGGGCAGGGCGCGACGCGCGGCGTATGGTTTCTCGGGCCGGATGCGCACGCGTCCTGGATCTTCCGGGTCGATATGGATGGAGAGCGGGTGCACGCGGCTGCATAGCCAGAATGTCTGGGTTTTGGCTCCGAGTGCCTTGGACACGCACCGTAAAGCACCAAGAGATTCGTCGTCCAGAAACTCGGTGATCTGCCAGAAGAGCTCGAGTGGGAGATTGTCCAGAGTATGGGGAGCCTGAACGTGTGTGCTCCGACTGTCGAGAGGAGCCATATTATGTGTGATCCGACTGTAGGTGGTCGACCCTGCTCGAGTAATCAGTGCGTCTCGTAGGGCTATTTATATACACGTGGACGTCCTCGACTCGTGAGATCAGCAGATGATCTCCATCTATCACGACATTTAGCTGAGAACCCTCGCTGGATAGATGGTGATTTCCGAGAATGGTTACTGTTTGATGGGATTGTCCTTTTCAGTGTGAGTAAAGGGCTGTAAAGAGGCGACTTTCAACAGCGGGAGCATAGTCGTGAGATGAAACTGGTATGTATAGCCAGATTCATGGAGCACAGCTGAAATATCTGTATCGTGTGTATACCGAGCGCGGAGCCGGCTGCGCATCTTTGTGGCGCGTAAGTAATCTCGTACCAGAGCACAACCCACGAAAAGAAGTATTCGTATCCTAATTCGGGCACAATCCGTGTACCGGAGAGCGTTCGTTTCCACCCTCCGCCCGTGTGAACCGTAGACGTTTCTCTCCCCGGCGGGCTCTCCACATATTGGTCGAACGGAGAAGGTCATGGCAATCACGAACCGTCCAACCCCATACCGACAGAAAGGCCTCGGTGACCTCCCACCCCGTGGGATCCCACGGGTCCGTCCACACCAGAATCCCCGTCGCCTCCAGACCACGACCACACATATCGTGGCACAGCTGGTCCTCATCGATGCAGTCCTGCGCAAGAATTAGGGTCTCGCGCAGATGTGGGAAAGGAAACAGGTCCAGCCATGGATGATGCGGCACGCGGCGCTGAATGGCCGTTGGCTCTAATGCTGGTGGGAGCTGCCTCTGTGGGTAGGCTTGACTCAACGGAAAGGCAGGCCCTTGTAGTGTGAATACCGATTGAGCATCGTCATGCGTGTCTTGCTCGCCATAGCCTAGAACCGTGAGGTTGGTATGCATCGCTCGCAGCGTATTAAGCCGCGTGACTCCAAGGCGCAGGCTTTCAACCGGAGAGCCACAAGCAGCAGACGCCAGAGCCATGGCTGCCGTCTCCAGTTGGTGCAGCTTCTGCGCAGCGTTTCGGGAGTCTGGACCTAGAATGTGCAAGTCCTGTGTTATGCCCAGGAGTAACTGCACAAGATCGGCTGGTCGAAGGGCAAGCGTTGGCGGGTGTTCATCAGCGCAACTCCCTGACTGAGACTCTCGAATACGACGCCCTGCGTGTTTTGTAAGATTGGATCATCTCAACAGGAATCATGTCCACAGTACTCATGTCTACGGATCAGCGAGTACTTACGTCGCGCACGCTGGTTGAGTCGGTTTTGTAATCTGCGTCTTAGCGATGGCTCCAGTATGCCAAGCCAGCTATCCGGAGGCATGGTGGCGGCGGTCAAAGCTTTACTTTCCGGTTCGTTGGACATTATAATTCGATCCTGGCCAAATCAAAAGACAAGGACCCTGAGTCAGAAAGAATTCACTTGTTCGGGTTTGGTGGTTGTTCGGTGCGAAGATCCGAGCCCGAAATTTGGCGTCCGAAGTTGTGAAGGGTAAGATTGGTGCCTGAGGCATGTCGGCGATATCGGTGATACGCCCCGTTATTACCGCAGCGTAATCAATCCTACATAGCTCTCAATTTCAGGACCCACCATGATAATGTTGCCTAGTCAAACTCATCATCGGTCTTCAAAACAGAGTCCCCAGGGAACAAAGCTCGCTAGCGAGGGATCCAAGGATCCACGGATATCCCGGGCCACCTTCTCCGCCCAATTGTCCATCCACCACTGCCCGCGCAGGCGGTGCATTAACGTACAGAACATGGCCAGAATTACCATCGCAAAGGGCTCCCTCTCGCCCAGAAGATCCAAGAACTCCGATGAAAGACCAAAGATCCACCAGAAGAGCGCTGTGATGATCCCATTATTAGTCTCGCTGGGGGTACTTTCAAATGCCACCCGGAGTTGGCGGATGACTGGCCCATACACTTCGCTGGGATGATGCGAATTATCCTCCCCCAGGCGGCCATTCAGCAAGGCAAGTTCTCGGAGGGCCGCGTCCAGGAACGCTGGCAACGTGGACGCCCGAGTATCGGTGCTCGATTGCCCGACCGGGGCGGCCGTGGCGAGGATCGCTAGGTCGCTTGCTTGCACCCATTCGGAGACTGCGACTAAGATCTTCAGCGAGGCACGGCTCATATGGAAGATCTGGAGTAATTCGTCGTACGGGGTCGAGGGCTGCCCTTCCCCTCCGCCGCTGTTGCCACTGAGCAGAGGCAGCGCAAAGGTGAAGATGATGATGATGTTGGAGAGGGCGTAGGCTGCGCTGGCGTTGGCCTCGCTGAGAGCCTCGATGTTGCGGACGCCGGAGATGGATTTGTGGTGATGCCACTGCGCGATGTCGAGGTAGTCCTTGCGCCGGGGATGGGTGTGGAGGAATGCCAGGTGCAGTGCGGAGAGGGCGAGGATGCCGTGCATCAGCGCAGGATCGTGGACCGCCCTTCGGGGGATGACAGATTTCCAGATCCATTCCACGGCGTGGTTTCGAGAAAGGGTCGCATACGTGTGCGTGCACCATTGCACCATTAGTTCTAGATCCTGGGGGTTGAGGGAGGGCTCAGCCTCGCAGGGGAGTGGTGGTTGCGCGGGGATCGTAGTGGTCGTCTTCGGTAAGGTAGTGGCTGTGCTCGCGGTTCCGGGTTCGGGAGGGGTGGAGGAAGAGGCTGTCAACATTGCTCGATAACTACAGGGTAGACGTTTGGTTTTGCATCGCAAGCAGATTGGTTGGTGCTCATCGCACTAATCAGTGAGTGGGATATTAGCTCTGTAGACGTCGCAGACTTCGAAATGTCGGTTGTTGTGATGACGATCGTACTGTAGCTTACCTTCACTCGTCGCTGCTTGCATTGCAGACAGCCATGCCGGGATTTACTATGGGCACGACGCGATGGCATATGGAATAAGCTCAAGTCGGGAGACAGAAGAAATAATCAGGATATCAATGAGATTCAAGCTATGATAGAGGAGAATTCAGAACCGTAGGCAATGAATAGGTCTGCTAGAGGATGGGCCAGAAGTTGCGGAAAATTGGTGTGAGAGATGGAAATGATGGGGTCGGGTTGTCGGGGGTACCGGCTTTATTAAATACTGTCGCAGAAAATGGCCCGCAGCGGTTCCCGTAGTTCCTGCCATGCCCACAAAACTTCCTCCCCAGCCCTTGTATGTTGTAGCCATCCAAACTCGCATTGAGCAAGAAGAAAGGAACTTGAGTGAGATTTAGAGACGTAGGCCCGTCAGATCGTGACCTGTTCGCCTCGCTTGCTCGATTAGCCGCGATAGTCTAACATGCAGTAAGGGTTTTATCCGACCGTTCATGGATGAGACGCTGGTCTCAAGGTAGCTTCGAGATGATTGAGTGCCCGCAGTCGTATTGATCGCATATACCCCCGCTGTTCGGCCGATGCTTCATACACCGATTTGCCCTCCTCCGGCGATGAATAAAAGGAGGCGAGACCTGCTCCAAGGGCCGTGACGGCTAAACAGCAGACGATCACGATCACGATAATCGCCAGGTTGGTGAGAGCCATTGGAAGGAGTTGACGAAGGGGGCTGGTGCGAGCGGGTTTTATTTGAGTACCATGCTATTTCATAGGACTCGACTGTATTTTTATACCTACTTTGTGAGATCTATGCTTACGCTGAACCAGTGCTCCACGCCCTGCACTTGAAGTCACTTTTTCTTCATCTCATCTATCAACCTGAGCGCGCTAAATTTGGCTGGTATCAGAAAGATCAGAAACTTGCGTACACTATACCAGATACGGTTGTTTCCTTTCTTCTGGTCGTATTCTCACCGTGGATGGCTCCACATGTTTCAGAAAGCAGCTTAAAATCTCCGATCGGCAGTTGATAAACGAGGGCTGGAAACTTTAAACCTCGACTGCCGTACACCTTGCCTATTCAGGTATGGTGTACCTGCACCCCGAACCACTTCCATATATAGATCACCTTGTCGAGTCAAGAATAGATACTCCATGTTGAGTTGACACCTCAACGATATTTCATCAACCACTATAAAAGCACCATGTCGTTGATCAAAAATTCTCAAAATGCAGTCCTCACAGCCTTGAATCTCATTCTCCCAAACCCCCGTCCATTTTTTCCAAAATGTCCGATTCATTTGTTCTGTACCGCTATGACCCGTCCTACGCGGCAGCCGTTATCTTCACCATCGGCTTTCTAGTCACAGGAGTGGGACATATCTGGCAGGCCACTCGGTCGGGGAGTCGCTTCATGACCCCATTCATCATCGGCATTGCCTGTAAGCCTCCTTCCCCTTCCCGCAACACCGGAAAGTCCGATCAATCCTCGGCCCTAACAACCAAATAGTCGAAACCCTAGGCTACGCTCTCCGCGCCGTCAGCGCCAAGCAGACCCCGAACTGGTCCGTCGCCCCCTACGCAGGCCAAAGCCTCCTTCTCCTCCTGGGACCCTCTCTCCTTGCGGCGTCGGTCTACATGATCCTGGGCCGCATCATCCGCCTGGTCGACGGGGACACCCGCGCGCCCATCCGCCCCGCCAAACTCACCAGGATCTTCGTTACCGGCGACGTTCTTTCGTTTCTGTTCCAAAGCGGCGGCGGCGGCATTCTCGCCCAAGCCAAGACCCCCGGCAAGGTCAAGCTGGGCGAGCGGATGATCATCATCGGGCTGTTCGTGCAGATCGTCTTCTTCGGGGTCTTCATGGGGGTGTCCGCCGTCTTTCATCGGAAGATCCGCGAACGCCCGACGGAGAAGTCGATTGGGCTGGCGGTGCCTTGGGAACGACTTTTGATGGTTCTGTATGCGGTCAGTGCACTCATCATGGTCCGGTCGATCTACCGCGTGGCGGAGTATATCCAGGGGAGTCAAGGGAGTTTGCAGGGTCATGAGGTGTTTATTTATGTGTTTGATGCGACGTTGATGTTGTTGGGATGTTTGACGCTGAATGTCTGTCATCCGAGTCAGGTGCTGCGGGAGAAGGGGTTCTATGAAGAGCCCTTGGTGTGAGGGAGCTGAGTGATTCGCCCATACGAAGTGAATTCTGTGACTGTTAGCATTGATTGTTAGAGGTAACTGTAGTTCTATGCTTTAGACTCAGAACCGAAGAATCATAGACATATTGTCAGCGAGAGCGCCATGTAAATGAACTGAAAAATGCGTTCACCCGACGAAGAGTGTAAGGCGGGGAAGCTTTTGACTCCCCCTTACCTTTTGAAATTACAGTCCTCCAACAGGCAGCTAAATTTTCTCAATCACATAATGGTCCTGAAATGTCCGAGTTACGTTAGGGCTGACCCCAAACACAAAGCTAGGCGACTGACCGAGACGAAGATGTAGCCGTTGGTGAACTTGTTAGTTCCCATGGAAAAAACCGCGAATGGATCAAATGCACCCACTGGGCTTTCAAGTTAACAACTCTGTCTCATTGTCGAAAGAGATATTCCTCGATCCTAGCAAAGACACCATGATGGTTTACTTCATGCATTGCATGAGTAAGGGGCCTGCTATCCACTGCTGTGGTATCGGTGATTGTGTCACATCTGGATGCCTGACTAGATGTTGAGTGTGTCTAATGATATAAGCACAATCAAGTTACTCCACTCATAATCCAAGTTTGAACGACAAGGCGGGGTTGCCAAGTGACGACGGCTAGGGGGTCGAACTCTGCAGTCTCAGCATAAGAAATGAATCAAATGCAATCGATTGCTAGATGCCAATATGATCACACCCCCGCCCTAGGGTGCGGGGTTGGCTTGTCACATTCGACAGTGGCAGAGATTAGTAATATGACAAGTACCTGACTGTTCGCCGATCACTTGCTCTGAAGAGCTGCTGCGCGTAGATTAGAGAGACATATAATTTCTGGCGACGAATGATGGTCAAGGATTGGTACAGCAATTACTAAACCTTTACTTGCCAATCTCTTCGTAGCTTAACTCCCTGCTGGGCACCCTGCTGGGCACCCTGCGCAGGGCGGGGAGAGATTCCGATTCTCCCCAGGTAGAATAGTCATCGTATTCACCCATGTCTCCATCAAGAGAGCGCCACTTGGCTAACAATCATAGGCTGATGCTGCTTCGGGTTTTGAATCCCGAGAGCTGCGCGGTAGCTTGATCCCTGTCATGGCTCGGTGCAAGGCGTCGAAATTTTCGGAAACTCGAAACTACCTTAGGCAAGAGGAGCTACCTAGGCACGTACTGGGATAAGACTAAGGGCTTCAGCCGCTGTAAGCGCTTCAAGTCTGAAGAAGGCTAACTATAAACAGCTTTGCAAATCCCCGTCCCCGTTCTTAGGCACATTCTCCTCCCGCTCTCTCAACATCACCAGGCATTCTCCAAGAGCAAGCATCTGATGGCCATGATTCATTCGCAAAGTCAACTCAACTCATCAGGCGAGGATACACCAAGTAATCAGGCCACCAATTCTACACTGCGTCGCGTGGAAGAAGTTTCTCAGACCGTATTCCCACACACTCATGAACACATTCACAGTTTCCCACAAAATGATGACGCTCGCAACCCTGCCGGCAGCCTAAACTCCAGACTCGACGTGGAAGAGGCAGAGCATCGGGTCATGCAGAGTACGCCCCCCGAGTTGTCTAACTTTGCCAACGAAATAGTATTTGTTCTCCTGTGCTCCATGGGCCTTCTACTCTTCGGGGTATTTCTCGGAGACGTTCTCGTGAATCAACTCATCTTTCCCCGCGCCCTGCATGTCACCGAAGGGAGTACACCATGGCTGGTGGGTTCTTTTTTGTTAGCGAATGGAGTGGCTGTGATCATCGCCGGGTCGGTGGCCGACCTCTCGGACCCGAAACCGCCCATGACACTCGCCTTCGGCTGGCTAGTCATCTGGAATCTGGTCTTGGTGTTCAGCATTCGCCCAGGACGCGCGGTCTTGTTCTTCGTGGCGCGAGCCATGCAGGGAGTAGCCGTGGGGGTACTCCAGGCCTCCTCCATGAGCCTCCTGGGCCGGCTGTACGCGCCCGGGGTCCGCAAGAACCGGATCTTCTCCTTGATGGCGGCGATGGCTCCCATCGGGTTCTTGATCGGCTGCCTCAAGGGCGGTGCGCTGGCGGCCCATCTGCCCTGGATCTTCGCCACAAACTCCATCCTCTGTGGCCTATGTGTCCTCGCGTCAATTTGGTGCATTCCTTCATTTGCACCCCAGCATAATAGGACGATCCTCAAGGACTTCGATGCCATGGGGGCCGTCTGCGCCGCGGCAGGCTGCGGACTCGTGATCTTCGGCCTGACGCAGGGCGCCCCCAGCGGCTGGCAGCCATATACGTATTCCACCATCATCGCCGGGATGCTCTGTTTTGGGCTGTTCTACCTGGCCGAGCAGCGGGCCGCACGCCCGTTGATCGACAACCGCCTCTGGACAACTCCCGGGTTCACCCCCTTGGCAATCTCCTACTTCCTAGGCTACGGCGCCTACATCGGCGGCTGGATGTTCTACGCCGTGCGCTTCTTCCTCTCCACCCAGCAGAAAGCCCCCATCACAGTCGCACTATACCTGATCCCCAACCTGGTGTCCGGAGTCGCAGCCACCTGGGTGGTCTCGCGCACGCTGCACGTCGTTCCCGGTCACTGGCTGCTTGCCGTGGGGATGATCGCCTTCACCATGGGCCCGGTCTTCTTTCTACCGCAGACCGCCCACACCACCTACTGGGCGCTGGCTATGCCGGGAATCACCCTCGTCACATTCGGGCCGGACCTGACTTTTGCTGCTGCCTCCATTTTCATCACCTCGAGCGTGCCGAAATCCTTCCAGGGCGCCGCGGGCAGCTTGTTGGTGACCATCCAGAATCTGTCTGCGGCCATTGGGACCGCTCTGGCGGATACCGTTGGGCAGCGCGTGAATCACGGCGCGGGGTATGATCGGGATCTGGGGGCTTTGCGCGCGATCTGGTGGCTTAGCCTGGGGATGGCTGTCGTGGCTGCCCTTATTTGTGCGGTCTTTGTGCGCATTCCAAAAGCAGAGGAGAAGGAACATGTTCTGTGATGCTTTGCGGGTGGAGATTTGAATGGGCACGAGAAAAAAAAAACAAAACAAAAGAAAAGAAAAAAGAAACGAAGATAGAACTAGAAAAGAGAGGCAAAGAAAAGTGAAAGAAAATTAGGGAGTTTCTAGCCATCAAAAATCGTATACGACAAGTCGATCTAAAAAAGAGAGCTGCACTCGTTTTTGTGCAGTTGGTACATTCCTGGTCCTCCGCCGCAAGATATAGCATAACTCGCCCGTTCGGAGCCGGAACAAAAGATGGATACGGGGGTAAGCTCAAACATCAACTAAGAATTGCGATTTCTGTGCGCATGGCTGCGAAAGCTTCCACCATTGAGCCTGCTACAGCCACGAGGCATGTCCGAGTGATGCAGGCGTGAGGGTAAATCTCCAGCCCTAACCGGGTTTGGCTTTCTGGGACTAGCGGCCAGATCCTTCAGGGTTTCCCCCTCATCTTATGCATGGTCTCGCCACTGTTGAAAAGTCCCATTGGTGCGCTCGGATAGTCTAGACCTTTTCTATTTAACCGTAGATACACCTGGATGCAGTCTGCACCAATGAGGCTCACCAGCGGTGTGCATGCCATGCTCAGGGTTGCATGTTCTTCAGCCTCCATGATCCTGCCAACGGAGAGGAGGAGAAATGGGGTCGGCCGACAGGAACCAGCAGCATGCATGCTTCTTAAAAGCAGGAACAGACCCCTCACCAGCCTACGATCACCTCCCTACCTCAATTCCGTTGCAAGTTGTTCCCTCTTCAACATACAAACTACTTACCCCGCCTCTACAAGACCTACGAACTCTCCATCATGAAACTCCCCACCACAACCCTCCTCTTCGCCCTAACCACCCTAACCGCAGCGACCCCACTCACCACCACCACCCTAAATCTCCCCCACCTCCAACCCCGCGACACCACCCCCTTCACCACAGGCCTAACCACCATAACCGCCGCGGCCAGCGCCCTGGACGCCCAGATCCAGACCTACCCCGGCGGCGACGACATCTCCAACATCACCGCCGGCGCGGCGACGCTCATCACCGCCCTCCTGGCCGAGACGAAAACCATCCAGCCGGACTTGCTGAACGCCACCGAGGCCACCGCCCTCCTCCCACCCCTCGCGACCCTGGCCGCGCAGATCTCCGTGGTCGTGGCCGACTACATCGGCATCCACGCCGCCATCGCCGCCACCGCCGCCTCCAGCGACGGCGGCTGGTACATCTACTCGCAGCTGCAGGAGGAGCACACCGCCGCGCTGACGTATACGGGCAGTGTGGTGGCGCGGATCCCGGCGGGCGCGGTCAAAGACGCGGCGGCGGCGTGGGCAGGGAACATTACGGATGCGTTGCTGGAGGGAAGGGATGCGTATAAGGATATTGCGGTGAGGCCGACGGGGTATTGATTGGGGTGGTTGGGGTGGTTGTTGGGGGAAATGTGCTTTGTTTCTGGTTGTGAGGTGAGGGATTGGGGGCACGGAAGGGTGAGTTGAGTGGGTTCTATTGCTTTTGTTGATGAGAAAAGAGTGTTGTAGGATTCTTCCATTGAGGGGGGACAGTATCTGGAAGCCAGAATACAGAATTTCAATCTGATAAAAAGGTTATCTGCCTTGTACAGTACGCTTCCTGGGACCGGATTTGTCTGCTGTGCTGGTGAAGTCATGCACTCACATCCATGATACTACTAGGTAGTGAGACTGAGCAAACACCATCCGGAATGGTTCGACTTCTTCCAGATGCGTCTGTACGCTTGTTAGAACTACTATCTACCAATATCAGATTCAACCAAGCCACGCACCAAGGGTCCTCTGGCGCGGGTACAGCCGCAGAACCAGTCCAGTGGGCCCCGACTACGTACTCCGTGTGTTCTGGTTATCCCCACATGGTTCCAGGTGCCCGATGGACACAACGGGGCACCAATTGGGTTGAAGGGAGAAGTATTATCATCATTGCTGGAGCGGTTACTACTTACTACAGTCGTCGAGATACAACCAAGGAGTCTCCGGCTGCATCGCCGAGGTTGGACCCTGCTCTACTCCGATTTATTTGGAAAATTTGATACTCCCACTCCCATCCTCACCCCGCCCTCCGTGTTTGCGCCGAGCAGACGTAGGATCGGCGACTAGCCTTCTTTTCAGAGTCGGGGATTAGGAGATCAATAACAGTTATCTTGGGGTCATTTCATCAAGGTTATACTGGCCTGGGCTTGAGATGCTGACTCCTGCGGGGTGTGCGGGGCTGGGAGGGTTGGGGTTGCTGCGGCCGTGCTGCTGAGACGGGGTAGAGTTTCGATGGGCTACTCTGCAGAAACGACGGTCGCGAGAACGGCTCATTTCGTACCTACAGAGGCAGAGCCTTGATGACTGTTCGTGTGCCTTTGAGGTGGTGGGCTTGCTTTATCAATGGTGAGTGACTTTTCTACGCTCTTCCTTGATGCGCGACTTGGATCTGGAAACGATTCCCTTTCATCCGTGCCTCACTAGAACAGCCAAGCTGTTGGCCGCACCGCTGGCTCACTGAAGAAGGAAGGTATTCCTGTCATTGCTGATGAAGCATAGCGCATGTCCCTGATTTCCTCCCTTCCCGGCACGTTCAAAATCTTCTCACGCGGCTTCCTCCACCAGCACCAACCGCCACAGCGCATCCTGCCGCAACCGTTCCATCGCCGCCCCCTCCAACACAAACCTCAGCTCATACGGCTGCGCAGCAACGTCCCCACTCAGATCGCTGGCCGGCAGCACCCAGCAAACACCTTTCACCTTGGTCTCGGGGATATCATACCGTCGGACACGGCCGAGCTTCCCGAAGTCCAGGTAGACGTCCATCCATCGCAGGCTGGCGACGATGATTGAATGAAAGTGGTCTTTGAACAGAAGAAACGTGGGTATTTATAGGGCAAGAAGGGATGAATACGCTGCCGGCAAATCAATTGAGAGATGTGGTCAGGCCGGGAGGGGAGGGGGGCGATGGTGAGCTGGGTCATAATTTGTCTATTCGGTTCAACAATCATGGCTCATCTTGCTCACTGGCCCTTTTTAATGGTGTCAGTGGAATACGAATTTCTTTCCAGGGATAAATTAGAAAGAAATTTCTTGTACGGCCCCGCTGCCCTCGAAGCTAGGGAAGGTCTGTTCACGTATGCGGGCGATCTAGTCGGGCACAGCCTGCTCGTGTGCATTTTTCCTAGACACATCTCACCCAATGGAGTCTGCTTCCTACGTGCTGAAGAAGGGGATATGAGTCTGGATTAGGAAAGAATAGCCGGCAGATGCACGTCCTTTGCCTTACCTGCGGGGCTGCGAAACATCACCTAGATGCAATGTAGTCTGACAACGATCAACCATCATTGCAGCTTCATCCTCCTCGAGTCAGTACGGTTGCATTCTGGGTAATGTATCTGGATGCTCTCCTCAAGACAACCGATTGCGTGACGTCTAACACTTAGACTTCCTTGTGACTATACTTAACCGGCAAACGGAAACCGAAATTCTACTACCGAGGCCAGGAACCTCGATGGTGTCTCGGAGTAGCCTCAACCCTGGGATGTGGTAAAGGGAGTAAATGCCTCAATTTCCATCTCAGAATTTTCTTATCGCGTGCCCCAGAGCAGCAGTCGGTGGTAAAAGGTACAGGTGAGCATGGTTCCTATTCGTGGGCTCGGTAAATCGGTAAATGGTGGCCTTTGTCGGAGATGGCACAAAGATAGATGGATGATTAGAAAGAAAAAAGGAAAAGGTAAAAAACAACTAACGCCGGATGTCGTAGTTAGTACCGTTCGCTGCATGGAGATCGATGTCGATCTGCGCGATTGGGGCTTATTGATTCGGTGCCAGTATTGCACTGGTATCACACCCGTCCCAGCCACTATGTTCCACTGCAGCACGCCACGCCGGAGATTTGGGAATGTGATACAAAAGCTGCCTAGCGCTGCTGTAGGGGGCGTATCAATTCCCCCGGACACTAGTCGTGCTAGTAGCTCGTGTGAAGACGACGGAAGTTCGTATGGTTGGCGAAATGCATAAACGCTAGGCTCCTGGCCCCGGTAGTACTCCCGGGAGCTCATTCCCAGCAAGCACTGACTTAACCTACGTGCTGGTGGGTCGGAATCCTGGAACCTAATTCAGTCGCGCTTTGACTACTAGCTAAAGATGAATTACGTGAAGCTTCCTACCGGAGACTTCCGGGGCTGGTGAGGGGGTTGAAGCGAGTTCATATTGGCTCCCGAGTGGGTGACGAAGTGACGAGTCTACAACTTTAACAACGTGCTTTGCATGCCATTTATACACTTCTTCTTGCTGAGGATCGCATGAAAGAAAAGATTGACAGTAATGATGCTAAATATCATAAAAACTTGGGGATCATGCAAGTCTAGGGCCAGTGTCCTCGTGTACTTAGGGCTATTTGTAGGCTTTGCCGAAATGAGAACCTTCGCGATAACCAGTGCGTCTCCAAAACGGACCTGCTTCACTACAGTGTGACTGTCGAGAAACATAGTCCCATAGTACCCGGCCAGATCTAGCTACAACTCCTGGAATAGCTGGATACATCTGGTGTCCGGCACACTTCTACGGACGTCTTCAGTGACTATGACGACATTTGAGACAGCTCGGTAAGGATGGACGGATGATATACTTGTTGGAAGACACCATCACACGACGCAGCCCAGCCTGGTATTCCAGAGGTGAATCTCGTTCATAACAAGGGCCGCCTTTGAAGGTGGATACCGAGATATGTTGCAGAATGTCAAGAAAATGAGAGCGTGGAATCAAGCCAATCGCATTACCCCACTTGATCGGAAGTCAAGGTGTTCGTGGGCGCTTGGCACCCAAGGACTTTGACCTGGATACAGTTCTGACCAGGAGCAGTCTGACCATTGAAACAGTCCCGTACTGTTGCCACATTGTTCTCCGATGTGTCAAAAAGCTCCAGTCTAAACCTACGGAGCACGGTGGCGAGGACCAGGTTCAGCCAGCAGTAGGCCATGCTTCGGCGGTATTAGTCACCACATGGAGTCAAAGGCATTGGGAACCGTATCCAGAGCACCTACCTGGGACCCAAACACGCCTGACTTCCCTTCGAAAAGGGAACAAGATACCGCTCCAACTGGGGATTCGCCTCCCAACGTTCCGGCCAGAACTCCATCGGTCGCGGAACTATGGCTGGGTTCCGGAGAATGAAGTGTGTAGACATGCTCACAGGTGTCTATGGCCCGAAAATGTCAGATTTCAAAGGTCCTGCACACACGATCTGAGTAAATACATACCCCTGGCGGGATCTCCCAGCCGTTGCAGTATAGGGTTTCGTCGGGTGCAATGCGGGGGAGACGGGAGGTCACCACCGCCGAAAGTCGCAAGCCTTCTTTGATCACAGCTGACTGTTTAACCCCTAGTCAGTGTATTGGCAGGCAAATGGGATTGATACGGCCACTGACAAGATACGGTAGCTTCTCCATCTCCTGCCACGAAGGGGTCATCGCGGCCCTTGGAAGGGCTTGCGTGAGTTCATCCTTCAACCTCGCGTGGACTCTGGGATTCCGGAGCACGTGGAACAAGGTTATCGCCATGACCTGGGATGGAGCGTCTGTTCCCGCGACCAGAAGGAATTTGGCTTCGTCGATTAAACGTGGTAGCGTCGTCTCTGTGCTGGGATGCTTGCCGTCATCCTGGAGGATGCTGGCAAAGATGGATTTGTCCCAGACTTGAGCTTTGCGGGAGTTGAAGAGCTCTGTCATTCGCTCTTCGATTGCCTGTTTGCGATTTATTACTTTATGTGATGTCATCACGCTGCGTTTCATGTAAAGCTCACCTCTTCAACTGGTTTGATATTTCTGTATTGAGCCTGGATCAGGCAGCAAATCCACGCAGGAAAGTACCTCGAAACAGTGTAAAGGAATGGAAGATGCCGTAGTAGGATGAGCGTTTCAAAGATCGAGTTCACCCCCTTCTTCCACATATCCGTCAGCACGGGATAATCCAGGGTGTTGAAACAATAGCGAGGGCCAAAGGCAAAGAGAGACACGGTATCCACAGCGAAGTTGATGAATAGATTATGCAATTCAATGGCTTTGCCACGCTTCATCGCATTCTCTAGGTGCCAGCATACTGAATCTATGCGCCGTATGATGTCGGGTTCAAAAGCGCGGATCGACTGCTTGGAGAAGAACGAGGCCAGGATGCCCCGACGCGCACGGTGGTGACCATGTCCACTTGCAGCAAAGGTGGTCCCTGGGGCTTGTGCAGAGACAAACCAGCTATACTTCTCTCGTTTGTGCAGAGGGCCAGAATAGAGGGTGTTATAAAAGTCGGGATCTTTGATGTGGAGCTCGAAGGCGCTGATCCGAACGACCGGGCCGTATCTCTCATGCATACGTTCAATCTCAAACATGAACTGCCCTTCTTTGACGACATCGAAGTAGAACTCATACCAGCGCGTTGCAGCAGCAAGCTTAGGTCCAGGAAACCTGGCCAAAGGGCCCAGGGCCAATCTGTGGACGAGGGTGCAAAGAATATATGCAAGAAAAGTCCCTCCAAATATTAACAGCAAGTGGAGAGGAGTGAATAATTTGGACGCTCCCATGAGAAGATTCATGCTGCTCAAGAGAGTAGATATGGAATGACCTAAGGGCTAGTAGAACTAGACGATGGCGCACTAGTTGGGATCCTCGGGTAATGAGGTATTTTGATGACCTGATGATTAAAAATTGATTATAGTTATTCTTCAAAAGAGCAGGCAAAAAACGCTATTATGAGCTATCTGTTCCCCGACATGTCTTATAGTGCCTAAATACGAACATTTGAACGAGATGTAAATCAAGCTCTACCAAGAAAATAAGGAGATGATGGGTCATTTTGAGTAAAGCCTGCTCTCTTATTGCTTGATACATAATTATGCAGCTGATGATGCTTTGATGTTACGCAAGAATCCCACCCCCTTGCACTCGATCGGGTGTTAGACACATTGGTGTTGATGTAAAAAAACTCCCTCCCACCGGTGATTTATTATGACGACAACATTCCTCACAGCCGGAACCCTGAAGCCTCCAGCCCTTTTAGGCAAGGCAATGTATCCAAGAAGTAACAATGCAGCGCTCTTCAATTTGTCTCATGTGCTGATTGAACAACTTTTGTATATAAACTTCCAGGAGGATGCATACGCCACTCCAGGGCCGGGCGGGCAAGCGGTGTTGCGGGCGGTGGCATGCCGGTTCCCATGCGTAAATAGAGCTTCTCCTGCTAAATATGTCTATCAAAGAGGTAGCCGCCAACTCTTCAAATTAGTGAGTCCAATTCTAGGCGAAGCACTGAGGGTTTCCCTACTAGTATCTATAACTAAGTCCCTAGATATCCTCGTTTAGTATACGATCAGAAATCCCTCATACATGACGAGATTTCGAAATTTCAGAGGCGGAAGGTATTCTTATCACCAATACGGGTGGTATACCAGTGTCATTATTATCTATCTGTTGTGGCTAGATCTAGAAGTTCTGCTGGTGTGAACTAAATCAAAGGTTGCCGAAAGCACCTTGTACAGGCTGTATTAATTCAATCTTCTTACATACCGGTACAAATGTAACGCCTTAGGATCTTGTTTGGTCTTTTGAAAGCACAGTACCCTCCGTGGCCACCAATCTCACAATTCCCTGAAGTTATTATGCAGCCACGTTTAAATAGTATCTTATAAAAGACCTGTGATATATTTGCATTCTGTAATTTAAGCAATGTTTCTTTCATATGTTTCAGATATACTCTAGTGTATATAATAACAGATCTACTGATTGCTTTCACCAGTGGAGCGCGGAGAATTGTGAAATGTGTAGCCACGGAGGGTAACAAAGTTGATTATACTGTACACGTGAAGGATGGGTTTAGGTGGATGGCCTAGCTCATATTGCATTAGGCTTGAGGGAGTGGGTCTAGAGCTGTAGGGTGTCAGTACTAGTAAGTCATAAAACATAAAATAATTAACTTTGGAGGTGATATAAGATACTGTAATACCAGGTGGCTACAGTACCTACAGGGATCTGAGAAGTGCCTTCGGCACCTGGAAGCACCTGGAAGGCAGTGGGTTTTTTCATTTGGGTATGGGTTGCACCCTGGTGGAGCCCTAAGCTCTCCTCCTCTGATTCTCACTCCCGGATGAGCCCCCCCACTAAGTCCATACTCTCTAGACTATTAAGCAATTCTCACACAGTCACGAACAGGTTCGTTTCCAAATTGTTGTGTAACTCCAGCGGTAAATTGCCTTGCACCAGTACCACTGCTTCCTTCTCTATATGTGCAGTACTAATAAACTCCGACCGGGTTTCAACACTGACGGACTTCGAACATCTAGAGTGTTCTATCTAGGTACTTGATCTTCCTACACTTCTCACTAACCTACGTCCGACGACAAGAGAGCCTCAAACTCTATAGTCAATATCCCATACCAAGTCCGACAGCCTGTATCTGACGCAACTGGGAGCAGTCTGCTTCGAATATGTCCCAATGGATCCTAGAAAGGGTCAACCGATATCTAACCAATCTCGATCGAAACGTGCCTATTCACTCCAAAGACGACAAAGTTCCTTACGTCGCTGACATCCAGCTGCATCGCTGGATCCTCGTTCACGCCGGCGTACCTCTGCTCATCCACCAACTCTACGCATCTGCGACCGGCAACAACCTCAGCCCGATAGCAGCTTTCGTCTTCTACTTCTCCGTGTTCGCAATATTACTCGCGCGTGAGTTCCGCCTGACAAGGACCTTGGGCCAGGAATACGGATTCTTTGACGGCGACGGACACGCGCGAGATCGCGTGCGCGACTTCGGTCCGCGGAAGGCGATCACCTCGATGCTGCTGGCCGCGCTCCTCCGACCGCTCATGAAAATCTGCCTGACCTACACCATAGACGACCCGCCGACATCGACGGATTGGGCGTGGCTCCTCCCTCACCTTTCCTCATGCTCGGCGCCGGCTGCGCCTTGTTCTACCTGGGCATGTACCTCCCCTTCAACCACATCATCGTGCAGGCGGAATACGAAGGCATGTCCGCCGGGCTGGCCGGGTATCTCATCCCGATCCTCAACGGCGCCAGCCTCTTCGGCCGCCTCCTCCCCGGCAAAGCGGCCGACCGGCTCGGCCGGCTGAACACCATGATCGCCATGTGAGCCTTTGCTGGGGTGATCGTGTTGGCGCTGTGGCTCCCGGGGACCGGGACTGCGCCCCTCGTGGTGTTCTCGGCCCTGTACGGGTTCGCCTCGATCAGTGACATTCGCGAGATCGGGGTGCGGTCCGGCACCCTCTGGTTGATCGTGGCGGTTGCGGCCCTGGTGGCCAGTCCGATCGGTGGCGCGCTGGAGGCGCGGGATGGAGGTGCGTTTGTCGGAATGCAGGTCTTTGCTGGTGTGGCTATGCTGATTGGGACGGGCCTTTTTGTGGTGAGGAGGTGGGCCCTTGCTGGATGGGATCTGTTTGCGAAAGTGTAAGTGTAAGTATGATTTGGCTCCGGAGAGTCCGGTACTTATAGGGCATCAAGACGGAGTATCGACGGGTCCTTCCCGCAACCTCGGGAGACTTTCCCAGAGGAACCGCAGCAATAATTCAGAAGATAGTATCTTTGTAATTGAATGCACCCTGTGCTTTGCCTTCATTTGTTTGCCGAATCCCCGCACGAATCCGTCCTCGATAGCGTTGACGGGTCAATCTCGGTCGTGGTCGATCGGATGACCTTTGCGCAGTGGCAGAATGATCTGAAGCCCAAGGTCCACGGCGCATCGACCCTCCACCGTGCCACCGGGCCACCGGTACGAGTAAGTGCCAGCTCGACTATCTCGTCTCCTTCTCCTGGGTGTCGTCCATCTTCGGGGGCAGGGCCTCGCCAACTACGCGGCCGCCAATTGTGATCTGGACGCACTGATGCGGCGTCACCGGCGACAGGCCGGTCTGGCGGGCTCCGCAATCGATGCCGGTATGGTCGTGGGCGTGGGACTGGTCGCGCAGAATGCGGCCCTGCAACGGACCATGGAGCGGCTGGGGTTCGATCCAGGCAATAACTTGGGAATAGGATCACCTTGTAACAGCGTGGTGGCAGAGGAGGGACCGCCTTTCACTAAGAGCAGGCTTCGCCTTATCTGGTCTGTTTGGCCCATTTGGTGTAACGGTGTTGTCCATTCAATGGGCTGTTGGGCTTTCAGTGCAGAAGAACAGAACAGCCGCTCCCTAGAAGCCAAATGCTTCCCTAAGTTTCTTTACTGTGGTATTAATCATCCGGAAGACCTTTGGTGACTACTAATGTTACCTACTTTGTGTTTCAAAGTATGCTTCATTATAGCTTTGCCAAAGCTTTTTCAAGGCTTTGGCCTAAGACTCCTTCAATCAAACCATCTGTTCAGCTATATTCAAGCCATATATCGTGTATAAGTACAAGTAGCTATATGATGCCACCTGTCCGTTCCGCAGACGCCGTTCCCTCCGTCTTCCGGCAGCGGAACTCCACATCAAAATCCTCATCGGGCTGCGCGATGGCGACGCCGAGGTGGGAGTTCTTGACCGTCGGCATCACCCATTGACCCCTGCGGCGGGGCCGCAGATCGAAGTGGAGAATGGTACTGGCGGCGAAGCCGAGAATCATCGACGTGGCGACATGGCGCCCGGGACACAACGTCCACCCGCCGCCGAAGACCCGGAATCCGACCGGGTTGGGACCTCGTTTGCGATCGGGGCCGCGGTTCTCGCGCACGAACCGGCGGTGGTCGAACGCATGCACGTCGTCGGCCCCCCACACCGCGGGTGCACTGTGCTGGATGATCGCCGGGATCAGGACCAGGGCGCCCTTCTTGAAGAGGTACCGGCCCTCGATCACTTGATCTTCGACCACCTGGGTCACGGACGTGCCCATCGAGTGCATGCGCAGGGTCTCCTTGAAGGTGGACGCGAGGATCGGACAGGCTTGCTCCAGGGTGGCCAGATCGAGGGCGGCGCGTCCGGTCTGGTGGCGGCGGAGGGCGGCCTCCAGCTCCTGGCGGCAGTCGCGCAAGATCGCTCGGTTGGAGAAGATGTGGTAGATGAGCCAGAACGTGGCCGGGATGGTGTTGCCCAGAATGGCAATGCTGAACGCCGCCTGCGTCTTGGCGATGTCCGCATCAGACAGCCCGCTGGTGGAGAAGATGTGATATTGGGCGTTGATGTAGGGAGAGGCTTCGCGGTGCTCGAATCCCCGATCCGCGTAGTACTGCTCGAAGGACCGGACCACCTCCCCCCGCGCACGAAGCGCCTGTTTCGCGATGATGGACGGGATGCATCCGGTGGTCAGCCGCGTCGCGCCGGATTGATACTTCCTGCGGGAGGAACGAGGGGGGGGGGAGTTAGGAACGGCTCGCAAGAGGTCGGGGG